TTCTTCATCCCCCCTCCATCCTCCACCCCCACGTTCGACCTTGGATGGATAATCCTTCTATCACCTTCATCTCCGTCCTCTAGCACACGCGCCGTGTCGGATTCACTTCCTCCCATCTCTCCGCGTTCTTCCTGTTACATACCTGCCTACTTTTCTTACATACATACACCCTTCCCTTTCCCTTTCACTTTCCTTCGTCACATCCGCACCGTCCGTCCACCTTTCATCATCTCCGCGAGTTTGCTCAATCACGCTGCGTTCCTCATCACATCATATCCGTCTGCTGTCCATCTACCATCCACTGGCTGCGTTCCATCATCCACCTTCCACCTTCCATCGACCACATCTACCGGCTGCCGTCTGCCGTCTGCCGTCTGTCCCTTTGCCTTTACCTTTACCTCTTGGACCTTCACCCTCGTCACCGTGCCGTTCGAGCAGTCTCGCGGCTCCACCGTAACACCGAGCGGCCGAACGCCGTACGCCTAAACGACACGAACGTTGGTGTACGCCGCAGTCAGTTGCGATGACGGTATGCCGATGCCGATCTGTTGCCTGGAGGCGTAAACGCATGAAGGCTGACGGTTGGGTCAAGGCAGCAGCAGGAATAGAGACGAGGGTGTGCACTGCGCGGGCTGTCAGAGAGAGTTGTAGATGGGTGGTGCGGTGCCTTCACTCGGTGTTGGCGTTGTCATCGTCCAGCTCCGAGTCGAGGAGTGCAGCTAGCAGTGGAGTGCAGTGCACCGTCGAGCCAACATCCCGGTCCATTCAGCCATTGACGATCTCCCCGCTGTCGACTCTACTCGACATATATGATATCTCCGTACTGCTTGTCATCACCTTCATCAACGTCAGCCTTCAGCTTCACCCATTCATCTCCACCACCAGCTTCATCTTATGTGTATTACCGCCGACGGCCGTGACCCGTCGATCCGCCGGCCTGGCGGTACTTACTCAATCACGCACCCAACAACTCCATACCGCAACACTTCAACACTTCGATAATTCGATACCTCCAAAAGCCGCCTTGCGATGCCACTTCTGAATCCGTCGCTTCCCAAAATTCTGCGTCCGTGTCCGGGTTCCTGGGCTTTGAACCCACCAACGCCAATAGCATCACTATCATCACGACATATTTATCTCGCCGCTTGCCTTCGCCTTGCCTTTACCCTTGCGTTTGCGCTCGCCTCGTACACGGACCGGCGGCCTTCTCTCCTCCCCTCCCTCGACCGCGAGCCCACCCGCCCACACCCGCTCGCTCGCCGTCGACATTCATGTTCATGTTCATCTCATGTTTGGTTTGGTTTCATGACCTGTAGTAGACTCTTCGCATTCCAAAACTGTATCGTATCGTCCGCCCTTTGCCTTTGCGCCGCTTGTTTATTATCACTCATCACTGTACATATGCCCATCTACCTACCCCCATACACACCATCTCGCCTCGGGCGTTCGCGTTCGCTGTTGAATATTTAGTTGATTATTTATGGACACCCACCCGCCCTGATACAATGACATATACCTAGACGCCTCTCACGGACCGAGTAACCCATCTAGCGACCTTACCTACCGAGCCCATCATGTTCGTTCACGTTCGTCAAGATACAATGCATACACTGAAATCTGGACTATCCGCGTTCTTAAGATCTTGACCATGGCACTTAGAGGGAATCCTAAGCAAGCGACGTCGACGACTTACAGCGCTTAACGCTCACAACCGCTCGGAACCCTCCGAGTCCGTGCGTATTAAATAATGCATTGCCTTCCATCTCTCGTTAAGTATCACCTGAAAGCTGCATCCTGGTCGTCCGACATGTTAAAACTTACATACAACCCAACTTCGAATTCCATGCACTGCACGATTCAAGTCCTTCCGGTCTGGATCGGGACGGCGCCGGACACGTACACGTAGTCGAAGCCTGAGGCCCGACCGCCCGACATGCGCAGCACGGGTACGTACATGTATAGGAATTTATCTATACATGGTGCAGGTCCCACTGTGCTGGGCAGGGTCGCACGTTGAAGGCACCTTCTTGGAGGGGCCCTCGCTTCGGGGGTGTCAATTGAGTTCGGAGGTTACGAAAGGGTATGCTAAGATGGACGGAGATGATGGATTGGTGAGGCCCAAGAGGGAAGGGGTGCGGATTCAGATGGTTGACGATCTACTGTATTGATGGATGCATCGAGGAACCCAGGTGAATTTGAATTCGAAGAGACTTCTTTTTGGGTTGGTGGACTGGACGCGGGTGTATTCATTAGAATAAAGTATTGGGTGTCGGCGGCACGTTCATGTTAGTAAGGCTACTGGAAGTTAGTAAGTACATATGTAAGGAAAGTGAAATTCGGTGCGAAGCTCCGAGATCGACTATAGCTACGTTGTGGTTAACGTTACGTTGGAAGTTACCCTGATGGACGGTGTGATACAAGTCCGAGCCCACAAGCTTGGGGCTCTTCGAATCGGAGTGCGATGCAGGGATCGCTCTTAGAATAATGTGAAGACACACCTCGACCGCGTCTAGCCTCTCTCCCAACCCAATGTGCAAGTGGAGCAGCTATAAACATTCCGTAACTTCTATCTCTTCCATGTTCCTACTTACGAACGTACATATGCACGAACGTCTGAGAAGAACATCTTTTGGAGCTCGTGAACCGCTACCCGCCGGGATTCAGTTTGCCTTTTGCTCGGCGTTACGTGTGGGTACCTTCAAATCACGTACGCTAAAGTCGTATTGGTGTGCAAGGTATACGGGTGTCTTTTGTATACGTATGACTCGTACGGCTCAGAGTTTGAGCTTGCGGTGCGTGACGCAGGACGGCGTTCTGGAAAGGGCCGAGACGATCGAAGTCTTATCTTATCGGACATTACGGGAGATAAGATAGACGCCGGACAGGTGTGCAAGCCCCTATTAGTACTACGGTCAAAAGGCATACACAATTCGACACCGCAAAGTACAGTTATTTTTGTGCAAAGATATCCTCGGAGTACGAAAGATATGATGTAGCAGGGCTAGAGTTACAGCATATCATATCGGCGGAATTTCCGTCCCATCCCTTCGAAACAGTTTCCCTCCCTTGATCACGTATCGGTCCTGTTTCAGCAAAGCATCCTCAAATTCTTTCTCCGTCCCATCAATTTTCCCACTCAGAACGAGCAGGTCTGCCGCCCATCCGGTACGAATGATTCCAAAGGGGACCTCCCTCTCCAGTCGCTTCCTCGCAGCAGCTCCATCGACCCTGAATGCATTCTTTTCAGCCTCTTCCAGTTTTCTTTCCCCGCTTTCTCCTTCCCACTCCAGCCCTCTAACGCACTTCCACCCACCGTACGTCGCCCAGCCTAAGACTTGCTCCCATCTCGCTCCAAGCCTTCGCATGAGGATCAACTCGAGAGCGTTCTCCCCGTGGGCGAACACTCCAGTGTCCCCACCGCATGCAATGTTCTCCCCATTTCCCTTAAGCGCCTCTTTGAACGTCGCCTGCGCCCTCTCCCACGAAACCTGCGCTCCCCCACTCCACTGGGCATCGGATGCAAGCGTATAGAACGCCGACAAGGTGGGCACCCACGTCGTTCGTTCTCTCGCGAGGAAGAGCTTCCGAAGCAAGGCCTTGTCGTGCGTCTGTGGATCGTAGATCTGCATCCCGTGTTCGATGCTGTCGACACCTAGGTCGAGCAGGTTGTTGATGGCCTTTGCGTTGTTGGCGTGTGCGGCGACTTTGACGCCTCGGGCATGGGCGATTTTTATGATTGCGGAGAGCTCTTCTGTTGTGAATGTGGAAGCGTTTTGGGCGGCTATGCTGGTCGAGACGTCGGATTGGCGGGCACGGTAGCGGTAGTCTATTGAGCGAACGGTTAGTCTCACCCATTGTGCATACGAAACTGTCCGAGTGCACCTGCGTAAACCTGATGGGGTAGTTCAGGACGAATCGAAGAAGGTGAAAATGTTAACAATGTTTCCCTCACCTTGATCCAATCTGCACCGGCGCCTATTTGCTTTCTGACTTCCTTTACGCATTCTTCGACGCCATCGACGGGTTCTGCCCCTCGTACACCATCTATCCCTTCCTGGTGAGGGTACAGAGAGCTTCTTGGACCTATACAGCAGGAAAAATGATTTGCGGCGAACCGATGCTGTGAAGTGACTCACCATAAGACCCGCTACTGATGATTGCCCTAGTCGAGCAGAAATATCTGGGTCCCAGTGTTATTGTGCCCGGTTCGGCTAAGCATTTCCTCAATCCGATGTCGGCGTCAAAGGCTCCTTCAGTGCCTAGATCTCTACGAGTCATCACAAAGCTTGAACATCAAGCGGGGTTTCGGACGGGCAGAATCGTAAACCGACCTAACAGTAGTGAAGCCTGCCAGTAACGTCTGCCGTGCGTGCACTGTCGCCCTGACTGTCCGTTCGGCCAGACTTTCCTTCGTGAGTTGGTCGTCCCAAGATGTCTCTGAATACGGATGAAGAAAGACTAGCTTCGATGAGTGATACTGAAGTCCTCGGACCACCAAGCAAAACTCACAATGAACATGAACGTCCACCAAACCAGGCAAAACGATAGAATCGTTGAAATCCAGTTTCCTTATGTCCAACTTAAGGCTCTTGAGGTCAATGTTGACTCCACTCTGCGAAGCAAGAGTTGCAATGATGTCCTCGACCTTTCGGACAGACGACAGCGGCGCTACGTCCAGGATGACACCTGCATCGCTATCAACCGTGATGATCTGGTCCTTCAGCAGCGTGCGTGAGACAGAGTCGAAGAGCTGTCCTGCGAGGATACGATAGATCTGTCGTGGTGCCACGTTTGGTTTGGGACTTTGGGGAGAAGCGCTTGGGGGGTTGGTGGATGTCATTTGGGCGTTGTGTGCTTCTGAGGTTGGGGTTGTAATAAGAGATAGAAATGACACAATGGTGGTTGAATTACGACCATGCGAGACTTCTGAAGGTCCTTACTTCTCAAGCCGGGAAGGGTTAGTTCATGAAGATAAGATTAGATTTGATGCAGCCTCGGATCGGGATCTTGACATACCCGCCCCGCCCCCGCACTCCGGCAATCATAGCACGGCGGCCAGTTTGAACTCACCCAAGCTGACGATGGTTCCCCGCACTGAGCTCGGTTGTTTTACGCCTCTTTCTCTCCTACTCTGCGCACCGTTCTGAATTGGCCACGTTAAATTCTATCTGAAGATGTCTACCGAAAAGTATGCAGTCTACAAGACGAAGGGCATGCCGTTTCGTCGCCTAGGTCCGACTGGGTTGAGAGTGCCGTTGTTCTCTCTTGGAGGATGTGCGTCTGCCTGTTGCCTTGTGCGATTCTTATCTCTCATTATATAACCCCTTTGAAGGGCTTACAATCGGAGGGAGTGTCGTCGGAGACCCAGTCAAGGTGGACTAGCCAACTTGTTGCCCTTGAAGAGACTACTCATCCTGCTCATGCCGGGTGTAGGAGATCGTCAAAACTGCCTTTGAGAACGGTATCAACATGATCGACACCGCGGAAGTCTATTCTGCGGGTAAATCGGAGGAAGAGATGTGCGTCCATTCATGCCAAGGATTCAAACGTTGTCACCGACTTTCTCGTTCTGCGAAGTGGTCGCGTCATCAAGGAACTTGGCCTTCGAAGGACCGACTTGATCATCAGCACGAAGATATTCTGGGGCATTAGAGGTGGAAGGGAGTCAAGTCCGAATGATACTGGACTTAGCCGCAAGCAGTAAGTTCCGTATGTCCCCAGATGGTGGAGGCACTAACGTTCCTTTTCATTTCACCAGTATTATCGAGGGCACTCAGGAATGTCTGGCTCGTCTCCAAATGGACTACGTCGATATCATCTTTGCCCATCGTCCGGATCCCACTGGTGAGGACAATAACTCCTAACTCTTCTGGCAAGTGCTCTGAATGTTCGTCCAGTGCCTATGGAAGAAATCGTCCGCACTTTCAACTACGTGATTGAGAAAGGATGGGTATGAAGCCGTCTTCCTCCCACTGGACTCTAGAAACTAATTTTACACAGGCTTTCTATTGGGGTACTTCGGAGTGGAGTGGAAGAGAAATAGAGGAGGCTCACCGTAAGTTATTGATCACATTTTCCTTGATCGTGTCTTCAAGGCACTGCTTCCAGACGTTGCGACCAAGCTTGGTTTGATTGGACCAGTCGCAGAACAATGCGAGCACAAGTACGTCCTTCTCGCTTCGCTGACGAAGCTTGAGACTTACAGGTACGTAGCATGTTCCATCGCGAGCGACCTGAGGCGGAGTACGCGTAAGTTCGAAATTATTCCCTCCTTCGAGAAGTTTGAATTCTCTAAAATCGTCTGTAGACCTCTTTACGAAAAATATGGTCTCGGGACTACTGTCTGGTCGGCTCTTGCCAGCGGTCTTCTGACTGGCAAGGTGAGTTCATCCAGTCACAACTTTCGTCGTTTTTGTTAAGTCAATGATGTATAGTATAACGATGGGATACCACAAGGATCGCGCTTCGCTATTGAGCCGACGCTCAAGGCAACCGTTCAAAGTCTTCAAAAACCTGAAGGCCAGGAGAAGATCCGAAAGGTTCGCGAGCTGTCAAAGCTGGCGAAGGAAGGTGAGAATCTTCAACGTATCATGAAGCCCTAAAGTACATTTTTAACCGCATCGACAGAATTCAACACGACTCCAACAACTTTGGCTCTTGCATGGGTGGCTAAGAATCCCAGCACCTCAACTGTCATTCTCGGAGCATCGAATCCCAAGCAGATTCTGGACAACTTAGAAGCGCTCAAGGTCCTCCCGAAGCTGACTCCAGAAATCATGGAGAAGATCGAGAAGATTTTGGCGAACACGCCAAAGCAAGCTGTAAGTTCAGCCACCTTCGAGTGGGATGCCTTTTTGATTGACGAGGTCATTTGCAGGTCGCGTTTGGAAGACCGAAGTTGAATAAATTGGCCAAGCTATAGACTTGCAGAGGGTATTTCAGCGAACAAATTTCACGCATCATTGGGCACATATATGTATAGTGTACTTTTGGATAACCCTTCTGGATTTTCCCAGTTTCTCGAACTTGACAAGCCCACCAGAAAGGTTGTGTGATGACGGCTGGGCGGAGTGCTATTTTTAGGATGTGTCTGGCCGCCGAGCCAAACAATCGACGACACTGGGCGGAACGCGACGCGTCGATCTGGCTTTTCAACCATGACCGGTGACCTGGCACTCTCGTCTCGCGTTTTCCAACATCTAGAGTATCCGCACCATCTGGAAATGTTCGACGCAACCCTCCGATATATAAACCTCTTTATTCTGCCCAATCCTGTGAGTGTTTATGGGAGCAAAAGTGCTCCCATAAAACACTGTTCCGTTTCGTTGGGTCACTGACTGTTTCCACCAGAAATTCAGCATCCCAACATCAGAGATGGACCCGGTGTATCGTATGCATTCAAGGACTACGGACCTGGGTAAGCACTTAAGCACGTCCCATACAGACTTGGAGCATCGCTGCGGGGACCTCGCCAGAACCACTCGTCGAACGTCGTCCACATGACGGCCAACCCCACGCGATGCTCAACCTATTCTCGTCCATGAAGCTCTAACTGACGTTTATCTTTGCACAGATGCGAGCTACATCTCGCAGAACACCGTCAACACTGTTCAAGCTCTCGGACCGATGAGCTTTAGTACACCGACGAAGCCCGCGCCTGCAGTCACGGGTACCAGTAGAGCGGTGGTATCTTTTAGCTTGAGCCCGACGCCGAATAGAGAACGTGCTTCAACTCACAAAAGAAATACCGTTTGTGTTCCGTACCAGGACGATGGGTTCGACCCATTCATTATCGTGAGTTCATGAATATATGCGCCTTCCTTTTCACTTATTCAACCCGCGGCCGTTGTAGGAAAGCCCTGGATGCTCTGTCTCGCCGCTGGGCCGACCGTTTGAGCTACCTGTCGGGAAGGAGAACACTCCTCCAATAAATTCTCCGCCCAATACCAATCGTGTTTCTTCAATTAAGATAGTGACAGTAAGCACTTTCGATGCCCTTTCGGTGAATGTATGCGCGTTAATCGAGCTGATATCTAGCCCATGGACTCTCCCTCCCCTTCCACGGATCGGCGTCTCAGACAGGTACGGTTCTTCGAATCCTACTGTGTCATATACAGCTAAACAGGGCGCTTGCAGGACATCGCGGCATTATACTCACCCAAGGAAAATGTGAGTGGCCGCCCTTCCCTTTCGCTTGGCCTTGTTGAATAAATCGACAAAGCCGACGACCAGACGCTTCTCGACGGTAAATTTATCCATGAACCTAATGTTCACCGTTTAATTATTTTCTAGCCGAAAAAGTTGACCAAGTCCAAGAAGAAAAAAGACAAAATTGTATGCCGTTTTCGCGTTTCTCTACCAAACCGCTCAACCTGTTTGGTTTAATGCCTAGAAGCGGAAATCTGCACCGCCAGTTCTCGCCCTGCATGACGATCCAAACACTAGACAAGCGGACGAATCGCATATCTTGAAGAAACTACAAACCTCCATGCTTTCGCCAGTGAAACCTGCCCATATTCCGATTCCCCCACCCGTCAAGATCTCACCTTCAGCTGCAATATACGCGTTACCTCAAGCACACTTGATCTCGCCCACACCCTCGCCGCCCGTTCTCGGTCGTAGGGTACGTAAACTGCTTTGTCTTCCCACTAGTTGTCAATGAAACTCTGGATCGCAGAACCAGAACGCAAGACCGAGACCGCACTCCACCTCGGGTTCTTCATTCACATCAAAGCTTTTTGAGCTGGACCTATCGCCCATAATGGAAGACGCGCAGGTCTTTGGCGATGCACCGCAAGTCCAGATAGACGTGTCGATTGATATCGACGAGGACTCGGAGCCTGCGTCTGTCCTAAACAGCTCCGACTCGAGCTACGGTGAATTACTGCACGATATGGTGTGTGTCCCTCGTTCGTTTCATCGCAACTTTGCCTGCGCCTTTGAGCTTGCGTTTTGTGGAAGGTGTATACCAGTCGGACGGTATCTAGGAGTGTCAAACAGGCTCTTGTTGACTGTCGTTAAGACGTGGCCAGAGACCACGACATCACCGTGTCCTCGTTGAATGGGCCCGTCTTGAAGGACCATGTCTCCATCTCGAATATCATGGCCATGTTTCGAAGAACTCCCTACTGATGCAACCTTGTACGCCACTGCAGACAATTGACTATTTCAGCCTGTCCCGATATGGAACCCTCGGAAGATTAGAATGGGCGAACGACAAAAGAAGTAGATGGGCAGTAATGTCCGCGCATGATCCAAACCAACGCACTGGAGACACAGCAGGTGAGTTAGTCAGACTGCGACCATCATGTGCTCTTGATGAAGAAAAGAGACGTGGGCGGAGTCGGATCGAAACGCTAACACGTTTTGCAGGCACGGAAGATGAAGATGCGAATGGCTGGGAGGAATTCACCAGCCATGAAGAACACCATCACCCACAGGGTTCGTCAAACTATGAAGACGCATTGCCGGACGATTCTTCACTGTTCATAGATATAGATATCCCGGAGCTGACACTAACGGTGCCTACACCAGAGATGGAGAGTTCGGCCGAGCTGCTGACCGAGGTCGCCTCTTCCTGACCCAACATCTTTTCTCCTGCCACCGTCACACGCTGCTGGTACTCCACGTCCAGACCACGAACCCTCGCCAAGTGTCCTAAGTGCGCTTGCAAGAACCGGCAGGGCTGATTATCAGCGGCAAGATGATCACGGTGACACCAGGATTACGAAGATGGGCATGATGGTGCTGGAAGATATAAAACCCATTCGGAGTCCCAACGAACTGGATCCCAGCTTGCACGATTTTCGGACACCTCCAAGCGCACTAGCTGCTTCTTCGCGTCGTACTAGCGCTGTGGATGCGTCGCCGTTTGGAAAGATGAAGGCGAATGTTCTGGTGAACTGCAAAAGAACATCCGATTCCGACGATATGCTGGGACGCGACACGGTGACTGGCGAGGGAGAGCCAACGATTGGTCGTACAGGTACTGGGCTAGGTGAAACGCACTCTCGACGATGGTCTCTGCTACCAGGACGGAGTGGAGCCCGAAAGTCTATTTCGGCCCCTGCGCCAGGCGACAACGGTGAGGACAAGCATACGGCAGGCGGTCGTATCTGGGGACGAGTCTCGCAACTGCTGGGAAACTTGAAGATGTCAGCTCGTGGCCGACGCAGCTCTCGTGCTGGTGATGCAACTCAAACTGTGGACATGGATGCTGGTACTGCACTCGACGTTGAGGCCGATCGTCGTGCCGTACGCGGTGGTTCTTGTGCTGGTTTTACTGCGGACCTGTCAATGCGAGATATTAATGGCACTACTCCAAGTCGACGAGAATACGCCGATATCCGCGATGCTGGGACTATGGCGATTGATTTTCTAGGCCCTCTAAATCGGAAACGCTGGTCGCGGTTGTCTGGACGTTCACCAAACACTCCGAGCGCTTATGATTCTTCTGAACCCTGTTCTCACTCTGCGATAGCACCTTGGGACGATGAAACTGGATACCCTGCCGTCGTCCGGTCTGGAGAGACAAGCTTTGGCGTAAACGTCGCTGGATCTGGGGTGCGGTCGGGCGACGGAAGAAGCACGTTTGAAACGCCTGGGGATGGTGGAGGCAAGGCGCCTGAGCCAAGAAACGCTCTTTCGGATTCGACATGGGCAGTTTTGGTTTTGGTTGGAAACGACGGTCTACTCTCGGAGGATAATGTCGTTGAAAATCATTTCCGAGGACGAGCGGGTTGAACGAGTGGGTCAGGAATCAGGTCTGGCGGCGAACATGTATGGCCCTGAGCAGGCCTGGCGAGGGAGTGAATTGTTGTCGGCGAGACCTTGAATGTCGGTTGCAGCGAGACAGGAAAGTGGAACGGAGTGTGGCGGTGCGAAAACCAATCGATGACGGAAGTTACGGTTATTTGGGTCGCCTGCCAAGAGCCAAGAGGGTTCTTCGGACTTGTGTCTTCAGTGTTTCTGAGCGATATGCGTGTTTTCTGTGTGGTCTGCAGGGACCTTGAATTTTGTCGGAGGAGAGATGGATTGTATTTGAATAGAGCTAAAGATAGTGATTTTGTGCGGAGGGGGCGGGGCGGGGATCGGCCGATACCGGAAGTGACGTTGGGCTGCATGTGGCATTGACCGAGAATGAAGAAAGAGCCAGCGTACCGCTCAATCGTTTCGACCAGCAAGCCCCCGTCCGCTGTCCTGGGTTCGTCGCCCTTCTTTCCGGTTTACTATTTTATGCCCTAACCAACGCCCCACTGTTCTCCCCCCACCTCTCCTCTGCTCCCCCACCATGCCAGGCCAACAACAGCAGCAATCCCGCCAGCAGTTGTGGAGCTCACGGCTCAGAAATGCAGGCTCGCTCGTCCTCCACCATGCAAAGAAACATACCGGCGTTGGCATTGTCTGTGCTGTCGCTTACTTTGACCCGTGAGTAGAGCAGTGTTGTCGATGAATCGATAACGGTCGGTAACTGACTCGACTTTAGTGGAAATTGGGGCGTGGACCTCCAAGCAGGATCCCAGTTTGGGTATCGCCTCCTCTTCGTCGTCCTCCTCGCGGGTCTCTTCGCTGTCTTCCTCCAGGTAGGATCCTCTTATCGATAACATACCCTAGATTCAATATCTAATTTCTCTACGTTCATTTCTGCAGGTTCTTGCTACAAGACTTGGCTGCGTGACTGGGATCGGTAAGTTCCCGTCCTTCCTTCCGATATCGTCTGGGTCTGGCGGTGGAGAGCCGTTCTCTCCGCGTTCCTGCGTCATCGTCGGCACTACGCACGTTCTCTTCGTCGATGATGATGGCATATGTTGTATACGATGCCGTCAGAGAGCTCGTGGTCGCCGTTGCACGAGGACCAACCAGGAGATATGGATTGCTAAACGCGTTCTTCTCTGGCTTCCTCTGCTATCGGGCCTGTTAAACCACGCGTACCGCTGTGGTCGATATTAATAGGCCGTGTCGTGGCGGTCCGCCCTGCTATTATTGTCTCTCTCTCGGGGCTTCGTCCGTGAGCATTCCGTGCCCACGCCGAGAACAACGAAGACCACTCGAGGAAATTATTTCTCTTTTCTTCTACACTCATCTCGCACCCGTATTCATAAAACATCATTACTCACCGTTCTCTTTGTTTCTGTCTCTCACTCCTGTAGACCTTGCCTCTCACAGTAGGCTCTTGCTGTACAACCGGCCCAAGCATACTCTGCTGTACCGATGGCTGGGTCTCTACCCCCTCTATATCCTCGCCGAGATAGCCATCATCGCCACGGACCTCGCGGAGTTGCTCGGGTCTGCGATCGCCCTATGCATGCTCTTCCCTAAGCTCGAGCTCTGGCATGGTGTCCTCATTACCGCTTTCGATGTTATCTTCATCCTTGCGATGGGTGATCCTCTGCGCGGTAAGCCCGTCAGGATGTTCGAGCTCCTTATCGCTGCTATGGTGCGTCGCCGCTGGCGTTGACAGCTTCGACGTTGTATTGACTAGGTCATTAAAGGTGTTGGCCGTCTTGATCTGCATGATCGTGATCATCTCCAAGGTCGACGTCAACTGGGCGGATGCCTTCGAGGGCTATGTTCCCTCCAAGTATATCTTTGCTCAGGGTGGAATCTACACGTGTAAGAAATAGTCCTGTTTCAATTCATCGTACGACTCGCTAATGAGTGGCAATTTATCCTCAGCCGTCGGGATCCTCGGGGCTACCGTCATGCCACACAGTCTGTTCCTCGGCTCGGCACTCGCCACCCAGGACCGCATCTCCTGGCGCAACAAGAACAGCCAGCATGCAGGCCTGCACAGTGTCGACTCCAAGGAATCGGACGGTTCGCTCGAAGTCAAACCTGCGGAGAAGGTCTCTTTCTTCCGACGCTTCTACGAGGAGTCCAAGGAGTCTGTCATGGAGGCCTTCCGTAAGCCGCCTTCGAGTATGTACGCCACCGCAGCGACGAAGCACAGCGAGCGGACGAACAACCCGTTCGAGTTTGTCGCGCACATATTTACCATGGAACGGTGGATATGATTGGCAGCTTGCTTGGGTTTGCGGTCATGATCAACTCTCTGTGAGCTTGCCTGCTATTGCTTTCTCGTACTATTGCTCATTCGGCCTGTCAGGATCCTGATGCTCGCGGCCGCTGTATTCTTCTACGGGAACGGGAGTACAGGCGAAGCTTCTCCTGCCAGCTTGTTCGACGCTTATGACCTCATCAGAGACCTCGTCGGCCAAGGTATGCCCACACCCCGCCCTGCCTGCATCTTTATCTGACCGACCCTTCCCACCACAGGCGCTGCGACGCTTTTCGCCATCGCTCTCCTCAGCGCCGGCCAGAGCTCATCCATCATCGCCACCGTCGCAGGCCAGGCCGTTTGTGAGGGCTTCATCCAATGGCGCGTGTCGCCTGTCACTCGTCGGCTCCTCACCCGTCTCCTCGCGATCATCCCCTCCATGGCGGTCGCCATCGGCGTCGGGCGCGCGGGCGTCGACACCCTCCTCGTCGCATCCCAAGTCGTGCTCTCCATTGTTCTGCCGTTCATCACCTTCCCTTTGCTGTGGTGCACGGCGAGCAAGGAGATCATGAAGGTGAGAAAGCTCAGGCGTGCAGACGCGGTGGAGGATGAGGGCACGGTCACGGCGGTTGAGCTCCCTGCGGCCGTGGACACCAAAGGAGAGGATGTGGGTGCGGCGAGCCCTGCTACTGCACGGGAGGCAGAGGAGGCAGATGGGGGCGAATGGGTGGATTACAGCAATAATAAGCTGACGATCGTGGTTGGCGGTCTGATCTGGCTCGTCGTCGTCGCTGCCAATGTGTATGCGATCGTCGAGCTTGGGATGGGCAATGTCTAATTGACGATGACCACGACGATGGTCACTCCATGATGGTGTCCCTTCGCCAATCCTCACTGATTGTGGGTTGGCCATGACATCCTTCCCTCTTCGATCCGCAGATCTCCCTATTCGTTCCCTCGTCCCTGGCGGTTCGACGAGACTCAAATATTAATGACCATTCCGACATAATAGCCGACGACACTCCACGCTTTCAATGGTCCTTCTAGACAGTTCGACATGTATCCATCTCTCCCACCGCATCATCCTTCTTCGCCTTCATCGTTCTCGCCAGCCGCGCAACATATCCAACTCACGCTTATATCTGAACCTATACAATGTCATTGGTTGACACGAACTGCGAAAGGCTCTCCCAAAACTGTATTATATTTTTTCCCTTCTCTTTCCCTCCTCTTTTCCTTTTCTTCCATCCTTCTCATTTTCTTTGCTACTTCGTTCATCTTCCTTCAGAGAAATTATTTTTAGCACTCACAAAGCTAGCTTTACATAAGAGAATTGTGAGAATATTGACAGTCCCTCACAGATAACGCTGATGTGCATTTCATGAGAGAACTCCATGGTTTTCCAATGGTTCTCTCATTGTCCCCTTTGGCCTTTCCGCCAACAATTGACTCCGCGCACTTCGGCGACTTCGGGCGCGAAGTCAGTGGAGTGCGTCCCAGCCGTCTTAGCGAAGAAGAATTCGCCAAGATCGAAGAGGCGCTATACAAGGTGCACGTATAGAATCGTGAACAGGTACAAGTCGACTGATGGAATTTGGGATCGCCAGCACGATCTCCTCCTCTTTCGAAACGTCATCTTGACACCTCAACAGCAATATGAGCTTGTCAAAGTGATCGCCCTCCGTTCCTCTAGTCGTGTGGGATAACCTGACATTCAATCGCGATATCAATTCCGCTAGGCATTCGACCCAGAGTCAGAGCAGTACGGCCACGGCAATCGAGAGCTTGAGAAAAGCAAAGCGTCGATCCTTTCATACTTGAAATGCCTACCCGACGTTCCACAAGTGCAGATAATCGGACATGGAACTGTCCGTGACCACGAAGGGATATCAGAAATAACGCTGAAGCACGGTCGGCACGCAGAATTCCACAAAACGCGAGTCTCCGAGGAAGATGAGGCGAAGGGCTTCACTCGATTCTTGCGATGGCACATGGACGCTGCGCTATATGACCTGAACCCTCCGAAAGTGACAGCGTTGTATGGTATCAAGGTGCCCGAAGGTCCGATGCAGACTGTTCGGTATGACGATGGGACGGGCGACGAGTTGGAGGTGACGCTGGGCACGACTGCCTTCGTCTCGGGAAAGATTATGTTCGATATCATGCCGAAAGAACTGAAGAGCCTTGCGGTGCGTTCGAGAGCCAAGTATGCGCCACATCCGTTCCTGTGGATGAGGAATGCAAAGGCGAAGCCGACTGGACTAGGGCTGGAGACAGAAGGTTTGGAAACCCCGCTTGGCGAATTGCCAGCTTGGGACGAGGGAAAAGTCAAGACGTACCCTTTCGTAAGGCCACTTCATCGTACTCATGTTGAAATGTTGTTGACGAGAAGCTTCAGACCTGGAAAAATCCAGTAGCAGGTGGTCTCCACCTTCAGGTCCACCCTTGCGCGATAGTTGAAGTTGATATCGATCCTTTGCCGCCCAACGCTGAACGCCAAGACGCTCGATTTCCTGAAGGAGGACATCTGGCAGATCTTCAAGAAATAAGAGATCTTGTTTATGAAATGCAGCGTCCGGGAATAGCGCCAAACGTATGGTCTTTTATGTTTTGGCTCCCTCCATGCTGACAGAGAGCGCCATCTCGTAGCTTGTTTATCCCCATCCCTGGTGCGTTGTGAGTCCCTCTACGTAACATAGCAATTATTTACGATGCGTCCAGGGAAGAAAGAGACCTTGTTCTCTTCAATAATCGAGGGCTGATCCACTCCGTAGTCGGCGTTTTCAAAGAAGGGCAAGTCCGACTGTTCCATCAGTGCAATTTGGCCGCCTCAGACGAACCACTGGGGCCAAGCAGAGAGGACTATGCAAGATTTGTGTAGAGATATTGATCCCAAAGTTTTGGTTGTGTCGAGGGATTAGAAACAACGCAAGTCGAAAAGTGGAGGTGTGGTACAAGCTTTCCAATATGTAGCTCTAATAATACACTATCTTCAGATTTTTTTAGAAAGATCAGGATGAGAGCAGTACGTCAAAAATACCAGAACGCGGTAGCGGCAACAAGAAGATTTCGTTTGTACAGAGGCTCCAAATCAGTGTACATAAACCTCGGACACGATCTGGATGTTTCTGATGGACCAGGTAGCTGAGCGCACCAAAGCGGGGCTTCCTCGTCCGTGATACCACGCCTCAAACCCAATTTGATTTTCTTGTTAAACGAGAGGACCAAGAGCTCGACGACGGCAGCTAGGATCGCGTAGCGAATTGGATCTGGGTCCTTAGGATCCTTGATGTTCTTCAACACCCATGTCGGCTGGAGGTTGAAGAGATACCAAGTTTCCTGCGTGATCTCGTAGATAGAATTTGTGCAGAGCCACTCGTACAGCCGGTAGATGGCACGGAGCGGCGTGTCGCGTTTCCGAAAGAGGCCGATTCAACGGAGAGGAGTGTAATTGACGACTTCGTTTTTCTGCCTCACTATATAGTCGTTGTCTTCAGCAATCAGTTCATGAGGAGTGCGTGCCGGTGGGACAGAGAGGTGCCATGGATAGGGCCAGAGTAGTTTGACTCCATGGCGGAATGAGTGAGGTATGCTGTTGTTGTATGCGATTGATTCGCAGTGGTCATTGAGTGGTCAGGGCAGCACTTTCACGGAGACGGAATCTACATACGCAGCAATAAAGCTAATGGGGCTCAGAAAGTATACCGACATACGCCTCCTCCAGACAACAACGCGAAGGCGAACACGCTCGAGTCGAGACGGTGGAGGCCAATAATCCATAGGTGGTGAGAAACAAGGGGGACTGTCAACCAGCCCAGTGGGCGCAACAAGCAACTATTCCCACGAATGTCACGGCGAAACATCGGAATATCTACAGCAAAGCTTGAACGCCTCAGTTCAGTTCTTGAGCTCCTCATAGTTCAGGGGGACATTATTTAAACTCGATTCTTTTGCGATTGTAAAGGCATTAATAAAGTCTATGTTGGGACAATGTTGGGAAGTTAAAGGACGACTAGACGACAGGGCATCCGAGTCAGAGGGCCTGCACACCAGTACCACAAGCGCCCGTTCCAGCACAAGTAGACAACAGGTGTGATAGGGAATTTCCGATGATAAGCGCCCATCAATGATCGTCGAAAGTCGTCGAAGGCCGAATGTCGGTGCCGAGGTGAAAGTAACAGCTCCTTGGCATCCTTCAACAACTCCATGGTGACGGAACTCGAAATTGTGCAGATCGCCCATGGCCGGTCTATAGATCCGTCGTCGAAAAGGCAGAACCCGATCGAGTAGGAGAGGAGACGCCTGACGAGTTTCCGCCTCGAAGTCGACCAGAAACGTCTCCATAAAAGTTTCTTACCCAGTCCACCGGTTCCTCCCTCTCGAGCAGCCTATACCAGCCGTTTTGAACCCTGCTGTACAACTAGCCCAAGAACCTTTCAATCTGGAACCTGGAAGTTTCAGAAAACAGCCTGATATAATATAAACGGCAAAATACTTTCCAAAAACTGTATTACAGTTTTTCTTCTCCTTTCTCCCTTCCTTTCCTCGGTTCTACCCCTTCTTACCTTTCTCCGCCACCTCGCTAATGTTCTTGTTAATGGCCTTTAAAATAGTGCACAACTTTTTTCATCGCACTGATAATAAATAAAGTCTGATCTGTTGGTTCATCTCAATCAGTCTATCCTGAGGCCGGTCATTGGCAGGAGTGCGCCATATAACACGCTCCCAGGACGAGAAATCCGTACTGCGAGACTGCAGAATGACTTTCCAGGAAGAAAAATGATAGGTGGAATAAGTTAGTAACTAAAAGGCATGGAAGCTACAAGAGTCATGACTATACACGAAGTGCTCAACACTTCATTCGAAAGCAAGCAGAAGGAAGGAAGGAAGGGACGATAGTTAGTATGGTGGGTATAATTGCTGGCAAGAGATGGGCAAAAAAATACACGAAGATGGAGCGAAGAGTTAAATTACTGAGTGATCAAATCATCCCCATAAATCATGTCCCACCCTCGAATATCTTCCGTCTTTCACTGAGACTCAGCACAGGCTCTTCTGCCTCGCTCTTGAACGCAGTGGAGGAAGAAAACTCCGCCACTCGTGGTGGGAGCTTAGGCACTGGAGGTATCGACGATTCTCCACCAGGTGGCGTGAAAAACCCCTCCGCAGTGACACTAACAGCCTCAACAGCCGCCCCAGAGCCTTTCCGCGTTGTGCCTCTCCCAATGGCGATCGATCCACGCTTTGCGGTTCCGTTTGCCAATATACTTGATAGTCCCGACTTCTCGATGCTGATCATCGACTTCGCCTTTCCGTGCGTCGGGTATGCCTGTCCTTTCGGAGGAGAGAGAGATGACGGGGCAGCTCGCGTTGTCGCACCACTGCTACTATTCGTGTTCCATGCTGATGGCGAACTGCTGATGCTATTACGGAAGGGAGAGCGTGCGGAGCTGGCGTTTGAGAGTGTGTTCTTGTGTCGTTTCGTTCCTCGACCATTGGACGAGCCAGCAGCAGCAGATATATGCTGATGTGTTGGCGATGCAGGATGTGGATGGCCATCCGCATCGAAGTCATCATCGAGATCTTCCTCGTCACCGAGAACGTATGTAGGTTGCTTGGGACTTCCTGAGCCATCGCTCGTGCCATCGCCAACGATGCCCTGGTTCCGTAGAGCACGCCAGGGAGGGATCGCCTCACTGCGGTCAACAACCTCGTCGAAGATCTCGTAGTACCGCCGTATACACAATGCGATGACCATTCCGAGTGTCGTCTTGCCTTCCGAGGTAGCTGCATCTGCACCATCATCAGGGTGGAAGGCGTTCGAGAATCCACTGGTAGACATGTCGGAGTCAAGGCCGGCCACAGCTGTTGGTACGGGCACGCTGCACATCATGACGTCTCGTATAGGGTTCGGGCTCTTGACGAGGTTGGGTGAGACGACGATGGCAAGGTTGAAGGCGTCCATTCGGTTGGTGGCACTCCGTAGAGAAACGTCGTGTAGGAGGTCTGATAAGCTAGTCAGAATAAGGGGATGTCAAGGAAGCGCAAAACACTGACGAAGAACATTAGAAAGCAGTATATATGCGCAAGGAACCAGCTCCGGCAGAATGACGTCTCGGACGTATTGAACAGCAGCCAACTCCGCTTCGTGGTCGAGTTCCTGTGGTCGAGAGCCTACAGGTATCGGACAGCGTCGAATAGAGCTGTATGTACTCTCGGGGAATATTGGCTCAGGCAGATCTCTGAGGTACTTCTTGATAAGAACGGCAGCAAGATGCGGGTCGCCAAACGTTTCTAGTGAGACAACATTGCCACGATCGTAGGCATCCTGAGCAGCACGAAGGAGAGCAGAGGAAGGCGACCGTCGGAAGAGTCCTTCATCCTGCATTCCTACTCGACAGTGCTTTAGTAAATTTAAAGGGCCATTAAATCGACATAAACCCACCTGAATCGCGCAGAAATTGGATTGCATCTCGTACTACCCGCGGAATCCCACCCTTCTCACCGTCATATCCCATAATGTCTTCCAGAGGCACACCAAATGTGCTGGAGCGTATCGGTACCAGTAGCTTAATTTTCCGTTCATGCTTCAAGTTCTCCCTGCACAACACTGTCAGCCCAGGATGGAGTGCCAATACATGACACTGACTGATAGACAGCAGGCGATATGTCGATCTGCGTTATCGGCACATGCTCTGCGAGCTCCGATAGCGTGGTGATATACGTCAGTTTACGGAAGAATTTAGGGCTGTGTGGGATGACGTCGGTCGTGTGAGTAGGGGGGAAATGAAAATGTCGTTGAAACGTGGGTCCCACCTGATGATGGCGCCTGCCAGCGAAAAGAGCACTGCGGTGGATGCACTTAGTACATGCTTAGCTTGCGTGCCTAGACCACGAACTTTTGGAAAAGAAAGACGAGTGCACAATGTACTAGTGGGGTTGTTAGAAGAGATTGGGCTAACAGAGGCTTAAGAGACGCACCAGCAGCTTCAAATTTTTCCTGTACTTCCTGCTTAAGCTCCTGTACGCCTTCCACACCCAATTCCAGTTCGGCGCGTGCTTCGACCCAGCCGCGAAGAACACTACTGTATAGTCTGCTTCCACTGATAACGCAGACCACCACATACGTCAGTCGACTTCATTGAAGACACGAGAGAAGAGTGCCGTACCGTAAAGGTCCAAATATGAAAGGATGCGGCTTCAGAAGAGAGAGTCAGGCGTTTGACTGGTGATAGCAGTGAGGAGGCGTACGCAAGCAGGAGGTCGTAGGAGACGACTTCAGGATCTGGCAGCGCAGAGGCGTTGAGAACGACCCTACGAACGGTTGAATATGGCTTTCGAGCATGATGTTGGCCTGAGTGATCTTACATGGGTCGCGTCCTGATCAGATGGCAAAGTTTCAGTCGCGTTCAAAGTGATTTTAAGCATCAAGGGAAGGCCAGACGCACTCAAAGTCAACCCCAGCCTGGAAAATCATCTTCCCTAGTACCTCCTGCACCATCCTCCGCTCCTCTTCGTCGTAGCTCAAACGCACCTCACCCCGTTCTCCGCGGAAGGTCCCAAACGCCTCTTGCGACTTCTTCAGCCAGCTCTGAGGATTGAAGAACTTCCGTTTGCCGGTAGGGCTGGTCGGTGAGGCCGCGTAGATGTCGTGGCCGTTCCCATTCCTCATCTGGCCGAAGCTCGGGCTGTGGGGGGACGATGGTCCTGATGGACCTAGCGAGAGCGCCGCGAGCTTCTGCTTGAGGTTGAATGACGGTGGCGGCATGTCGAAATGTCGGAGTCCAGACAGAAGTGAAAGAGAAGCGGCGCTCCGACGTCTTCTTCGTCAGTGAGAGCAGAAGCAATAGCGACGAAGCCCTTCTCGACAACGTGGGCGACGACGACAAGGGGGCAATCTTTTCTCGGATGCATGACCGCTTGTCCTTTTTCGGCTTCTTTCTGTTATTGAGATCACGTGAAAACAAACAGTTTGTCCCATTTGTCACGACGCCCCTATTTCTGTGCAGGACCTTTCGCAAAATTGAGCACGAGAGCGAGGGTGAAGGTGAAAGTCGGAATGTGATCATAATCAAGTCCCCCGCTTAATTTTATATATCGTTTTTGAGTAACGCCTCTCGTCCGCTCTCCTTCATTCGCCTTTCCCCCCACATCAACACTCGCGGCGCAATATTATATCATACATATGATGTGATATTTCGCCTTATTTCCTCTTGAACTAGCCCTTTCTGATACGTTGTCATATTTACGTATGCTTCGTTGCCAATAATGAAAGAACCGCCACCTCTGACATAAAACGAGACCAAGAAATATCAGATTGTTATTACAGCATAGGGCAGGTTAGCGTAAAATTACAGGCAGTTAATAGTGTGCATTTGATGGAACTTAGAAATAGAATTATAACATTCCGTCTCACTTGGTGCAGGAACCTCCTCATCTTCCTCGTTCCCGACTTGAACATTCTTCCAGTCACTCTCCGCCGGCGCTCGTATTCCATGCCTGACAGACCAAAAATAAGATTCTTGTATATGAATGAAAGATTGAATACACTCACTTGTCCTTGAGATGTGTATGAACGGCATTCCAGCTCCATAAGCGCTTATTCAGGTGCTCCGGACACCTCATGCACCTATGCGGCGTATCAAACGGAAGGCGGACCTTCTGCCTTGCAGGTATCTCGTAGCTTTGAGGGAAATAAAAATAGTCTACGTCCTCGATGGGGTCGTAGAAGGCGTATGGGCTGTGCCTAACGAAATAGAAAGAGGCGAGTAAGCAGGCTGAAGAAAGAACGGCTGGAATGAAGTGGACCTACAATTGCTTGAAATGGGCGATGACGGTCTGGCGGGTTACCCGCGAAGCTAGGTGGTCCGTGCATCGCATGCAGCTCCATATGGTAGAATTGGGTGGCGGGAAGGGTTGTTCGTGGAAGCGCACGCAGGAGGAGATTTCTTCAGGGAGGAGGATAAAAGATGGCTCGTCGTGGCCGTCTTCGTCTGCCATCTTCACTTGGTGCGAGATCTAGAAAAGGTTCAGTCACATGAAGACTAATTTTGCAGAAGATAAATTACGTACACAGTCGCGCCAGGTCAACGTATCCCGTCCACTCGCACCACACTCGTCGTCCAAATAGCAAGTGTTGCAAATGAAGCGTGCGTCAATTTCGTCCAGCTTCTCCGCGGTCGTAGTCGTCCCATCAAGCCCCAACAGTCCAACAACGAAATTAGCAGCCCTTGTCCCTTCGGGAGTGACTCTGAGTCGGACGTTCCAGCTGCCGTCATACGAGCTCGGAAGCGATTCGGGATCCCAGCAGTTCGCGTGCAATCCCAGCTCGCGCCGACCGATGCACACGGACTCGCCGGCGCCTAATCGCTCTGCCTTGTACTGGCAAACCGGGCACACGAAGATCGTCGTCGCGAGGTCGACTCTATCCACCGTTGCTGGATAACGAGCGGGGTTGAGCTCTCGGGAGTCGAAAATCTTGAGCGCCGCATACAAATCCTTCTGATGGTCCTCGAAGCACGTCACGATGAACCGCTTCAGCTCACACACGACCTCGCCAAACGTCGGTGACCTCTTGCCCGGGCCGGGGTCCGCCGTCTCGCTGAACACGAACGCCTGCACGATCGGGTGGTTAAATACCCGCCCGCAGAGGGGGAGATAGGTCCAGTTGCGTGCGGGCATGGTCGCCATGTACCCGTCGAATTCATCATGGATGCGCTTGCATCTAGCGTGCTCGCGTTGGGTGCGCTCGCTTTCGAGGCGCAGGACGCGCGCCTCAGAGAAGATCTTGGAGATGGAGGTGAGGGAAGAGCGGAAAGTGGGCCCGCGGAGCTTGCGAACGCCGGAGTAGAGGAAAAGCTCGTAGAGGGAGGTGGTGACGGACGGTGAGAGGAGTTCCTGTGGGTCGAAGCTCTTGGCAAATTTATGGGAGGCGAACCTGATTAAAGAGCATTGAGCATAGGCAAAGTGGGTTGGGACGACGAGACTAACCTTCTCGCTAGCGCCTGAGTAGTTGCCTCGTGCATTCTTTCGCAAAGCGTGTATTGAGTTCGACACCACTTGTTGCACTCTCGAGTATGCTACGTCATTATTAGCAGGGGCGTATTCACGGCGAGAGAAGCGACGTACCATCTTGTGGGTCAGAAATTCGCTGAACTCTCTGCTCGAGTCAATATTGGCTGCCAAGACTCCTGATTCTGCACTCGCAGCGCGCTTCTGCATCTTCTGACAGATTCGTTCGACGTCACTTCTTAGAAAGCGCTTCGACTCGTGCTTAGTGTAATTTATGCCGGCTGTTAGAGAGTGAATAAAAAAACATCTTTCAGAACAGAGTTTCGGCGTACATGATCGAGTACTTGAGCGAGTGAGGGACAATGCTGCGCCGTAGTAGTTCGGTCCGGTTTGAATAACACGCTTCAAGTCGGAGCGGGTGAAATAGTATTCATCCTAATAAGATAGTCAGATAGAATTCATAGAAAAAAAGGGGGATGTAATACCATGCAATTGTCGCAGAAGCGCGCTCGGAAAGCGATGTCCGTCATTGCGTGTTCGGCGCCGCACGTCTACGTGGCGTCATTGAAAATGGCGCTGAGGGGGGAAATACGTGCACGTACATCGCAAGTATCCGGCCCAAATAATAGTGATGTCCATTTCGGCAGGCTGACATCTTGGGGACATAAGGGAATACTTGGATAGTTCTCGTAGGCGGCCTTCCACACATGGCTGAAGGCCTCGCCGTTTAACAACAATTCCCTAAGGTCCTTCGACGTTTGGCATAGGTGATACAAGTCGAGGGGATGCAACTTCTCGAATATCTAAGGCACGGTATGTCGGTCATCACGTATTTCATCAGCGGGGGCGAGAACAGGCATTTCTTACTTCAAATAGGAGCTCGTTGGGTAGGTGGGATATGTCCTGGGGGCGTGGGACTGGGAAAGAATGCTGCATCGCCTTCCGTGCTTCTTCTCTCAGGCCACGTCTAATACAAGCAGTGATGTAGTTTCCTGTCGTCGAAAGTCGTCAGCATGCGACTGGTCGCGGGAGATAGGGGTAGTTTACCTTGCTTCCAGACAGAGACAGGATATTGCAAAATCTCGTCCGTCGGCGCCAGAGAAAATGGAAAATTGTAGAGCGCCCGGATTTCGTGGGCCTCTGCATCGCTGAAGGGCAGAGTGGGGTGGTCCATGGGGGAGGGAAAGGCGATACGCATCGTCCATTCATGTTTTTGTTGCGGTGAGGTAGGCCCTCGGCGACTGCCGCGGAGTTTAATCTGTCCTGATGCGTTTTATTTGGCCGTATTTGAGACCGTGGGGACTGGGCAAAGTGTGCCAGCGGACGGGCCTTGTTGAAGTTCTCGCCAACACCTTGTTCTACAACGTCGACGTCGACCAGCAAGACCTTCAACATGGATGACGGTACGTCCTCAGCATCAACCACGACCTCGGCGAGCCCCATGTATCCTCTTTTTCTATTCGGCCCACCAATTCGACCGCTGTAAACTCAGTCCAAAGTCGATTTTCTCCAACGTTCACTTCACTTTCGGTTCCTTGTTGGCTGACGGCCGACTGGCGACTCGTTCAGTATCGAGACAGCACAGTCAGCCCTCAGCAGACGCCGTGGCGACACTTTCGCTCTTGCTGCTTGGCCTCGGTCGAGTAGCAGTGGGGGGAACATGAATGCAAAGTTCGACCGCGTATGACGGATTCGTGTTCGTGGTCGCCACCCACGGCTACCCTCCTTCTTACTCCCCCCAATTCGCTTCGCTTCTCGCTCTCCACCTCCGCCGCCTTGACCACGACCTGACCTTTTTTCGTCTTCCCTACCTTCTCCAGCATGGCAGTCGCAGGACATCGCCCCCACCAGCAGCGGTATCAGCATTCCGACTGACGCGGGGTTGAACAATGGCACAGCCATGAACACGGACGACCAGAACTGGGGTTCCAACGGGAACAGCGGGCGCTCGCCCGGCAGGGACCGCGAGCGCGACCGCAACGGCGATGCCCCCAGGCGGTCGAGTAGGAGTCGGAGTCCTGGGGCTCCTCGCGGCGGCGGCGGCGGCGACGGCGAACGGGGGTTAGTACACGTCTTGATCGTCCATTTGCTCTTTTTCGTCCTAATTCATTCGGAACAGTCAGAACCCTGGCAATAACCTCCACGTCTCTGGACTCAGTCACAAAGTTGACACGCGTGACTTGGAGGCGGCCTTCGCAAAAATTGGCCGTGTATGTCGACTTCGTTCCACTATTCTTCGCTCTTGCTCACTCTTTGTTCAGGTCAAGAAGGCTTCGGTCATGTATGATCCTCATACGCGCGAGTCGCGTGGGTTTGGTTTCGTGACAATGGAAACTGCTGAAGAGGCTGACGCTGCCATCACTGCACTTAACTCGGCTGAGTTGATGGGGAAAATCATCAATGTTGAGAAGGTCAGTTTGTCGCCATCATAGCTACCTATCTGGACTGACGTTCGCACAGGCACGACGTGGCCGTGCCAGGACACCCACTCCCGGAAGGTACTATGGACCTCCGAAGAGACACGACTGTGAGTCTTTCTGTCTGCTTGGCCCATCAATCTCATCCTGATTCTTGTCTAGTCGAGCGCCCGTACGACCCCAGGCCTTACGATAGCCGCTACTCTCGCGACACCGACGACCGTCGAGGAGGAGGACGTGGCCGCTACGATGACCACCGTGGTGGTGGTGGTGGTGGCGGTGGTAGGGATTACGACAGGTACCGCGATTATGACCGTGATCGGGGGGACCGCGACCGCGACCGTGGCTACGGTCGGGACAGGTTTGATGACAGGAGGCACTAAACTAACTCGTCTCTGCAAAGACAGCCCTCAGGATGAGGAGGTCTTCGTTCACACAAGTCGCTTGATGGTTTACGCATTTGTGGTTCATGAAAAGAAAAATCCCAAGGTGTGCAGATGGATGTTAATTTCGGCTGTCTATCTGTGCATTGGACTTTGTCTATGTCGTCGTCGTTGATTGTCTCGTTCTGTATTTACTTAAATATGTGCTTTCGCGTCGTTGAAATTATATGTTAGTTTACCATATGTTCACAAATCGAGACAGGATTTGTTGAGAAGGAATTTCTTTGATCGCGGAGTCTCGCGAAAGCCTTTTTTGCCTCTAACTGCCATGAGGGAACCATCTCCCGTTTAGCTTGACTTCAATCCCGGTGTAGTTTCCGTCTAGCTGCCTGGTCGCTCTCTCTTTCTGTATCCACGATGTATAGAGTCTTCCTTGGGGCACCCTCCAAATCCGAGATCTCGAACGACCCGAGGTCGTACTCCTGGCGAACTCTGAACTCCACCTCTATCTCCGTGTCTCAATCTCGACCTCTTCCTGCTCCACCTGCCTTGGAGGAGAAGAAGAAAGACGCTAGCGGCAGCTCCAGCGGACGACTTATTCAGCAGACCCAATCCTATGGCTCTCTGGCGTTCCCGTTTCCCCTCGAGACGCTGGAAGAAGCGAGTCGGAGGGTATCCTTAATCTATAAAGACCTGGCGTTTAGAGAAGAGGAAGGAGAAGAGGAAGTGGACGATATGGATGAAGAAGGGAGTGTGCTGGATCTGCTTGCACAGACTCTGGACGAAGTCAGAGAAGTGGCTCAACGGTGTGCTGAGATCGAAATCGACAAAGAGGAAGGACCGTCGCTCCAGCAAGAGGCGAGTGTGTTAGAGCCGTTGGATGCTCAGGTGTCTGTCTCTCGAGGCGTTGGTACGTCTTTTTCGCGCATATACTCGGTCTAACATCCTCACTGGACTCTATAGAACAAATCACCATGCTAACCTGGCCACCAACCGCGCTGAATGAGTCTGCCAGCATGCTCTCATTCTCGCGAGCCAACGATATGCACTCTAATCTCGGAGGGCCCTCTGGCTTCAACCTCAATAGCACAACAGGACCTTCATTTATCTTCAACATCTCCGAACGCGAAACCCAAGCCAGACATGATGCTCAAACCCAGTCTCGCTTCCTCGAGACGCAGGCAGAGTCGCAGTCCTATCAAGAGTCGCGTTCGATATCAGACGCGAACGCGTCCATAGCGAGATTTCCCTCGTTTCACTTCAACCTGCACTCGCTCACGCCTCTATCTTCCATCTCCTCCAACGCGAAGAACAAACTTGGATTGGCCTTGCCGACGGCAAAAACACAAAGGAAGGTCAACTTGCTCGTCGTAGTCCTGGAGGTGGAGGGCCCCGACACGATACGCGTCAAGAAAGGTGTCGACGCGGGCAAGGAGGTCTCGGTGCTCAAGCTAATTTTGGGCGAGGAAGACGGATCGGTGGGGAAGCTTACCGCGTGGAGGGAGGTTGCCGAGGAGTGGGGTGGCGCGGGGAAGAAGGTTGGAGTGAAGAGGGGCGATGTGGTGCATTTGGAGAGTAAGTTTTCTTCCCTATCGTCATACCTTATTTTGTGAAGACTTACGCGTTTTTGGCGCTAGATGTGATGGCGACATGCGACCCAGCGAGCTCAACGACGCTCTCCGCCTCGCCGTACCTCAGCTCCGCGTTTACGATCTGCTACCGCACAATGCCGTACACACATGAAGATGGGAGGCTGCGACCTGACCTCAGGCTAGGCGCGAGCGAGCCCAGCGTGCGCAAAGTCGCGGCTGTCGTCCGTTGGTTTGAGAACGTGGCTGGACTTGCTTGTCCTACTTGATAGTTGGTAAGACAATCTCGTGCTGGGAGATCGGGATTGTTGACCGGACCTGACTCCGGCCGGGTCTACGAGTGAGGTGTGCTTTTCTCTGTTCAGCAGCATACGCTAACGTCCCAGTTGGAGTACGTAGGGTCGGTGTGGCGAAACTTAATCGAGCCGTCGATTCCGTCGATAAAGATATCATGATATTATTACAGAAATACAGTTAAGAGTCCTTCTAGTCGTCGCACGTCCTTAGACAAGGGTGGCCGCCTCCTTGATGAGGGCCTACATCGCGCGTGATGAGTGGGCCTGCGCATGAAGGTGAAACATACCTCAAGCTCTTGTGGACGAGCACCGACGACATCCTTACACTTGTTTCCGTCTTTGAACAAGAGGAAGGTGGGCATCTATCGATGGCGACAGCAAACGTGACGTTCAATCCATGAAACTCGATGCTCGATGCTAAATGCGCACCGCTCTAATGCCGACCTCCTGTGAAATCTCAGCCTGCTCGTCAACATCGACCTTGTAGAATTCGACGCCCGCGAAATCTGAAATCTCCGACAATTTCTCGAAGATGGGCGAGATGGCCTTGCAGGGTCCACACCACGTTGCCCAGAAATCGATCAGGACGGGCTTTCCGCTGTCGATCTGCGCGATTGCACAAAGGAAAGAAGATCAGTTATTCTTGCCCTGATCCAATCCGAAGATGAAGGCACGCACAATGGTCTTGAATTCGGCGAACGAGGTAATAGCTTTGACAACCATGTTGGGTGTGAGTGTTTTGAAGGGTGGGGATGGGGAGGCGGTGGTGGAGGTGATTTTGTGGAAGGGAATGCGTCAGACTGAGGCTTTTATATCGCACTACGTCTGACACCGCGTTGATCAGGAATCTTAGGAATCGCTCACGTGCCCGATAGACCAAAGATGTCGTCATCCGGGAGCGTGGGAAAGTCGGCGTTGCTCTGGAGTCGCCGGTTTTAGCTTTCACTGTTACTAAGCTTTGCTCGTCTTCCTGAGCACTACGCCGCTGATGTTTCGATCCATCGCTGGGCAGTCTCTGGAATGGTTTGTAAGCCACAGAAGGAAGAGGAAGGCGTTTCTCGAATATTCAGGTCTTATGTGGTATTCGTGGGCATTTCACGTCTATTTCGCTTTGTGGACGGAATGGTCATCGTCTTTAATGTCGTGTGCTGTGCGTTTTAAAATTACCAAACTCTTCCATCGAAATCACCGACCATCTTTATTACAGTTGCGTCTATAGTTAACGTTCTCTGGAGGGCTATAATAATTTAGTAGGGAGTTAACGATACACTAGGAACTGCGCAGACTCCTCGTAGGTAAGTAGAAAAATCAATCATTCTCCTGCCAAATGTCCTCATTGCTCCGCAGTTTCGAGTCGCGGTTTCTTCTTCAACACCTCGTCCTCGTCCTCTTCTTTCCGTGCTAAGTCATCGGCTCCACGCTTTCGCCGTTCTGGAGTCGGTGGCGCCGGCGCATTGATATTGATGGGCGCTAAAGAATGAGAATCTGCTACGTTGTTGTCCGCAGCATGTGGAGCGTCTGACTCTTTTGTAGCTTTGGGGATCTCCTTCGCAGCCTCCTTCCTCGCCTTCCTGGCCTGCTTCCTTACTCGTTTCTCTTCTGTCTCTAGCGCGACGAGCGCTTTGTCGATGGCCGCCAAGTATTCCTCGTAGTCTTGTTTCGACGTCTCGTCCAGCCACTCCTTCTTGATATGCGTATGGCTGCCGCCGTGCTCTATCAGAGTCTCCTCGAGTGCCAAAGCGCCGTCGGCGAGCACCTTGGATATGTCGAGGATTAGATCTCGGAAGATCCTCCCAAAGAAGGGGTTGCGGTAGTTGTCGAGGAAGAGCTTGGGATTCTCCCAAAAGCGCCTCTTCGCCGCTGCTGCAACTTCATCGACGGCGTAATCCCACTCGGTCACAATGTCCGGGTAGGCAGCGTACTTGCGGTGGCCGAAAACGGTGAAGTAGAGACAGCAGAGGACATATGCGAATGATTCCAATTCATCCAGGTGGGTGTGGCGATAGAGGTAATCAGCATGGCGGTGTGGGCCGTCGAGGATCCTGAGGGACGTGAATATCTTTGTTCCCTGGCAGACGAATGGTGGTTCAGTACTTAGGACGGCTTGGTAGATGATTGGAGGAAATCTTACCCTGAACGCATGAGTTTCGGGCAAGAGCCCATCTTCCCCAATTGTCTTCGAACCATCCAAGTCAATTAGGACGCCGCGCTGCCCCACTGGCGCGTCCTTGTTTCCCATGAGAATGTTTAGACAGCTGACATCCATGTGGATGACGCCCTTGTTCCATAATTTTTGGTGGCCTTTTCAAAAATATTCTTTCAGCTCGATTGGCCATAGCGCAGAAGACGCGACTTACCTGCCACAGCGTCGCGGAAGCCACGAAGCAACTGCATCCGGGTCTCAATATACTGCGTAGCCCTTCCGTACGCTTTCATAATTATTCTTGACCTCACCCAGTTGCACTCGAATCGGTAGAAGTTTTGTAGAAAGCGGCCACGTAGCTCGGAAAGAGGCTTGCCGTCCTCGTATGCGATCATCTGGACGACTCCATCCAGGCCCTGCGCTAGTTTGAGCGTCTCGTACTCAGGCAGTGGAAGGTCGTCACGCTCGGGGTCCTCGATCCTCGACGAGTCCTTGATAATTACCCGCTCGCCGCTCTCGGGGCAGGTGGCATCCCAGATCGTTGTCGCGCGAGCAATGAGGCTCTCGTCCAGCCGCCAGATGGGGTCAGGACTGTTAAGTTTGTAATCGACTAGCTCCCCTCGAGCGTTCAGAGTCGTGATGTTGCGACTGTCGCTGACCCAGAAGACGTTGGGGTCAGCACCGAGGATGGTAGGTTCGGGACAACAGAGCAAGAGGAGGCAACGAATGAAATCCATGGCGTTTTTATGGATGTCAATTTTCGGGCACTTGACGATTCCACCGCGGTCCAGCCGATAGAAGAAGGCGTTATGCTGGGTCATGACGAGCGCATGGACGTGTGTTCTGTTGCTCTGATAATAAAAGATATCGCTTTGAACGAGGAGTTAGAACACAGGCAGCAACGAGAACGGTAAGAACATACCGAACGAAAGCAAAAAGTTCGAGATGAAGTTTCTCATCGTTTATAACGACGTCTTCCTCATCCTCTCTGACAGCGATGAAAGAAGCAGCGGACTGGACGGCAGCGAGGTCGTACGTGAGAATCTCCGAGTCATCTGGAACGACAACCCCTGGGCGGAAGGTCCTCTCGGTGCCGGTTATGAGCAGCTCAGGAGACAGACGATATGTCTCGCTGACAGCTCCGACCTGGCATCTGAGTGTGGCTGGCTCCGCCCTCGCACGCATAACCCTCCTTTCTGAATACTCAAAAAATCTGACGACGTCCTCGACGATCCTTTGGATATACTCAGTGACCTGGGGTTCTTTAATCTCGATGTCCATATCTGCAGGTATCTCCAGCCACGTCTTTCTTCTGTAGTCATAAAGCTCCGTCTCCTCGAGGAATTCGCGGATCTCTTCGATGCATGGAATCCTGCCTCCGAAAGTAGTGGAAACATAGAACCTATCGGTGCGAAAGGTGAGATCTGAGCGGTCGGTTTCCTTGTGTACGGCCTTTAGGACACGCAGTGTGGCCTCCTCGTTTCCTGCACTCGCGCAGAGAGTAACCGGAGGAGCAGGCATAGCTGAATGATCGAGAAATGCGTGGTAGGATTCTGAAATTGAAGGGTGGTGGGGATGAATGTTGGCAGCGGTCGTAGTTGTAGTCTATGTTCCAATTTGGAGGCTCATCTATATTGGAACGCAGGGCGTGAGCCACAGTGGCCTTCCGACGGCCACAGTTTGTTTGGCTCGTCAACAATGCTGTGCCACATTTACCTCTTTCGGCTACAGTTTCGCACGTGACTCGGTCTCACCTATGCAATGTAAGTAATGCAGTTGAACTGCTGTACGCGCTCCTGAGACACAATTGTGTCAGTGAAAAGTCCAACTTAATTTTCTCCCTCATTGCAGAAGGAAAGAACGCGGGCCTTCACTCCCACCTTTACACACAGTGAATTTCTGGCCAATATTAATATTCATGCTCGGTACAGTACAAGAACAAGAACAATTAAACCAGAAAAAATATTCGTCGACCCCCAGAGTCAACAAATCTGCTCTTCTGACCAGGCAAAAAGATGGAAAAGTCCTAGTGGACGTAGAATGACAATGATGAAGGTGTTTGGATCCACACATTTGTCAGAGTCATGACGGAGAGACTAATGGACACTCATGCTATAATAGTGTTCCATAAAGGCATATGGGGTCCAATTAATGAACCCACATAAGAGACGGAAACGAGATAATCCGAACGACAAGTGCCATTTACCGGGGAGCAGGTCCAGGAGCTATACGAGGTGACCGAAGGCGGCCTCACTTGTCGAGGTAGGCCTCCAGCTCGGTCAACACGCCCTCCAAAGCGCTCACTATTTTCTCGTGCTGTGAGGCGTCGCACTTCTCGCTGTCGACGTGCTGAACGAGGGCGCTCAACAGGGAGAATGACGCACCACAATCTGTGCCGCGACAAACGTAGACTTTCTCATCATGATGTGGGCTCTGGAGATGCCGCATCAGGTTGCGCGTCTCCCGGAATGGCTGGCAACATAATGGACACACAGTCTCGCCGGGAGCGACAACTGGGACATACAGGTGAGTGACGTTGGTGCGGAGGCGGGGAATGTCTGCAATGATGTTCGATTCTTTGCTCAGCAGTCGGACCATCATATCCACGATGACCAAGTTGACGCGGTCGGAAGGACAACCGCCGACGTCGTAGTGCAAAACGAGAGCGGAGCGAGACACGAATGAACTGCTGCATCCGGAGCAATCAATGTCCTTGGCAACATGCTTCGACGATTGGAGATGCTATTTGAGGGGAACAATGGGAGTGAGCATGCTTCCTGGGAGGACAATGGAGAAGCTCGAAATATGACGTACGTTCTTCAGATTGTTGTACGACCCAAAGACCCGCTTGCACTGCCTGCAGTAGAAGTGGCCGTCAAACTCCTCACAAATTGGGTGAATTGCAAAAACAACCTTTAATAAAGGTAGATTTGCAGCGAAGCGTAAATAAGTAGTGCTCTGCCAAACCATGAGGTTGATTGAAGAAGCGATTGCAGATAGGGCAGTGGTTGTGCTCGTCCTTGAGGTGGGCAGCGAGCTTCTTTCGACTGCCGAAGCGCTCGCCGCAGTCCTCACAGGCATGGTGTTCACTCAGGACGACATGCTTCTGGAAGTGCTCCTCGGTGTAGAGGCCCTGACCGCATATGCTGGCGCGATCGGCTTGATGGTGAATTCCGGGCATGTCTTGAAGATTAGAAGAAAAAGGGTGGTGATAGGATAGTGGTTGAATATGTGTCTGTGGAATATGAGTGCCGCTAGATGGGCACTAGAGTAGCTCGTGTAGGTGTGTTTCGTGCAAAGATCGTGAGAGTAATAACGCTGGAGTGGAGAAATAAGCTGATGATCAGCCCCGCTTTTATAGCAGGCACAACCTTCATCGGCACGTGTGCATCTCCATGAGGGAATTGTTGGACGCGCACGCTGGGTCAAATTTGTGTGGCGCATGGTCATGCACCTTCGAGGCTTTAATCAAGTATTGTACAGGGGATGAAGTCGTTACGGGCTGCGCCAACATGTTTCGCTACAATGCAGAATGGGAGAGGAATGAATGAAGAGTCAAGCTTCAAGACCGAGGAGAACGCTGGAAACGTGGTTGTGAAAGGCGTGAAAGCAAGAACAAAACGGGGGTAACTGAGGGATGAAAGGAGAGGGAGCACTGGAATAAAGAAATCAGATCGTAATCCTGGCCATTCGGCCCAACACATTGTCCATCGCATCTCGGACAGCCCTGATCTTCAATATACCACATTTCTCGCTCTCAACATGCTGAATCAGCCCACTCAAGGTGTTGAAGCGCTGGGAACATTTCGGCCCACGACAGATGTAGAACTTCTTCTGGTGGCGTGGGCTCGCCAGGTGCTGGTTGAGGGCTGCGAGGCTCTGATGAACCTTGTCGCACAGGTAGCATTCGTACCCATCCCCGTTCCAGGACGCGGCCGTCGCCATATACGTGATGTTCTGGTTGCCGCTTGATCCCGAAGTTAGAAGACGAGAAGGGTCTGTAATGATGCCTTTCTTGTCATACTTTCGGACGACCTTGTTCACGGTCTCACGGTCTATCCCTGAACAACACGCGCCACTCTCGAGGTGAAGCACGAGTGCACCACGGGATACAAAGCTCTTGTCACATCCACGGAAGGGACACATATTGTCCTTGGGGCGGTGGATGGAGGAGTTGAGGTGCTGCGGAGGAAAGAAACGACGGTGAATCGAGGAACAACCAAAAGGAGCAGAAGCAGGCCGTACATTCTTCAGGCCGTTCGCAGAGGCAAAGAGTTTGTCGCATGAAACACAGTAGTGGTGCTTATTCGATTCGCGATAGTGGTCATTGAGCCCACGTTCGCTCGTGAAAACCCGATTGCAGTCCGAACAGTAATAGTGTTCGTCTTCGTAGTGTTCGATGAGATCGTCTTGGTCGTCGAAGTGTTCATCGCAGTATTGGCAGTAGTCATGACGTGGACTCTGCACCCAGTGCTGCTTTAACCCCGTCCAGGTATCGAAGTCGAGGTCGCAATCGTCGCATTCGTTGTGAGAACTGGAGTCGGCGATGTGCTGGCGATAGGCGGCCCAATGCTTGAAGGAGCGGTCGCAGCGGTCGCAGTAAGGCATTATAGTTTCGATGTGGGATGGTTTGAACGGAAGAGAGCGGCGAAGAAGTCGAAGGATTGGGTGATCGATGATCGATGAGGTGTCAAGTCGCTGGCAAGATAACTGGCGGCGTCGCTCAAAGATGACTCGACCGACAAAGGGTTGAGATAGATGGCGGAAAGGTGAAAGGACTCGCAAAGTGTCTCGAGCTAGTAGAAAGTGACGATGTGAAGTGTCCTTTGTGGTGGGGTACAATTGAGGTGGAAGTAGGGGTGCGTATATATACCGCATAATCCTGACGCTCCGTTTATACTTTCTGGAGATATCATTTCAAGGTCCGATGATGGCCGTCTCGCCTTGGGTCAGACCTAAACGCACAGCCTATATGTTTTCTTTCATTCAGATGTAGGGGAAGATACATTTATTGGTTCTCTTGCGGAGGAAGCAGTAGAATGCTATGATACCCCTCGGAAGGTTGTAGGCGCTTCTGTGAAGATTCCGAATAAACAAGACACTGCATTTTCAGAATTACACACCCATTATCTCTATCTGACCAAGATAACTATCCACAGCGAATTTGACGTCATTGAACCTCGCAACGTCGCACTTGTTGCTCCCGATATGGTCTACTAGACCGCTGAAGGTCTTGAAGCGCTTCCCGCAAGTGGGACCACGGCAGACGTACGCCTTCTCCGCATGGCGCGGGCTGGCGAGGTGACGATTCAAGTTGTGGAGGGATATGAATTTGAGGTGGCAAAGGTCACATTCGAACATGGAGCCGTTCCATGCAGCGTTGGTCGCGATATACCTGCCGTCCTGGTTGTGGGTTGAAGGTCCTACGTAGGAAAGCTGTGGGTCCGTGATTAGCCGGCGTGTGTCGAGCTGCCGAACGTAATTTTCAATGAAGCGACGATGCACTCCTGAGGTGCACTTCCCACTTTCGAGGTGATTCACCAGCGCGCTGCGGGAGCGGAATTTGTGGCCACATTTAAAACTGCATCGGACGGTCTTGGGATGGTGAATGGACGAGAAAAGATGCTGCATAAAAGTTAAAAACGAAGGATGGGTCTCTAGGAGTCGAATAAGTACCCACCTGCATCAGTAACTTTGCATTTCAGATTCCGCAGGTTTCACAACCTAAAAAAACACGCAAAAACCAAAAACAGCGGAAACCTGGGATCCTGGCAACTTATGTCCTTTTTCCGGAAACCTGTCGCCGCCAAGATTATGCTAAAACTAATATCTCATGCTAAAGAACTACACTTATCCCTATCGGGGCGGTAGCAATCGATTGCCGGGAGCTCGGCAACCCGGAAACACGGAATCTGAAATGCAATTTTACTGATGTGTTGAAGATCACGATGAGAATCGAAAGGCTTGTCGCAAGAAATGCAATAATAGTGATCATCAGAGAGAATATAATGTCGTTTCAACGCGTCGTTGTCGTCTAAAATCGTCTGGCACCTATAGCAGTACGCGTGGAACTGCTGGCGATGCCAATCCAGGAACTTCTGGTTCAAGAACAAGTCCTCGCACATCTCGCAGAAGAAGTGCTTGGGATCGTTGATGTAGTGCTCCAGCAGAACGCGCCGCCTCGGGAACGCAATTCTGCAATCCATGCACACATGATGGTCAAACTCGTCGCGGATGTGGTCGTCGAGGTCGAACCAACTGTCCTGGTATTCCCCGCAAGCTGGGCAATGCGAACCGCCTTCGCGCTCGTGAGCCGCGACGATTTCACGACTTCTGTGAATAAAACGAGGGCATTAAGCACCAAGGACGATTAGGCACGGATTGATTTACACAGGTTCCATTAAGAGGAACATCTGCATGAAAGGGGAGTCCATAACATCATCCAGATCACCGTCCATGTCGTCGTCCATGTCATCATCCATATCGCCGACCATGTCACTGAAGCCCCCGAATTCGCGCTTCAGAAAGGACATGGATTACTTCGCAAAGTGGAGGATAAATGAGGTAGGTTCAAGACCAGCTCTTGTCGGAGGGTGCCTTTATATTGAGTCAAGTCAGATGTGAGACCTTGGGACAACAAGGTGGGCGATGGCCCCTGCGCATTGCACCGATCGCCCCAAGGCCCCAATAAGGGTGCAATAATAATAATAATAATATTACACCGCGTGGACCCTCTAAGGATCTGCGGGACAATGAGGGGGAGTACAACGACAATAGCCATAGTGATGTAGTAAGAAAATGATACTTGACGCAAGCATACCCAATGATCAATGAAAATGTACAATGACCAATGACAATATAATAGTCGAGGGAGGCAGCAGGCAAGAGTGGGCAGGTGCGAGGCCTTGAGTTATAGTAGATGGTTGGTGGGACGACGGACGACAGATCTGAGGGTGTCGGATCTGGATGGTGGGCGATGGGAATACGACTATTCCATCGAGACTCGTCTCGCACTCTTGGACCGTCAACCACAAGTACCGGTAATGGCTAATTGACGCCTCCTACGAGGAAGAATGTTTGGGTCGTCTACATGAGCCATTGTCGTGTGTTTATGAAGTGGCTTGGGAGAGGGTGTTACATGACGTCATGGCAAAGGAGTGTGTCGCAAGGTATATGTCAACGGACCCTGGATCCGGGGGTTTCGATGAGGTTGGGGTAGGGCTTCGACTCGCCGTCGCCATCCACAATGAGCAGGAGGTCGCCCAAGGATGGAAAAAAGTTGATAGAGCGGTGTCTCAGATGCGAGACACAACGGCGAACGACGAGCAAGCGAAATCGAGGTGATGATTGACGAGGCATTGCAAGGGCGTTGACACTGGTGGAGAAGTGTCATGGGCGAATTTGATTCGTGTCATTAAGTTGTGAACGAGCTGCCGTTGTGGACAGTATGCGATTTCTGCTGAATGACTGACTCATTGACAGCGAGAGTCAGTTCCTATGTGAGTAGAAGTAACTAGAAGCGAGTCATCACCGTCGTAGATAGTTTGAAGAAGAAGAACACATCACCGAGTGGGATATCCAGCGAGGGGACCAAATGTCTCAGAACACGCGCACGGGCCAAAGCGCAATAACGAGCGCAATCCAGAGCCGAATGAGCTCCTTTCTTGGTACGCGGTGGAGGATGTTGAGTTATACTGTATTGGACGACGACTGAGCTCGTAAACGAGGCCGATGAGCCCGTCGAGAAAATCGATGGTGATGGGGTGCTAGACGTTTCCTTCAGAACCCTGCCCAGAGGGTGACACTGGAGCGATGACCAAGTATGGTGCCTTTCAAGGCTTTCGTGAGTTTCAGACGAAAACGCTTGTCTGAAAAGTGCCCAGAATTGCTGAGATGGTGGTGGTTGGGAGAAGGAGAAAGTATGAGTCGTGATCAGTGTTATCGTTCGACGTTCAGCGTTACTTGTGGTCTTATCTTATCTCACAGAATACACACCGGCAACTGAACCAAGGGTATTTATCGTAGGGTATTGCACAGGCATTGCGAAGCAGGAGGAAGGCGCACCAATCGTAACGTGTCGTAAGTAAGTAAATACAGCTACCCTATCAAGAAATCCCTGAAAATAAAACCCGCGAGTGTAAAGTTGAGGAGGGAGGGAGGAGCTCGGAATCTGTGAACGAGCAAATTTTTTGAGTGATAGACTTGTGCGTTGGTAGTAGATGTAGTGGAGAGCAAGGGAATAAAGGAAAGGAGGGGATGGAGATGAGGCAAGCATAGCAGCGGCCAAGTTGGAGATGGACAAAGAAATATACAGTAGAACAATAAAGAGTCCAAACGTAATACCGCCCATGAACCAATCAATCTAAAGCATCGAGCTTCTCCAACCCGGAGAGGTTCGCCCTGATAGCCTTCACTCGTTCTTCAACCAAATCCAGTGTTTGCTGGAGCTGTTGCATCTCCTCTCTCCAGTTCAACGACCCAGCTGTAGGTAATGGAGGCGACAAGACTTGCTGTACAGGACTCTCCGGTGATGCAGTAGGAGGCGAGGCAGGAACGTGTGCTGAGCTTGGCCCATGAGGCCCGTGCTGCAACACGTTATCGGCAAGGATCGTAGCCTCCTTCTTCCCAGCCGCCAGCTCGTCCCACAGGGCAGTGACGATGCTCTGTACCCACTTCTCTCGGTCCTCCACCTTCCTCGCCTCGAGTTTCCGTGACGCTGCCTCCCGACCAGAGCCCATGCGCATCAGCGTCCACAGGTTGCTGATCACAAGAATGACGATGAGGAACCATAGGATGGTTGTGCTTTCGCTCTGATCCCACGCGTCCCGGATGAGCTCCAAGGCGCCCTTCGTACTCCTCTTCGCAACCTGGCATGCGCCGTCGAAGGTGTCCCATGCCCATTGCAAGCTCCTGGCATTGCGCTCTCGTTCTCGCTGCTTCTGCTCCTCTTCTGTGGGGTGCTTCACCTCCTTGCTTGCGTCAGTTGCGGGTTCTGTCGCAAGTTCGGGCTCTGGAATAACTTCATTGAGGGCTACTGCGGCCACGTCAACGCCTTCAGGCAAGAACTCGGATTGATGTTCTTGGATGTAAGCCCGCATGGCCTTCTCTAGGTCGCCATGATAGACTTTTTGACCGTCGATTGCTGAACGTTCGATGATACCTGCCATTGAAAGGTGAGTCAGATAGGTGGGTCAACAGGAGACAGGAACAGTGCTTATATGTGAAAAATAACCTGTTCGATCAAGGAGAACCGGCGCAACCAGCAGTAAAATTATCGAGGGCATGACTGATAATGACAGCATCATCCATGGCCGCGTTTAAATTCGCACGGCTGCGGACAAGACCCCACAGTAGATGGCTTTAAAAAAGCACGGAATCAAGTGCCCAGATTCCCAAGACGAAGCTAGACGGAGGCAAAATAAACCACATATAAAGTACAGGAACTCACCCTTGATGAAGCTCCTACCAGTCCACTCCACCTGCGTAGTTACAACCACACGGGAGCTAACCGGACTGGCCCACGTGATGCACGTCCGCGTCTTCACAGAAAACACACCCCCACTCGGCACATCCGGCGTTCTCGTCGTTGTTATTGTCGAGATGTAGTCGTCGAAGTCACTATACGCTACCTCATCCTTCAGCTCGCACTTTGTTTGTTTGGGGCCAAGAGAGCCGCTGAGAGGCTTGATATAGGAAAAATTTCGTTGGAGCAGCTTCGAGCCTGGGGCGACGGGTGACCAGTCGGACATTTGGATGTCTAGAAAATGGTTCAGCACCGCAGGCAAAAAGAAAGAGGCATGAAAACGTACCAAGCAACTTCTGATCGCCAACCATGAAATCCTTGATGAACCCACTGGCAAACATCAGATTATGTATATTCTCCGGTGTTCCAGGTATGACCACATCCATCGCCAACTCTGAATAGTGCTTATTGTCCCGCCCACATGCGCATTGTGTGACTTTCCTCACAGGAGCTGCTTTAGCAGCGGCGGGAGCAGCGGCGGTGGGTAGGACTCCGACAACAGAACTAGCCATCGTGCTAACAGGGCCGTCGAGAGATCCTCGGCCGCTCGATACAAGACTGGCGCCGTCTTCTGGTTTCGCGAGTCTCCAGATGTTGTAGATGACATCGAATGTCGTATCCCGGGAGAGGAAGGATGCGAAAGTATATTTTGCTTGTCGTGTAGTGATTTGGATGGCATTCGGGATGACGAAGGCGGTCATCTTTTTTTCGAGAGAGGTGATCTCGTAGATCGGGATTGAGAGCTGTTGGTATACGGAGTAGAAAAATGATGGAGGGGTAGATGGAGGTGGCGAAGGAGGCACGTCAGTAATGTCGTTTGGCGACAGGGATGGAGAAAGTTCGAAAGTTTCAATGGCAGAGGCCATGTCTAATAATACAAATGAAGAAAGGGAGGAAAGAAGGAGTAGAGACAGCGGACGTCTCAGCTATAAGAGGGCAGAGGAGAAAGCATTTCAAAGTCGACTGACTGGCCGAGGCCCACGTGCCGTTTGGTAACATGATGAACAGAAACATCGTTGCGCCGTTTCGCCGAGACGAAATCGCCAAGGAAGGTGGATGGCAAGACAAGATATTAAGAGGATCGACACTCACGTCAGTTATCCATCCAAAGATGTTAGCATGGAAGCAAATGTGGTTTTCCGAAATGTATATCCTTCCTTGGATGAGAATTTCTCGTTGCAATGCACATCCATAATCTGGAAACGAGAAGCGAGGATTAATGAAAGAAATGCGGCGTGAAACAGAAAGCAATTACCCTCAATCAAGTAGTCACCCTCCGGAACGGTTGGGAAGAGCTCATGGAAGTCTGCGTTTCTCTTATTACTTGCAACAGCAAAGCCGGTCACAGGGATGTCCTCCTCCGCCAGATCCAGGTCACTGTCGTCTGTCCCACTGTCATCATCATCGTCGCTGTCGTCCAGCCCGCTGTAGTAGTCTGGCCTACCATCGTCACCGAAAGTTGTCGTCGTGCCTGCCTGGCTTGGGGAGGCGTAGTACTCTGACCCTGCATCGCTCTTCGCCGAGGTCGCCGCTGAGGTTCGTCTCGGACGGCCAGACGTTGTGCCCGTGCTCGACTTGCGTGACTTCGCCGACCGAGGAGAGAGGTCCGCGCTTCTTGCCTTTCCGTGGCTCCTCTGACTGATGCTACTTTGCGCAGGCGAGCGAGATAGGTATGGGGGACTACCCGGGGCTCCATTCGCGCTCTTCGAACTGCCTGCTGATGGCTGAGGTGCAACGAGCGGAGTCGGTGAGACTTGTGCAGCTGGGTTCGCCATAGCCAGCCCTGACGCGGCGATGGCGCTCGCAAGCCCCGTAGGTTTGCGCGTCGCCGACCTTTGCCATGGCTTCTTTCCACTCTTGGTCTCACTCGCAGCCGCGGCCAAAGACATGACGGTGTTTTCGCGTTGCACAGGTGGTGTTGTCGCAGACCCGTTCGCCTGCGGTGTTGGTGCTGCCACAGGTTTAGGTTCGGGGAATTTGAGGTCAGTCGGGCTCTCCGTGATGGGTTTCATCGTCACTGCGCCGTTCTCTGCAGAGGGCATTTCCGCAGGCGCAGTTGCCGCCTTCGTATGTCCACTTCCGTTCGCAGTCGTCGTGTTGATCTCAGTAGGCGGCACCTTCTTGCTGTTGATGGACTTGTTCGATGGTTGCTTCCGCACTGAGTGCGTGCCTGGTGCCAGAGAGGTCGACATGGGTGGCTCAGCTGGAGGAGGTGTTGGTATTGGTTGCTGCTTCTTAGGAACGGTCGGCGTAGGTGTAGGCGTGGCCACGTCTTCAGGCTCCTCCGGTTCCTTCCCAACAGTTATGGGCGGTAATGCGAGTTGCTCGTCTTCGTCGTCCTCTGAATCGAGCTCTGCGTTATTCGGTCGAGGGGAAGGTGGAACGATGGTGACGTTGGGTTGCGTGCTGACAGTGGTGACGCTGTCCAAGCTCTTGCGTATGCTAACGTGGCCACTGCTGCCGTTAGCAGCAAGGGTCGTCACAATACTCGGTATCCGATTGTCTCCGGAGTAGTTGGTTCGTTTGTTGCTGTTCGAAATGCTGGCTTGAGTGGGAGTTGAAGGAGAGTTCACAGCATTTGATCCGCCGCTGCCGATGGAGGTCGACTGGGACCTATTCCGGGAAAGGCTGAGGCTGAACCCAGATGGTCGGGAGGATTCAGACGACACTCGCTCGCGCACACTGTTTCTATCTTTCGAGGATGGCTTGACAAGTTTTGAGAGAAAGTTTGGGGCCATACGCTGCGGGAATGTCACTCCTCCATAACGGAGATCATTAAGCGACTGACCCACCTTGTTTCCGCGGTTTGTCCTCACTCAATTTTATTCTTTTCTTCCCCAGATTCGTTCCTATGATGTATACTCCCACAGCTTATCGTTACAAGTGACTTCGACGGGCGCTTGCGGGCGTCGGCTGGATTTGTGGTTTGACGTTGATCGTGTGACAGAGGGATACTACTTCCTGGGCACTTGTGGTGTAGATCGTCCAACACACCTGTTGACGGTGGTGGTGAGAAGAAGAAAAGATGGGCCCCAGCGCTGTCAGGACGGTGAACAACGTGTTGATCCCATGTTTGGATCTGTAATCAAACAATAGATCTAAAAGTACCATACTTCGGTTCGCGTCGTACTGCAGCTCGGCGATGCTTTCAATGTTTGCGACGACCTCAATGCCCGACAATTGCTGAGCTCGGAGGAATGGGGGGTAAGTATCGCGCGGGATATCAGGCCGAGGGGAACATCAGCTTCGGCTATAAAACTCGAAAGGTCACCTCCAGCAGCCCCAAGCCTCCCTAGAGTGCCTCCAGGCCCGGCGCCCACCCCCATGGCTTGGCTGTTTTGTATACCTTGAGAATCGCATTGTCCAAATTTCCTTCTTTTTAGGCTTCTTGTTTTTTTTTTCTTTTTTCAGATTGTAAGGTATCATCATGGCAAAACCTTCCAAACCCAAATCGACGCGACGGTGAAATGTCCACTGCAATCAATGTACTCGTGGAGGGCCTTCGGTAGCTGTGGTTCAACTGAACGATCGTCGACCGGCCGCTCCATTCCGGCTGACATAATGCAGCAATTTTCTGCCTTGCAAGTTCCTGCCTTCAACCTCCATCTTCGTCTCCATGTAGCCTCGATATTACACATTAAACGAACATATTATTCCGAATGACCAACTCAACTAATCGTACACGCAGCCAGGAATTACCTGACGATCGTCAAAGGAATGTAGGGGTAAACGAATGGGAGGATGGTGAGTCCACATCGCGATATCTGTCTGGGTTTACTATGATGCTAAATAAATCATGGATATCGTAAAAAAAAATTGAAGCAGTCTAGAGAATTGACACCAGAAACGACCTGATCAACAAGAAAACCTGGAGATCCCGTCCATGCAAGAAAAATCCGAAAAGCCTTAACGAAAACCTTGGGTGCCTTTGAGCTGGACCTTCGAGGACGATGTCAAAATGTCGAAGATCAATGGCACCGTACGACCTCAGCGTACGAGGGTTCTGCGTCCTTGTCACTTCCGGCGTCGCTGGCCTTAGAGGCGTCGGTGCCATCGAAATCATCGTCAACGTGCTCCCAGGGCTCGTCAACATCCATATCCCTTGTCTCTGCCATGTCGTCCAGAACGATGACGGAGCGAACGGGCGGGATGAACTCAAAGTCGTCGTCTGTTGAAGAAGAAAGTCAGCCTCTAGTAAACAAATCCTTGGCCCAAAGAATGGACGTACCCTTAGCCTTACGCGGCTTCCTAGACGAAGTGACGACAAAGTCCAATAAGCTGACTTTCCTGTCGATGCCCACCGCTTCCTCCACCATTGCAACAAGATTAGCACGTTCAAGCATGCCTGCTCCGAAGCCCATCCCCGCTGGTAGGCTCTTCGTGAACCCAACAGGGGGAACATCCACGTCTGCATCAACTTCCGCATTAGTAGCAGCATCCCCAGCCACGCGTCCTCGCGTCTTCCTGTCCGCTGTAACGCCCTTACCCCCATGGCACCCGTGGCAAGGCGCCCCCGGACCGCCAGCCTTCTTCGCGCGCTTCATGGCGCGTTCGGCTGCCCGCTTTGTGCGCTGCCGGTCGTGCTCGTAGGCACGCACGTCGCGCTCGTTATCCTTGTTGGACAACAAGGGAGATAGCGGGCGGCTGGCGATGGGGTCCTCTGCTGCGCCGGCGCCCTTGGCCAGCGCAGGGGTGGAGGAGGCAAGGTGGGGAGGCTGGACGTTCTCCTCGTCCGACGTCGAACCAGAGACGGACGGGGAGGTGGCCGAGCTGGCTTTGGCGATTCCAGGAGCCTTGAAAGCGCGTTTGCTGAGGGTGGGGGCGCTGGCCTTGACCGGGGTAGTCGCCCCGACGGTGCCAGCGAGCGCACTGGTGGTGGTCTTGGTGGAAGGCATGGTTGAGAGATGAGGGGGTGGTTGGGAAGGTGGTAGGTCAAGTAAAGGTGAGTGTTGTTCACTGAGGTATCTAGCGCAAGAGTCACCACGAAGAGCGAGTCTAAGTTGTGACGTTGCAAGAGTATGGCTGAAGGGGACGAATAGGGGCGGTTGAATGATAAGGGCCTAACCGCGGATGGGAATGGCTGCTCGGCGGGGAAAACAGGGATCTGGGGTGAGTCAACTGTTATCTGACGCGAAACGGAGAGTGATTAGATTCCAATTGGCGGCCTCTTTGTTGGAGATAAGCCAGGTGGTCGGTGTCTGGTGCGGTGCGGAATAGATTCGGATGACTGTTTGACTGGTTTGGCTGATGTACTTCGACTTGAATGTTGCAGATGAGGTTGGGTACGCGTTGGCAGAGAAGATGTGGGGGTATAGCGCTCGGTGACGTTCTTAAACCACCGGAACAACAGTGGTGCTCGGACCTTACACAACATCCTTCAGAGCGGACTGTGGGCATTTATGACATCGGATGATGACATGGCAGACACTGGGTAAAGGCTATTCGTTATGCTTTCAGCGGCGTTTCACAACCGTGCGCAGCGGAGCAGCACACTCTAGAGAGGAACCTCTGCTTTGGAGTCGGAAGTAGAAGTCTCTGAGACTTCAGCGCCATTCCTTCTGTCGCTCCCCAATTGGGCTGAATCAGGAACGAGAAGAAGATTAGATTAGATGCATGCATCTCCATTTCTGCGCACGTTCACGAAGTTCTTGTCTTCTGCGACGGCATCACAAGGGAATAAGGCAGATGTGATCCCCTAAATATGACCACCTCTAGATCGACTAGAGAAACGTGTGTTCGTTCATTGAAGGAGACTCCTGACTTAGACCCTATAGTCAAATAGCATTGTACGATTGGCTATCTTAGTCCCGCCCTCTTACATGGTCAAATGTAAGACGAAGTCTGTCCATTCACCCAAGTATTTTTCTTCTGTCTCGGGAGTATTTCGTCTTTGTCTTCCAGTTCAATCATCCTCGCCTCTCTCCTCGAATCCTTGGCATGAGAGCGTTTAGGCGCAAGGACACCTTGGATGGTAGCAGTAACCTCGTCCTCTCGTTTGTCGGCTCGGTCCGTATCGCCGACGTTGCCGTGGTCCCTATTCACAATGGAATCTATAATGATTGACGATCAAGCGTGAAGAGAGTGTATTCGACTGAGTTAAGTGCATTATGTTACATCCAACCTTGTTCGACCCCTTCTGTAAATCAGGGAGTTTCTCGAATCCAGTTCTACGCGTTTGAAGAATACATTTAATTAGAACACAATCAGGCCAGGAGAAATAAGAGTGTACGTTTCCTTAGGTGTTCCGTGGAATTCCTCCATGTCAATAAAGCTCACGTCTGACCCTCGCGCCGTCATTTCGGAGATAATTACTCAGGAGTGGCGATATAGAATAGCTAAATTATTGTGGTGTATCTCGACGTTTCGTGCCTTTATACCGCGAAGCAAGGGCTTCGATATGAATTTATTTCCCAGATGATGTCATTTCTTACAGCGAAGGAAAGGTGACGCCAGAGCCGGAGATAGACTCTCATGCCGGAAGTTAGTTAAAAAAGTTTCTCGACTTATGTTCTAGATCTATCAAGCTCACAATCCGGTATGCATGTTCAAGTACGCCCTGTTACAGGTCGACTGGCATCATCAGAAAGCCGGAATAAGCATCTATTCCTATTTTCGGGCTCGTTTACACCGCATAGCAGTAGAGTACATATTTTATTCGGTCCTATAATTCCTTTGAAAACAACAGGGCCTAGTAAGCTCGTCGCCTGCTCCTGCGCTCTGCTGTGTTAGGGGTAGATGTGACCCAAATTGGCAAGTGTGCCACTCAACTCGATCACTGGCCGGACCGGGCCACAACATCAGTGCCACACTTTTGACGTTCAACCAACGCTCTCTCTTACAACCACCACGACAACAACCACCATCGCGTTTTGCATTTCTGCCACCTCACCTACATTTCAGCGGCCAGTATTTACCCCGCCATGCCCGTCACCCTTTGCGCTTGTACCCACGAGGCGGAACGAGTGCAAATTCTGCAGGACATCCTGTCAGAGACCGAGTACCCAAATTATACCTTCCTCACTGGCGATGACTACTTCGAAAAAGAATTCCAAGGGAAGATACCATCGCAGGATGTCATCCTGGGTTTTTTGAAGACGACTCGACTGTATTGCACTCAGACGCAAAATTGGCCTCGGGTCCGGTCAGACATCAGGAAGACATCACATATCTTGCACCCTATAATAAATATCGTCGAGGAAGTAGTACAACACTTTGGATACTCGAAGAGGCACGTCGCAAAAGTTCAGCCGCTCATGGCCACAGCCAGCCTGTTGTCGTCCGACGGGCCAGAGACCTTTCGTCTTTCACCAGATTTCGTCATCACTGGCTCGGACAATAACTTTCCTCGAACGACCGTTGTTTCAGGGCGCTCAACTGTACTCAAATACGATGCTTCAACACTCACTTCTTTTGCCTCCTTGTTTGCCGTTCGAACGGAGAGTGAAGTCAGGGATCAGAGGAAACTTATTGTAGAACTCGCTGCCTTGGCACGGTGAGGATTCACTCCGTTACACGTATTTGTATCACTTCTGACTTCTCTCGTCCACAGAGATGTGTTTTATTATCAAGGAAACCGCGTTCATGTCTACGCGGTCGTCCTGACAGAACGCTCCTGGCACCTCTTTCGGTTTGACCGCGGAGGGTTGCTCAAATCTCCTGGTCTTGATATACATTCAAAAGCGATCGACCTCGTTCGATGCATTCTCATCCTCTGCTCCCCCGACGTTGCCGTTCTTGGCCTCGACCCTAAGGTTTTCTGGAGGGACGGCACTCGCTACATCCGGATGCACAACGCCGAAGAACAGGAAGTCGACTACCAACTGACAAACCCGGATCCCGTTTACCGCCTTCATTATGTTCAGTCCCGAGGTTCGACAATATGGGCTGCCAAAGACGAGAACGGACAAGATATTATCGTCAAGGATGGCTGGCATCGCCGAAGCGGCGATACTGTACCAGAGCATGAACTGCTCTGGAAAGCGAAGGGGCTTGACGGTGTGGTTCAGATACTCAGCTCTGAAGATAGCGAGAGTGACGTCAAGACTATGCGTGGCTTCTTCCCGCGTCAGCACGAGTTTAGGGCCAACTACCTCCGGTCTAGAATTATGCTGAAGGCATATGGAAAGCCCATCTCTTTTTTCACGAGTAAGAGGCAGCTTCTTCAGGCGTTTCGCGACGCTGTAGCTGGTAAGTGAATTTTGTCGTTCTGGTGCTCGACGGGCGCTAACACTGGTTCATGAACCAGGACATCAGCGACTATGGAACAATGACATTGTTCATATGGATGTCAGCTCGCAAAATATTCTCCTTGGAAACGAGGGTGCTCCGGTCGGTCAAAGAGGTATTATCATCGACATGGACTTTGCGCAGGCCGTCGCACATGATGAAGTATTGGAGCTCGGAAGCGCTTTCAATGTAAGTCGTCCTTCGCACCTGGTCTCAGGGACCCGGGTGCTTTATTTCTGCTGCTGTTTTGTCCTATACTTACGGTCTCCCTCTTCTCAGGGAACACTGTGCTTCGTTTCGCACAGAATAGTGAACAATACACACATGAACTCTACCGGACGGTCAGATGAGTCTGTTTGCCACACACATCTTGACGACCTGGAATCGTTCGCCTACGTTTTGTGCAAAATTTGCTTCTCGATGGTCGGCCCCGGTCAGAGCAAGGAAAACATTCCTGAAATCATCAAAAGGTGGTTGGGAAATCTCCCGGACGCAGCAAGTTCCAAGACGTCTTTCTGGGAGGACCGAGATGAATATATCGAGGCTCACGTCACACCATACTTTGGCCTTACCTTTCAGTTACTACTGAAAGGACTGTTCTATGTAATCGAAGATGGAACCACCCGCCTGGATGAAACACTCGTGGAAAACGGATGGGCCAGGGATTACATATTCAAGGGGTGGGCGGACGCGAGTGCTGGGATTGATTACACAGAATTTCTCCGGGAGATCGACGAAGCGATCGAGCAGCTGAGGCAGGAGGAAAATGGATGGCAACTTTCTCCGTTAGTCTGGACGAAGGAAGAGCCATTTTCGGATCGTCAAGACGAAGCTCTGGTGCCAATCAATCTCAACACGTCGGCGCCTCTGAAGCGCAAACGCAACTCGGATGTCGAACAGCCTGACAACAATCTGGAGAACGAGGATACCCTGAAGAAGAAGAAGAAATTGAGGATGAAGAATGAGGGAAGCTGATCAAGTAAATACGAAAGATTGTCGTTCAGGAGGATGAGTGATGGTCTGTAGTAATCGTGATGTATAACGAATCCGTAATTGGGAACTATTTGTGCTGTGTGGCGCGCTTTTTCGGTAACTCTCGGACTCTGCTGCTGGAGCTTTCTCGCATTTATGGTTAGGTATTACATATGAGGTAAATATACACCGTCAAATAAAGATCTCCACTGGCGGAACCCTTGACTTGAGTGCCTTGCAGATTACATCCAACTTGTGTTCGAACTCCGAGACCTTTGGTGGGTCAACGTCACCCTGCAACTTCACGTCAAATGCCGAAATATGGCGCTTCATGGCGTCTGTATTAACGGCGAAGACCTTTAACCAAGGTGCCCATGTCGGATCAGCTGCACATGCGACCCAAGTATCCAGATCCTCTAGCATCTCGTCGGATGTTGAGCAATGGAAGGCCAGATACTCCACCGACTTCGGGATAAATGGAGCCATGCCAATATCCGTCTGGTCAGGTCCTCCTAGAATGAGGGTGAGGTCGCGCAGGTTCGAGCATTTGATCAAATGCTTGTGGAACGTGTCGAGGTCGTGGTCATTGAAATCGCACCCACCGTTGCTGGCAATGTGCAACGTCTCCAGCCGGTCCGCGAAGCCTGGGATGTTCATACACGCGTAAATAAACGTATCCATGACATCGTTGTTTATGATTTTGAAGCGCTTGAACTTCATGGGCAAGATGTCCCCGTCGAATCGGAAGCCTAAGCAATAACGCATCGTCAGCGCCTCGATCTGGGTAATGATTTTGGGGTAGTCGGGCAGATATTTTCCGTCAATAATATTTGGAGAATCAGGGTACCATCCTGTGCATTCCCCGATGAGATAGAGGCTTTCAAGGTTTGTCCATCGGTTCTTGATGGTGGTGAGGGAGTGGAGGCGGATCTCTTCTTCCCAAGCGGCCCAAGAACGGAGATGATTCGGGCACAGTCCATCCAGCGCTTTAAGCACCTCACTGGGTGGCTCTGGGCCGATCTCGACGGTGTCGATACGTTCCTCCGCTGGTGCTCGCAAGTCATCCGAAACGACCCGACGAAGGTCCCGCATGAGGTGCTCTGTTCGGAGCCGCTCAAGTCGGCCGTTTGCTGCTTGATTAGCTGGATCTTCAAAGGGCTCTAATGGACGCGCATATATTCCGTCACCCTTCTTCGGATTGCCATAGTGACTTTCGTCGCAGTCCAACTTGTAGAATTGCGCATGTCTGTCCTCGAGGAAACAGATAGGAACCGAGGACAGGTCAATTGTCAAGACCCGGCGACCTCCAGCGACGAATTTCTTCTTGCGTAGTGTCCTTTCCGTGCAGGAGACAGTCAAGATTCGGGGAGGGGCATGGAGAGACAATATGATCTTGGTTGCCATTTGACGGGACATGATTGTCCGAATGAAGTTGCAAGTCGTACAACCCTTGGGTCCCACACGACCATCGTTGAGATGATGAATGAGTCATTTCCAGCTGCTTCCTCAAATTCGCCGCAAGACAGAAGTCTGTACCCACGCCACACAGTCAACCCACAACGGAATCTAGTAGCAACATTATATACTCTAGCAACTCGTAGAGCAGTGGCAATAATTGCAAGGAAGAACGAGCATCAAATAGCGTGCACGACGTGTTTTATCAACAACAAGAGAGAAAGCTATATTAAATACGTCCAGATACCCGGGAAAAAAAGATAGCAGGAGAGATATAGGAAGGAGTGTGTTGGCACAGCATGCAGGTCCGTGATGGTGAGGAGTCCGTGCTCCTCATCGGGGGATGTTCCGCGTGCTTCGCGTTAGAATTTCCGGTTGAAGGGCGAGTCATTCATGATCTTTTTGGTTTCTGACCTCTTCTTCAGATAATAGAAGAGTTTCTCAATGTCAGAGAATAGCACAACGAGGAATGTCAGCCCCAAGATAGGTAGAGCGAGGATCCAGAAGCTGGTGCAGAGGTTTCAGCGGTAGGTCCTATTCACAGGGAAAGAAATGCAGCTTACAAAACGTCGCTATTGTTATTCACAGACCAAAAGTCGACGAAGTTCATTCCGAAGTAACCAGTAAGGACGGTCATGGGTAAGAAAATGATTGTTACCACCGTCAGACGACGCCTGCAAAGCACAGGTGTGTCAGTACGTTGAATGTGAATGACGAAACGACTCAAGTGACACGTACATGACTTCGTTCATTTCATAAGAAGCAATCTGTGCGGTGAACGACTCAGCAAATTGCTTTGAGCCAATGCTAGAGCCACTTACATTGAAAGTGTAACCAATCAAGTTCTCCGCAATCCCTGCGAACATATCCAAACTTGACAAGATATATTCCATATGATCATATACATCGGCCTGATGGAGGGATGGTTCATCTCAGTAAAATTGATTGACTGCTATGCACGCACCAGATAGATCTTGGACTTGTGGCTCATAAAGCCAACAATCGGGATGCCAGCATTCGCAGGATCGGAGCTGTCGACGAGCGCCGCACAGCGGTCAACATCGTATCTGCGGAGCCCGTACACGAGCGTCTTAATAGGCTCCAGTGTACGTTTGTGGAGGATCAGATCGCCAGAGAGGATGTGCACTGCATAGTCGGCATTTGTCATCCATGAAGGCAATCTAAAAACAAACAGCGGCGACTTACGCCTCCTCACGGTTTTCATCTTGGGTCTCAAAAGAATGTCGTGTTCATATTGGTTAATGTTGGCGTGGTATTGGTCGATGACTTGGAGGGCCCTGTCAACGACTATGGCATGGATGAGATGTTGTGTCCACATGGGCAAAGGGAGACCAGGCTTACTGAGGTCCAGGATGGCGTAGATGAGCAGGGAGGGGTCCGCCGACTTCCTGAGAACGGTGTCAAGAGCTCTGAGCCGCTGCGAAATGGGAGCGGTGAAGGTCAGGCTTGTCGATGGGTGTAACGAGATCACGGTTCCTGACAGATTGGAGTAAATACACGGCAGTTCGTGTGCACTGAAAAACGTGAAAATTACCATCTCTGAATAAGAAGAGGAACATGGATGATACATCGACTTCCACTCTTTCACCCTATATGATTTGGTTAAAGGCAGTGGCAATATGGAAAGCAAGAGCACATACATGTTTGACAGCTTTCAAGGATGCCTCTTCCTTCTGCCGAGTCTCCCGAGCTGCTTTCGCCTGAGATAGATGAGATAGGTCCTTTGACTATCCAGGAAAGACAACTCACGGCACTCTCCCTCATCAGAAGCTTCGATAAGCTATTTGGAGATTCTGCGCTGCTCATGTTCGAGAATTTGACGTCCTTCTGACTGGTAGGTAACACAGGATTCTTGCGGCGTCTGAAAGAAGTAGGGCTACCGAGTCGAGTGCGGTCCTCATCAGCTTTCTCTTCGGACGGGCTCCGGGTATCATACTCGTCCTCAAGTGGCTCAGGAGATGTTGTACGTTCGGGACCAGTGATGCCAGGGTTTTGCTCCCCTTCAGCGAGTTGATGGCAGAGGACACGAAGGAACAGATGCTTGGTGTAGTAGTCAGCTTTTGAACGCGTTCTGGGGTTGCCCTTCACGACATCCTCCAGCGCCAATGGGTGCAAATCTGAAAAGGATGTCAATTTCAAGACTCCAGATAAATTGCAGTGAACGCACCGTATTTTATCGCCAAGGCTTTTATGACGTCCCAACTTATACCACCAATGTTTATCCATCGAACCTTCACCCAAGGGTCCCTCTTCACTGGTTCGGGCGAGTCCTGGTCCATGAGGTCGATAAACTCCTCGTTCGTGAACTTGCGCGAGATACATCGAAGTGCTGAATAGTCCACAATTTCGATTTCACAGTGCCTGTGGATGTGCCCGTATGTCGCGTCAGCCGAAGCGCGCCGCGGGTCGACACCTGGCTCTGCCCCAATACGCGCCCCCAGGCTATTGAACGTGGTCCCGCGACGAATCGCCATGATCTTGCGCACCGCCGCCCTAAATTTCTCCTTGGGAGGGAGCAGCGCCCATCCTCTGGTTGGACCCGTGGCAGCCGAGGGGTGCGCCCTGGACACCTTCGAGTGCATCGACTTCTTCGAAGTCCGAGACTTCACCCTATCCAGCTCTGCACGTTCGTGGACATTGATCATGGGCGGCCTCTGGGAGTAGTTGGGTGATGCGGGAGAGATGATGAAATCCTCGTCCTCTGGGTCTGGGGTGACGGAGCGCCCCTCAGAGTCGCTGAAGCTGTTTTCTCGAGGCATTGGCGAGGTCGACGGACTTTGCTAAGAACCTTGTCCTGGTTGCGGGTGTCCTGGTCAGCGCTCCCTGGACTGTGAACTATTGAAGCAGGAAAGAAAGGTGCCAGCGCTGGCCTTTCAGGGCCAGCAGGATCCTGTTGATTAAGCCTCAAGTTCGCCGCGTTCCAGGACAAAAAAAGCACTTGGTTACCTCCGGAGACATCAAGGGCTGTCAAGACACGAATAGATTGATTCCATTGGTTGGATGTCAGAACTTTCGTGATAACTTATATCTTCTTTGATTTCGATTTCAATGAGTGTAGGTAATAGTAGGCGGTATAAGACCATACATATGATGCACGAAATATTCCAACACGTGAATAACAGGGAAGAGAATAGGAACGTCTAAGTTGGCGACAGCAAAAAGCAGATAGAGGTCAAATAAAAACGATGGACGAGAAGAGTAATGACAGCGTTCTTTAGGCACGACTAGCACGAGCAAAAAGGAAAAAAAGGCAGTAGGGAGTGTGAAAGCCATTACAAACGAGTCGGCTCTAAGTTAGGGAAACGAGATGCATAGGGTGGATTGTTGCGATTGCTATTGCTGCTGACACTTGCGTAGATGCACGACTTTGACGATTGGCGAGCTTTAGATGAGGATTGGCGAGAGAGGTGAAGCCAGACCAGCAGGCCTTCGTTATGTGGTTGATTGACGGGGTGACGAGAACAAGGAAAGCACCTTCTCGGCTGCATTGTTTTTATACTTCTTCAGCTTCTTGTTCTTCGGCTTCATTTCCGACTGAGGCGACCCCTTAATTGCATCGGCTGCTTCAACCATCACAGCTGACTGTCCATTGGACTGGTCGGAGGACTGGCTTTGCGCACCAACAGACATAGCCGACTCCTTGGACTTCAACGAGGGTGATAGGGCAAACGTGCTTCCAACAAACTGCGAAGGGGTGAGGAAACCAGCAGATGACGTCGACGCCGCTGAGAGCGTGTTAGTGTTTGAGGCGGACTGCGATAGTGAGCGCGCTGATTTGGAGAAAGACGACGGAGGCGACTTGGGTTGCAAGAACGGTCTGGGATGCCTCCTGAACGGCAGGCCCGCGGTCCTTCCCCGTCTTTGAGACGGTGACGGAGAGCTCGTTGCATCTGTCGTCCCTGATGCTGCCGACATACCAGAGGCGGACCGCTGGGGTCCTCTGGAGTTCGGTGTGGTTGATTTCCGAAATACCGCGAGGCGGTAACGATCCACAACACCGCGAGCGAACAAGCTTGTACCCTTCGCGCCATTCCTGTCCTCGCCATCGCCAGCCTCAACGAAGTCCCAGTCGTCGTCTTCTTCATCCCGCTCTGCTTCCGTCGCCTCCGTGTCCTCGTCAATGGCATCCGAAAGATACCGATCGAGAGCTGGAACACCAGATTTTTCTCTGCGAGGACGAGCGCTGCGATTGTTGACTGGTGGACGAGTAGGTATAGGTTTTGGAGGAAGAGGCGGCGGCGTGACTTTGCCAGTTGCAGCAGATTCGGAGGTAACAACAGATGACAGATCCTTGCTCTTCCGTTTTGCAACAATTTCTTCGACTTTGGTCTCCTCTCTTGGCGTCTCTGTGGCATCTGGAACCAGCGGCGCCTTCGTTGGAGGTATAGCAACAGGTGCTTCAAGCTCTGTCTCGGCAACAGGAGGCAGAACGGCAGGCCTGGCCTCAGGTGTCTTCGGTTCCGCAACCTCTTCCTGCAGGTCCTCGTCGAGAGGCTCCGTTTCACCAATTTGAGCATCTCGCTCCTCCTCCAAACCTTTCAGAAGCGAAGTACCGTCCTCCTCTTCCCCATCCAGACTACCTTCCTCTGAGCCTTCTTCGGAGCCTTCCTCCTCATCGTCGATGAGGACTGAATGTCGACCCTTGAAGGAGTATCCATCAAATACATCGACGTCGTCGTCCTGTGGTTGGCTGCTTTGTGGTCGGACGGAGGAGCTGCGTGATTGCGACGGCGTCGTGGCAGTATCTTCGCCATCAGTACGGTCAGCATCGGTTTGCGGCTCTTGGTCGGTGTCAGTTGCTTCATTCTCGTTGAAATCGTCGAGCACAGGCTCCATATCAAGGAAGGTGTCATCGAAGTTCTGAGTATCGCTAGCGTTCGAGGGGTCGATAGGCGGAATATACGGGGCTAAACAAGTGTTTTAATGCATTGCCTCTATAGTTAGTTGGGAAACGAAACATACGTATGTAGCGCTTATAATACACATGAGACCAATCACTGGTCGATGTTGAGCAAATAGAAGAAAAATAAAATAGAAGAAAGACATACATCATGGAGAAATAGGGATGCTTTTTTATTCTAGGCTCGCAAATCCGGAGGGTGGGTAGTCGCTGAAGAAGCTGAAGAACAACCATGAACACGAAACGAAGAGAAATGGCAGTCGAACAGCACATACACCGCGAATCAAACTCTTAGTGTCTTGGTCGATCGCCCTATCATCTGGGAATTGAAGTTCGTCCTGCAGAACGCGGACGTACATGTCCGAATGGTTGTTTGCCCAAAATGGCGTCTGAGCGGAAAGAGAAAGAAGAGAGAAGATCAGAACACATGTCTTGAGCAGTATGACAGAGAAGAGAAGACTCACAATCCCGGTCAACATCTCGTACAGCATAGTTCCAAAACTCCACCAATCCACTTCATAGCTGTAGGGCAACCCTTGAATGACCTCCGGTGCCAGGTACTCCGCAGTGCCACAGAACGTCGTCGTAGAGTCCGTGTGCCCGATTGGCTGCCCTGGCCACCCCAGCGCCAGGTCGCCATTCCGTTCGGGCTTCATCCAGGGCGGAGTTGCGGGTTGCGGTGTGCCGGGTACAGAGGAGTAGAACTCGCCTCTTGGGCCGCCGTGGGCTGAAGGTGGAGGAGCTGTGTGGTGACGCCTGGGGAACTCTTTGGACAGACCGAAGTCAGTAAGCACGATGTGCCCATCGCCGCCGATAAGGATGTTCTCAGGTTTCAGATCACGGTAGATGACACCAGCTGCGTGTAGACCTTCGACGCCCTCGACGATTTCGGCAGCGTAGAAGCGTGCACGGTCGCGTCCTAGTCGGCCCCATCGTGCCAGCTGGGTCGCAAGATCGCCTCCAGGGTGGAAGTCCTACAAGTAGACATATTCGGCTAACGATCTCACAGAAGTGGGTAAACACGTACCATGACCAAGAACAAGTTTTCCTTATCATGGAAACTCCACCAAAGCTTGACGACAAATGGATCCCTACCCTCCGCCGCCATCCTCTTCAGCACCGCCTGTTCAGTCAGCGTGTGCTGAAGCTCCTGATGCGCCAGGACATGCCGTTTCGTTATAGCTTTCAATGCAAATAGATCCGAGGTCTGCTTGTGCTTTACAAGCAACACTTTGCCCGCACAGCCTTTTCCCAGGACACGCATCATCTCGAAGTCATCGATGTTAACTTTCCGCAGAGACTTGCGTGGTTCCTTGGGTGTGCCGGCACGCGAGGCGGATCGTTTCCTCCTTCGGCGCGAACGTTTCTGGTGTGCAGATGAAGATGATTCGTCGCCCGTCTGCGACTCAGCTCCACTCTGGGATGGAACAGAGGAAGTGTAAGCTCGCGAGAGACGATGTGATTTGTCAGGGTCGGCTGATTGTGAACGATGTAAACGCGCAGTGGCTGCGACAGGTGTCGACGGGGCGACTGCTGCATCGTCCTGCTCTTCTGAAGGTTCGGTAGACGGGGTGGCGTCCTTCGACTCTGAAGATTCCTGAGTCAAGGTCGAGTCGGTCGCGTTCGCTGCTTTAGACGGGTGACCTTCTTCCTTCTCCTCTATCTTCTCCTCAATACCGTTTTCTTCCTCAGCCTTCTCCTCGGTACTCTCAAGCTGTTCGATGCTCTTCTCAAGCACACTCCCTGCCTCGCTCGTCGCTGATACTTCACATTCTCCTTCTCTTTCGATGGGATACCCACATGTGCCGCAAGATCCGACCTGACTCTCTTGATGGCCCTCTCTACCCGCACGCTCTCCAGATCGTCCGTTCTGACATGGACAAAGCGCTTCCAAACGCGGTTCATGCGCAGCACTGGAATGTTGGACACCGTGGTCAGGTATGCTGCGATCGCAGTGCTCGTGGCGGATGGCGGGGTAGGAGTATTCATGGCCTCCGCGGTGCCATTTGTAGCAGCTTCGCCTTCGCCGAAAGAGGCGAACGGATCACCCACCTCGACTGCTGGTGATGCGAGCGGCGTAGGGCCTAATCCACTAGCCATTCGACGCGAATTGCTCGCTTGACGTTGGCTCTTCGATGACGTCGGCGAGGCAAGACGTGATAAAGTGTTGAGAAACGTTGATTTCCGCTTCGGCGGCGCGGGTAGGCTGTCGGGGTGGATAGGCAGGGCGGGAATCTTGACACCAGGATGTGACTGTCGTAGCTTGGCGTCGAGGTCGACGAGCTCCATGGCGGTGCGGGTGAGGGTCAGGTTGTGCGTTGGAGCTGCAAGGACACCGCAGTCAATACACGTTCTTGATATAGGATAGGACTTAAACGAAATGGATGGCGAATGGATGTAATAGGAAGGTGATGTGAATGGCTAAATGATCAGGCGTCTTCCTCGAGCGTCGTGTAGAGATAAAGAGAGGAAACATTGGGGACACGGAAGCCCGCTCTTTGCAGAGACTTGAGAGGGACATGGTTCAACAAACATAACGAACATGAGAGAGCGCCGGGTAAGATTAGAAGGCGTCTAATTGGAGGCGTGGCTCGAAGACCAAGAGCAACCGATTCGAAATAGAATCACGAACTCTGGCTGGGGGTCCCTCGCCGCTCAAACTGCACAGGAATAGGAGAAGGATGCAAGATGTTCCTTTCTCTCGGCCGTCGTATGTGACGCCCGGAAGTGTGAAGATCGATCAAGAGAATGTTGACTCAAGAAACCTTGGATCAAGGGAGGGTGTCCGCCCAAGCAAGACAACTCGGGGTGCCAACCGCGAGAGCGCTGAGGCGATAGAAAGACCATGGGAAGGGGAATAAAAGGGACGAGAAGCTCAGGGTTGAGCCTGGACGTGAGTCCGGGGTTGAGTTGCCCCCAGAAACGGTAGTAGAAGCGGTTAAATGAAACAACTGGTGGCATGGGGAAGTGAAGTGAAGAAATTGGGAAAGAAATGGCCAAGATGCAGGAGGAGGGTGCTCCGATAGAATATTCAGACACGAATTGAAAAAAGAGACGAAATAGAGGACGAGGCAAAAATAGAAGATGAGGGAAAAACTGGTCCAAAACTGGCCACCTCATCCACTGGACAGTGGTTCGAAGGCAACGGGTAGGGAAAGGAGTGCTAAACCACGAAAGCATGGGGAAAAAGAAGAGACAGAAAGCAAGATACTCACTCTTGACGTACAAGCTGTACGACCGTGCATCGTCCGGTGTTTCGGCTACACTAACGCTCCAAGGCCCATCCTGCGTGTCCATCCTCACTGGAGCTCTCCTCGACGACGACGGTAAGTTGGTGTCGAGTGCCTTCATGCTATTATCGTGTGCGAGATCTATCACTGTTGGATGGGATGTTGTTGGTCTAAGAACGGCACCGGCGGTGTTCTGGCTCTCGCTGGAGGAAGTAGCAGCAACGGTGGGAGTGGAATCGCGTTCAAACGAGATAGTAGCGATGCTGGTCCTTCCTGAGGTGCTGGTGGACTCCTTTCTCGCTGGGTTGGTGTACGGACGGAAGATGTCAACGCTTCTCCAGGTGGTGCTTGGGCCCTGCGAGCTGGGGTGGTCTTGAGAGTTTCGGACTGCCGAACGCGAACGAAGCGACCCAAAAACGGCGCCAAACTTTTTCTTCGGAGCTGGTTGTGAGTCAAGCGACTGCGGTGCGTGCTGCTGTTGGTCGACGGCAGTGGTGGTGTGCACGGCGCTTGGCATGCGATGGGGGTGGGTTGGGCGCTGCTGTGCGTGCTGAACGCCTATTCAAGTAGCCTCAAGATGTGTTTGGAAGAGCGTTTGGATGTGATATGTCGACAAAGGATTTGCGGGAAAAGGAGCACGAGGCTAGGGGTGGGTTGAGTTTGGGCGTGTTGGATTTGGTGCAGGCCACGAGTTTCGGCAGTTAGGCCTTCCAAGACGCCTCGAGGCCCGTCAGATCGATGACCCTGGAACAATCTGCGATAAACGAAAGTAAGGAGTGTCGAATGGTGGAAGCTGGTTGAAGATGGGAGTAGAGGAATAAGTGTAATGGCGTAGTTGTTGTGATCAGCATTTTTCGGTCGCTCAACTCCTTTTCCTTTCCCATGGATGTTCCCGCTACATCCATCTATGTCTTGCTGTGCTGCCCACCCCGTTTTCATGGAAATTTATCTATAAAGCAACATTGCCCCATACAAATGGGTCTCTCGAAGAGGGTGCCAGCGGATAGTCGAGCTAGCATCTTATCGATGGTCCACAACATATCTCGCCACAGGCCCACACTTATCGCCCGCCCCAGTTGAACTGAGGCTTTCTCGACAACGTCAGCGTCATGCATGATTCAGATATCGTGGTCTTGTTGTAGCACTGCACAGAGAGGTTCAAGCTCGTCTCCCATACTAGCTTGCCTCTTCACCTAAAATAAGCTACTACTAACTTGAAGCAACACAGCAACAGGATCTCCTAGTTGAACGCCAAGCCACGGAAGTATCTTGTGGATATTATATCCGTCTTTCGACTGGAGTTGCTGCTGGAAACGTCTTGGAGCCCTCGCTCGGGGAACCGTGAAATGCCTCGGTACTCAGTGGACACTTTATCCCTCCATCTCGAAATTTTCAGGTGAGACTTCGAAAGTTCATCGGCGTTCTTCCCGCTCAACTGCATCAGACCTCACAGCCGTGCACATCAGCTGATGGCGTCCCGATGTTATAAGCACGACGGGATGCCTTTGAAGCCAGGTCTCCTCTGAAAGTAATGCATTTTGACATCCAAAAGTATCTTTATGCCTTGGTGTGCCGGCGCCCAAAGGTTTTGTTGCGACGGAAGTGTGCCTCCCGCTATTTTTCCACGTATACCGACCCAACCTACATTCCTCTCCTGGACTTGGATTCCCAAAATCCACTGCGCTCCGCTCAAGTGTTTTGCAGCCTTGAGAAGCCGCAATGAGCCAATGTCGTTGACTTTCGTCCTCGTCTATCAGCGTTCGCAATACATGGAAAAATCTCGCTGAGGGTCAAGACTCGAACATTAAGTGATCCAAACGCTCGGACAAAAGGCGGTGAAGATCAATTGATCATATAGCCTCCTCCCGAACTTCTAGCAGTGACGAAATCGGCGTTCTGATATGCTCAACTAGCACATCTACTAACTGATAATATCCGCAGGGCACTCTAATTACCCTCGGGACCCGAGGCAGGTATGGAGCAAAAGGTCTTTCCCCGCGCCCTCTCTGGCCTTCAATTTCCGACCGCCCGCGAAGCTTCGAACTATTGCGCAAATACCCAGACTAGCCAGCGGTGGTGCCAAGGTGATCTTTCTTCCACCGCTCTACTTTGTAAACCTCGAAATTACAACTACTTAACCTTTTCCCTCCAGGAACAACGTCTATCACCGGATGCAAGTATACGAGGAATTCAATGGTGTTTTTTTTTGACGGTTGTACTTTTTTCTTCATGAACTCCGATTCGTTATTTCGTACATTGGAAGTGTCAAACGTCCTGATGCAAAAGGCTTATTTCCGTTCCTAGAGAAAACCCCAGAACTTCTTGTCTTCTCATACTCCGAAACTTAACGTCTTCTTAGGCTCCGAGTCGAGTGGGCTACTCCCACGCAGGGCTCAGTCGGGCTCCTGCTCTGTAGCGCTATTCAAAGGAGATGGAGGTTGCCCCATATTTCAGAATGGCCTGCGTAACCCGGTCCTGTTGTCTCGCCGTGAAACAGTATCTTTGTTACCCCAATCGGCGCTAAAAATATTTAGATTAGATTGCGGAAGCGAGACGACTCAATTCAGTTCTTCAAAACGTTAAATATTGAGCGCTTCCGCCCCTGCCACACGCGAGCTTTGGGCGTCAAATATCTTTCTTTCCGTAAACACGACAGCATCCTCTTCCTGGCCGCCTATTTAGCGTGCCCTGCACCCCTGGCGTTCCAGAGAGAAAGAGGAGACAAACGCGTGAAAGTGATGATGATTGGCGAGACGCGACTTCACGTGACCTGCCAACGCGCTTTAGGAACCGCGTGGACGAATTTCGTTTGGCCCTCATCAACTGGTTGGCGACTTACATAAATACCACGCCCACACCAGCCCCGGCCGCGTCCTCCCCTCCTACCGCTCCTCCTCCTCCGCAATGGACTCCGCCCTCCTCTCCGCAAAGATGCCCCCTGCACCGCTCTCGCGGACGTCGTCGGCCCACAGCTTCTCCTCAGAGGACGACGCGTCCTTGGGTAGCAGCCCCGCGACGGTCATCAGCAGCTCACGTCGCACCCGCAAGAGGTTCACCAACATCCAGCTCACCATGCTCGAGAACCTCTTCCACCAGAACTCGCACCCATCGCGCGAGGATCGTGAAGCCGTCGCCAAGGCTGGAGGAATGTGAGTGTTGTTCAACCTGGGCGCCACACCGACCACCGCGTCGGCACGACTGCCTATTTGTGGCCCGAGTCACTGACGCGCCCGCCTCCTATTTCCCCACTATCAATTTTACAGGGAAATCAAGTCCGTCACGATCTGGTTCCAAAATAAACGACAAACAGAGCGCAAGACGGCTGCGGTGAACAACAGCAGCGTCCCCACCGACGGATACGGGGCTGCAATGCCGCACATCACGAGCACCATCCACACCTTTAGCCTGCACAACGACAACCACAGCTCACGCACTGCTTCGCCACCTTTCAGTGTCCCCAGCCGCGCTTCCTCCGCTGCCTCTTCGTACCCCACCACTGCATCGCGCCCCTCATTAGACCGTGTCGCCTCTCGCTCTGAGCTGCGAACTGCCGCCCCACGCACACCGTCGCGGCGACACAACCTCTCTGGCGCCATCTGGGATAGTATGCCATCGTCGCCGCTCGCACCGCCCATCAGCCCCCCGGCACGCGAGTTCATCGACTTCGGAAAAAACGCGAAGACAAGGAGAACACTCGAGTGGGCCTGCGCAGCCGCACGTCTCGCGGACAAGGATGGGTACGCGACGGGGTTGGGCTCGGGCTCTGCCTCCTTGGGGAGTGCATCTGCTTCCGCGGGCTCTGCTTCGCATCACCATCGTGATCGAGAGCACCGAGAAAGAGGCCGTGAACGCGACCACCCCCACCACCATCATCATCGCCACACTGGGAGTGGGGGCAGCAGTAGACGCGACAGGGGCCACACGTCGTCGAGCAGGAGAGAGAGCAGTGCTCGGAGACTGGTTCGTTCTGAGGGGTCGAGTGCCAGCCTTACCAGCATGGACTTCGACGCCCAGACGGACGAGGAAGACCACGAGGCCATCACACCTCCTAGCACCTGGGGTAAGGGAGACCCGCGCTGGACAACGGGCGAGAGGGGTGGCATGAACATCATGTCCCTCACGTCAGCAGCGGCAGCAGCAGGCGTCGAAGACGACGACATGCTCAAGGCTGCACTGGCGCTATGTGGCCTGGGCAGAAGGGGCCAATGCTAACACCTCCAAGAAAGTCATCACGAGAGAAACCTCTTCCACGAATGTGCCATATCCTCTAAAAAATGAAACGCCTCATGACGACGACATACAGCCTTCCCCTTTCCTACGGACTTTCATGTGCACATACCCAGAGTTTCCAGTGATGACACCCAGTCGTGTGCTCCTGCACGACTCACGAACGTTCATTCATACCCCAACGGCAACTTTTAAGGTATAAATTCTTTTCTGTAGCTATTTCCTCCAATGAATTGTATCCATTTGTGTTCAATCTATTTTTTCCATATGTCCAGGAGTCGAGCGGGTGAAAATTACTTCCGTTTCGTAGTGGTCTGCGGGAACTGGCCAAAATTGCCTTGTTTTCTCAGCGTGAGCGAATTGGGAAGTTGAGGCCCAACTTTTCGGCGCTTGAAATTTTCGTTTTCCCCTTCTGTTTGCGTGGCGTCATCATCCGCATGACATTCACGTGGCACGTGATTTTCTCCATCGCCATAATAATTGACGCGTCGTGTGCAATAGCCCCTATAGCAGGTAGCTGGTTAGCCTCGACTCTACGTTATTCTACGGTTTCCCACTGTCCTCTCACTCATTGAACACACGTCGCATGGCATTGCTGCCAAGAGTAAACAACAAGAAATTTGGCCCTGTTCCAAAGCTCACCCTACTTACACTGACTCACCAAAAAGATTGTCCACCCATGTCTGCACTGTAGTTAGAGAACGGCTTGGGTTGAGCCTTTGAAAAAATACGGATAAAATATTAGACATGTAAAGCACCTGGATGATCCCAAAGCACGCAAATTTCAAGTAGGTCTGATAGGTGGTGTTGGGGGGACAAAAAAAGCCATTTTTCCAGTTTTTCAAGCCCACAAGCTGTCATGCTCAAAAATTATAAATTATAGTATGGGATAGTCAAACTTCATACAAACTTCATCTACATAATTTCGCTGAGCGGTTCAAAAGTTATACGCCAATGAATGTGGCCATTTTGAGCCCAAAAAGGAAACAAGACCCTAAAAAGGGCCAAAACGAAGACTTTGTAGCACACATAGCTTTGGAACCACTTGGTAAAAAGTTGTAAATAAAATTGGGATTCGCTTTTGCTATCATGTACTTCGCAATATATTTTTTGCAGCAAGATAGCTTCAGGGGTTGAAAACTTGGGAAAATAGCATTTGTTGTCCCTCGACACTACCTATCAGGACTGCTCGAAGTTTGCAGGCTTTAGAATCATCCAAGTGCTTTACGTGTCTAATATTTTATCTACATTTTTTTGGAGGCCCATCCCAAGCCGTTTTCAGACCATAGCCCAAACATGAGTGGACAATCTTTTTGGTGAGGCAGTGTAGTTATTCCGTTGTCCAAGATCTCGACATCCCATGCGGCGAGCGCGCCACTCATAATAGCGGTGATTTTTGTCCCCAAACTAGCATAGTCTAAGGGTTACAAGGTAGTTATGCACATATTTTGAAGCACAGGCCATCGCGATCTTGAAGGTCTTTAAGGAAGGCAGCCAAGAGGGATCAATTGCGTATTTAACCCAGGTGTCAAGGCCCTGCAACATATCCCTGACTTTGAGCAGTGAAATGCGGGCAGCTCGACCGAATTCGGGATAAATTGAGCAAGGTCAAGATCGTTCTTGGTCTCTCCGCCAATGATCAGCGGGAGGTCACGAATTTTGGTGCATTCTCTCACATGCTGTCTGAATGCCATAAAGAAATAAATTTCCAAGTCACAGCCGCCAGTACTCTGGATGTACAGTGTGTTTCCAACCTCTCCTTGAGGCCTGGCATATTCTCTCATGCGTAAACGAAGATCTCCATCGGCGCGGATTCAAACGTTTTCAGCTGCCGGAGGTTCTCAGAGAGGTTGTTAGCTTTGAGCCGGAAGACAAATCAATATTAGAACATGAGCAACTTGATGCACTTCACGATGTTGGGGTAGTTGGTCGCGAAACTGCCACAATCTCCACGTATTCCACTACTCGGGGCATGCATGAACCATCCAGTGGATTCATTTCGGAGATGAAAGCTCTCCAGCTCCTTCAATGGATAAGTGAGGATGGTCAGGGCGTGAAGCTTGAAGCTAGCTTGAGGGACAACCGGCTCGGTGGCTCGGTGAAGCCCCCGTATTCCAGCTCTGGCGTCATTTACATAATGGTTTGGACTGACGTCATGATTGGCGCCATAGACACCTACGTCAAACCCCCCTATCGCAACAATCCAGCGCATAAAAGGCAGGGCACGGCTCGTGCAGGACCACCACAACCTCTCCTACTACCGTTGCACCGTACCATTGAAGCCATGCCATCAGATTCTCAACAACGCCGGACTGGGCAGGCTTTGGAGGGGTGAGTCCAGCATCATGGATAAACACCCCGCACACTAAATCACACCTTTTTCTCCATAGCGCCGACTTCGAACATGTACATGGACTTGAGAACAAATTGGACAACCTCGAGTCGCGGTATGAAGCTGCCCCTGACAACGCCCATCTTGACATTGATTCAAAGTGAGTACTTCCTTCGTTTCATGGGGTCTTGATTTATTCAAAATTTACTCTAGAGATGAGAGAAGTCTGGCAAACAGGGCTGCGGCAAGCGAGAAGCACGAACTCGAGAAGGATGCAGAAAAGGCGTCTAAAACAGTTACCGATCCACTTGCCCCAGCACGAGCACACGGGAACGAGCCGTCAAGAGGGGCTAAGATCGATGCTCAGATCCAGAGCGAGGAGGGGGAATTGCTTCGGAAGAAGAACAATTGATCAGAGCAGTCGTTTGTGGATTAGATCAAACACATGTGATATAAGTAATAGATTCCTGGTCAAGTATCCGGATTGCTCGGACTCATGATTACCTTTCCCGGAAGAAAAATTAGCTCCGTGTGGCGCACACGAGCTGACCCGCCTGGGCTAATCATGATGGCAAGCGACGGTAAAACACAGCGGATGGGAGCAATTTGACCTGAATAAGTACTGGTGCAGCCTCTCGTGACTCCCTAGGTCTTCGGTGCCGTCAAACCGAGGCCATGACTCACTTCGCACGAAGGCTTTCCAGTTTCCATCATGTCCACACCTGGAAATACCACCCAGTCTATCACAAAAATCAAGCTCTCCCTCGTTGCGCCACCTCTCATAGTGACTATCCCCGTTAATGGAGACAACGGCAATGATGACAAATTTCGACACAGCGGTCGCCGCATTCTAAGCATCGATCTCGCGGAAAATATAGGACCAATTTATAGTTCGAATCATCCAGATCCCATACTCCCTCCGAGGCAAAAGCCCAGTCCAGAGGACCAATATGCACAGCTCTACGAACTAGACTATGACCCAACACCATACGGAAATCCAGATAAGGGGACGGGGATCTATGCAACAATGTTGCTGCCTCCCGATCTTCCAGGGAATAGGGAAGCAAATAAGAAGGGGGACGAGCTGCGCAATGAGAAGATCGTGCGAGACATTCGGAAAGTCGTTCAAGACGACATGAAGTTACCACCTGGTGAACGCATCGACACCGTTGTGCTCGACCCGGAGCCATGGACTATGCACCTTGCAGCTCTCGACGGTCTGTCCCCAAAGCACCTCCGAGTGAGGGCTGGCTTTGAGGAAAGTATCGACCTCTACGCTCTCACCGTCCTTTTAAATCCCTGGACTGAGCTCGAGAGCCTCCTTCTCGACAGTGAATGCATGGGGTGGGGAATGCACACCTCAAGCAATGGGCCAGACGCAGACAACGGCGGTTTCGAGGCCAACTACCCCAACATCATCAAGCAAATCAAGACACTAACACTGTACTACTGTTGCGGCTTCAATTTCCAGGCAGACAACCTGCCTGAAAAGCTGCTCCATCTTAAGATCGCAGAGAACGACGCTATGCGGATGTTCGTTTGCGCTTGCACCAACATACCCAGCTTCATGGAGAGGGTGGAGACGGTGTACATTGGGAGTACGGTAGGCTGCGACACATCCGATCCCGGACTTTTCAAGCAACACCTGGTGAGGTGCACAAACGTACGCGACCTGACGCTCGTCATGGGCGGTAGGCAAAACACTGACCTTGGTTTGGCGAAATTCATCCCGGCTTCGGTAGAGAGATTCGCCTTCCATTGCTCGACTTCGGACCGCATGTTAGAGGACCTCGATGAGTGGCTCGAATGTGCAGCTGACCCTGCTTGGCTGCCGGCTTTGCAGAGTTTCATCATGAAAACGGATGGTGAGGAGGTCACATCCCTGTCGAAGGATAAAAAGAAGGCAGCCTTAGAGCCATCAAAGGCCATCGCGTTTGGTCGGAAAATCAAGGCAATCACTAACGCGCTTAGGACAAGGGGTGTAACGATCGAGGATATCAGGCAAGCAGTCGATTGATTGTGCTCCGAACTGAGGTAAATCTGTAGGTTAGGCATACTAGTCCAAACTATTTCAACTTGGTCATCACGTCTCAGTAATGCCGTCCGTATCCTTCTTGGAGAGCACATATTGAGCATCGTCCTCCAAGATGTAAACTGACATGTAACATACCTCAAGTAATGCTCGCCTTGCGGCACTTCGAAAGTATTTGACTGCTTTCTTCATGTCAGAAAATAAGGAAACGAGGATAGTCAGAACAAAGGTCGGCAACGCTAGGATCCAAAAGCTAAATAACAATGCCATGAGATAAACGAAGAGGGGAGTTTTGAATCCAGAAACAAAAGTACACACAAGAGATCGCTGTTGTTATTCACGGACCAGAAGTGCTTGAAGTTCATTCCGAAATAGCCTGTAAGGACACCCAGGGGCAGGAAAATAATGGTAACGAGGGTGAGTCGACGCCTGAAGTTACGGATTTTCCATCGGAGAGTTATTTTTGGATAAACATACATGACTTCATTTGCTTCGTATGCAGCGACCTGGTTATGAGAAACAGAACTGGGTCAGAACAAAATATATCTTGAGGCCAACTAAAAGCCAACATTGAATGCATAATCAATCAAGTTCTCCGCAATACCCGCGAACATATCCAAGCTTGTCAGAATGTAATCCATGTGATCGTGTACATCGGCCTGGAAAACGACAGGCGAGAAACATATCAGCTCATAAGCACGATTTGGAGGACTGAGCCGTACCAGATAGATCTTTGCCGTTGGACTAATCAAGCCACCACCCGTGGTCGACGCCTCTGTTGCATTAGCCATGTAGTCCGACCCATGAAGCAGAATGGCAATGCGGTTGTCGTCGTGCTTGCACAGCCCGTCTACAAGCGTCTTGATAGGCTCGAGAGTTCTCTTATGAAGGACTAGTTCACCGGCGAGAATGTGGACTAAAAAAAGAAAGCCCTTTCGTGAGCGGTGTGCACTGATGTGCAACTAGCAGAATGACTGACGATTCCTGACTGTCTTCATGTCAGACTGGAAAAGGATATCCCTTTCGCATTGTTTGATCCTAGCGTAATAGTCATCGATCACTTCAAGTGCTTTGCCCACAACTGCAGATAGCAAAAGGGATCAGAACAACCAGATGAGTAAAGGTAGACGACATACACTTACCACGGTCAAGCATGGCATGAACAAGAAGGGAGGCATCCACGGTTTCCTGAGCGGCGTATTGTATGTTTTGAGTTCCAGAATAATTGGCTTCGTGAAGGAGAGGTCACGGCCTTCGTGGATTGATATGACGGTTCCTGCATGATCCGGATGAGCCTGATGCACCTAAACATGCAGTGCCGCTGAGGTCTTACCGTCTTTCAGCAAGAAGATAAATACCTGAGTCACATTCACAACGACGAATCGATCCTGGAGAAAAACCTTTAGAATAAATGGCGACCCCTAGAAATGAGGATAGCGTACATATTTCAGGGCTTGAAATAAAGCACTTTCCTGTTTTTGTGACAGGGGTTTTGACAAGTTCATCTGAAAGGGGTTCAGAGACAGTAGCAGTGACTCGTATCGAGGAACACACATTTCGTTCTTCCTTCAAATATCGTGAAGATGAATCAAGAGATTCGGAGCTGTTCATGTCCCGCTGTCTGATATCCTTTCGACTAGTAGGTAAAAGAGGTCGCTTGCGTCGTCTTACATAGGCGCGACTGCCACCGATTATTTCGTTCCCGAGGCGCTCTTCAGACGGACCATCAAGGTACTCGGGACTGGGCGCAGAGCGATTCAGATCAGGGATGTGGCCGTAATAGTAGTCATCTTCCAACTGATGACAGAGGGAGCGGATGAAGAGGTGGCCAGGGTAGTAATGTGCAGTGGAACGAGTCCAGCGCTTGCCCTTCAGCACATCCTCCAGTGCCTGTGCATGCAAGTCTCGAATACATATGAATCTTGGATGAACGTCACTGCGATGCAGAGAAAGCAAGTACCGTATTTGAGTGCCACAGCTTTGATCACGTCCCAACTTATTGCACCTATGTTAATCCACCGGACCGTCACCCAAGGATCACGCTGCACGTCCATAGAGGAGACGAACTCCTCATTAGTGAGGATGCTATACTGGAGCCGGAGCGTAGAATAGTCTACAATCTCGATGGAGCACTGCTGATGTAGGTGCCCGTAGCACATCTGAGCGGACACACTACGTGGGTCCACACCTAGTGCTGAACGGATGCCTGTGGGGTATAGAGTGGTCCCGCCACGGGAGATCGCGACAACCTTCCGTACTGCAGCTCGGAATTTTTCTTTGGCTACAATACCGGAAGTAATCTCTGGATGTTCCATGGGTATAGTGAAGTGCTTGTCTTCAAGTTCCAGGCGGGCTTGTTGCCAACCTGCTCCGGTTTCGCGCAGCTAAGATCGTCTTCACCTCTTTGCTCAAAGGTGCAAGAGAACCATTAACAAGGGCAACACACCTATCTGACGCCACCACCCTAGACCCTGCTGTCATCATTTCTCAAATCGGTCGAGAACGTAGAAACTACATAGTGCACCAGTGCTAGACGCCCAAAGAGAAATCGACGGGACTCAAAGACCGCATTGTATCCGCAGTAAAGTGGCGACGTTCTTGGAGCCATCTGTGTCCGTGGCGGCGAAGAAAAGTGGACTATCGACAAGGACGGAGGATTTTGAAGCGAGTTGGGAAGACAAACTGTGGAATCATATTCAGAAATCAGCATCTGCAAGGTTGGAGAGAAGAACAATTTCTCGAACATAGCTGCGCTGCTGATGCACACAGGGACGTTGAATGGCGCGCTCGAGGAGTCGAGTCGAAAAGCCATCAATGCGTTGGCTGTGTCGGACAACAGCGGGATGATGGCCAGTACGTAAGGTAGAGTCCTCCAGAAATTGAATGAGATGAAACTTGAGCTTGAAGCTTGAAGTTGTATGTAGGTTGGACGTATACGGAGTTGTCGGTCTGACTGCTGCAAGGAGAGAAAAAGCTGGCTATCGACGTCATTGGCTCGGCTTCTTCGGTACCAGAGTCTGGGCGTGTGAGTTCCGCGGCGGTGGCGCTTTCACTCACTTCTGGACCATATCTGGCAATTCTCTGCAATTCTGGGACAGATACTCTGACCCATTTGTTCAAATCGGAGCAGCTTGTGAACATCTTGTCAACAACGACGGTGACAAGAGTGTGGCCGAGCCGGTGCATACCTCTGCTATCTCAGAAAAGCCATCGTTTCAGAACGTGGCGGTCCTGCACTGCGCGGTTACCGTCTTTCTCAGTCAATGTGCATGCCGTCCCAGACTCCAGCGAAGAACTTGCGAAGCCAGATAACGGAGACACCTATGGTATATGTTCACTGCTATACTCGGAGTTGAAACGGATAGTAGATACTCGTCCCGAATGATCGCACGCTCCACTTATCACCCCTACCCGGATCCCCGCGTCTCGCGTATTAATGGTCGTCACTGCATCTGTAGCCTTCGCCACGCGCTGGATTATGAGCAGCGGAGAGATTACCTTCATGATGTCGTCATAATTAAGCTATCTCTGAGCATGACTCGATGAAGAACTCACGGATGCATGGATGAGCAGCATTTCCGGGATGGCTGCTGCAGTTTGGTTTTTAATGCGGAGGGCGAGGAAGGCGACGCTCGCTACGATAATTAACGAGCAGGACTCAATGCAGATATTAATTGTTCGAGTGTACGGCGAGCCGTATGTCCACCCTAAGGCGTCGCGCATGCGCTTCTGATGCCAGAGGAGGCGGAAAGAGATGAGACTGGCGAAGGCGACGTTGGTCAGAGAAGTGGCGCAGGGAAGGATGACCATGAAGATGGAGGCAGCCAAACGTTCGGTCCTGAAGATAAGCACGACAAAAAGAATTCCTGATCCTGCATTATGCCGTTCGTGTTATGGAGGAAGTTGGGCGAAGTAAAAAGCCAACATACCCAGAGCAACCAGCACTAGTAGTCCCAACAATCCCAGAAGGAAGTTGAACCGATTCTGCGCTATGCCTTCGTAAAGGATAAGACACCTCCAAATCTATTCCTCGTCAAAAATCGGTGGAAGAGCAAGGTCATAATGAACGTACCATCATCCCATCAGCGCCCCACGACGCCAGAATGTACGGAATAACGACCGCCTTCCCCAACAAATTCAACAACCGATCCTCCGGTGAGTAAAACAACGCGCGTGTCATGATCAAGCTGGACAGAACCAGCCCCACCGTACTCATCAGCACCATGCCCATGATATATCCCACCAAAATGGCCTTCTTTCGCCAAGAATTGCGGCTCGGTTTCCGTAGGAGATGGTGAAGGCAGTCGAAGAATAGCGCGACAATGAGGCCATACACGATGCACGAGATGATCGTCGAGACAAAACCAAGATGGCGGTCGAATACGTAGAATCCTATCACAACCGTCGGTGAAAGTGGCCCGGGAGGTGGCCCATTTCCTGTCGAGGCTGGTGGTGGGGAAGACATGAAAATGGGAACGGCGACAGCAACATCTGGTCGTTGCACAAGGCCTATATAATCAGGGCGCAGTCGTCCCAAGCACGTCGTCTAACGCAATTCAGGGACAGTATTTTGCTACTCGGTGTAGTTTCCAGGTGGGAGAACACGAAATGTCAAGAGTGGGACCCGGAGTTGGCATGATCAAAGGCTATGCAGGGTTACGGCACGACCGACTTATCTACATTGTCATAAAGCATTTCGGAAGGAAAGAGAACAGGAGATCTTCATTGATTTTATATCCAAATGAATTGCTCAAAACAGGTAGTTCCCCAGATAAATGAGGATCGATAAGCGCCGGTGTCGTTGGTGAACGCTAGTGTAAAAACATAATTTATCAACATAATTTAAGGTCCATGATCGCAGCTACTAGTAGTATAATCGGGGTCGAAACGTATGCTACTGGATGTATTTCCTACACGTCCGTGGGGTTGCGCCATTAAGTCCGCGATTCTAATCTCTATCTGTCGGGTATGAATGGTGGAAACGATGTCCCTTCCTTTCGCGACATTGTGAATCATAAGTAATGGGGAGAGGACCTTTAGAGGATCGTAAGGACGTTCAATATTCTTTCTATCGTTAAGGTTGACCCACAGATACAGGCGTGAGGAGCATTTCCAGTATCACTCTCCCAGGCAGATCCCCCAATCGAATGACGAGGAAGGCAATGCAGACCACTATAATCAGCGAGCATGACTCGATACAGATAGTAATTATCCGTGTATATGGCGACTTGTACGCCCATCCAAGTGCTTCTTTCATTCGACTCTGGTGCCAAAGAAGACGAAGTGTAATAAGAGTAGCGAAGATGATGTTGGTAATAGATGTGGCGCAGGGAACGGCAATCATAAAGAGACTGCCAACCAAGTGCGTTGTCTTGAATATAAGGGCGAAAAGCAGAAGCCCCGACCCTTTCTACGATGTAAATATGTGCACGTGGTGTGATCAAAAATGCATTTACACACCTAACGATATGAGGACAAGGAGCCCTATAAACCCCAGGAACAAGTTCCACCGACATCGTCCCGTTCCCTCATACAATACGAGACACCTCCAAATCTTGGGGGAAAAATCACAAAATTAACGGAGAAAGAGAATTCAAGTAGTGTTCATAGACATACCATCATACTGTCAGCTCCCCAAGAAGCGAAAATATAGGGGACGATTGCCACTCTTCCCAAGACCTCCACCCCTTTATCGTCAGGGAGGTAAAATATTGTCCTCATTATGCCCAAGTTGGTCAAGACGAGCCCGCTAGTGCTAATAAAAGTCATCGCGACGATGTAGCTGACCAATATGAGTCTTTTCCGCCGCGAGAGCGCCGTCTGTCCCAGCAGGAGTTTAAGGCAATCGATGAATAACGCCAAGACGAGGCCATACACGATCGAAGATAAGATGACGGCAATGAATCCTAGGCGTCTATCGTATTCATAAGGTCCCAGATGCACCTTTGGCGCCAAAGGTACTTGAGGCGTCCTAGATCCCGTTGAAGTTGATGGCGGAGGCACAGGGGAAGACATAAACTTGAATGCGGGTCGAGGACTCTAACCTAATCAATAAATCAGCGATATATATACAGAACGAAACGGCTCTCCACGGACGTAGTAAATTGGAGCACAGCAGCTCTCATCATCGACTGATTGATATTCGACGGATATGTGGATGGCCTAGTGAGGGTTTGCAGTCTCTGTGAGAGCCGTCGTTGGCGTTTGGGTCAAGTTTGAGTCTGTCACGAAAAATAGGAACAGCCTAGCGATCATGATCTCGATCAAAGGTGACGGAATCAAATCTGTGGCGGTGACCCGGACCGCTCTGTCCGACTTGGCCCCTCTTGCTTCATTTCGCCCGCACGTCTTGTTTCCCACCACCATCATCCCTACACCCACAATTTCTTGGTGGATCCTCATTCTGCGAAAGGTTCTACGCAACAGCGAGCTGCTGTAGCTGGAGTCTGTATCATCAATTCTCGTAGTGCACAGGTGCTTCGGCGTTGGATATGGGTCGCTGGACGCAATATGACGAGGTGGGTCGAGTTTTGTCTGTCATCGATTGATTTTCTTTTTCTCGATAATTGCGTCTAATCCGTTGTCTCGCAGGACGACTACCGCCTTCCTGAGGGAATGAAGCGCATCGGATACGATGCTGACACCGGGCGGTACTATTTCCGCGATGCGGACGGGAGCGTGTGGCAGGGAGCAGAAGGAGTGGAGTTCGGAGAGATGACAAGGGGTATGTGGCATTCCATCTGGACATTCCTTGTCGCAACAGCAGCAAGTGCCCTCCAGGGATATCTTTCTGACGACATGCGTCACAGTGAATGGTCTGCCTCCTTCACTGGTGGCGAACAGCGACGATGACAGAGATGATGTTGAGGCGTCGCCTCGGACACGAAATGGCGGGTATCAGCTTGTCTCCGAAGACGAGGTAAGTCCTCATATATAACGCAACTCCAACCCTCCGCCTCACCTCCGCTCTTCGTTGTTGATCCAGAACCAACCGATGGCCCACCACTCCCGAATCAATCCCACCTCCTACCGCACTCTCTTCCCCTTCTTCCTCATCATCGCCGTCGTTCTCCTCCTCATCTGGAGGCTCGTTGTCTCTCCAGGTCTCGCTGGCGCCCCAGCGACCAAACGGTGCCCGGAAGGTACCTCGTCGCACTGGGTTCAGCCCGGCGATAGCTGTTGGGAGCTCTCCCGGCAGCGCGGCTGGACCCTGGAGAAGCTCAAAGCGGCGAACCCCAAGGTCGTTTGTGAACCACTCATGCCTGGGACGTCGTTGTGCTTGCCGCCGGAGAAACGAATTGGCCAGAGGAAGATGGCGAGAAGGCCGTGAGAAGGCTCGATATTACTGTGTACGCCTTGCCCCTTGCTTGCTGCTCCCGCAGTATGATCTGACTATTTGTTAAAGACCGCGTATGGACACGCCATGTCTAATCAACTTTCAGACTCTCAGAATTTACCAGGACTTCATTCTCATGTTGCGTTCGGATCAAGAATCCAAGTTACTCCGAAGCCAACTCAATCCACTAGCGCCACCTCTCTTTCATTAATGATTTTCCTCGGCAGGAAAAAATATGGAGTATTCCTGTATCATTGATACATCCCTCCTGCTCTTACACGTCCTGTATCTAAATATTCACGATATCTTCCCGCATATCTGGACCTTCCTCTCTCTTCGACCCATATCCATTCTGTACCATAGTCGTCATTGCTGCCTAATGTCAATCCACGATTCACGCCTGGAGCTGCCAGTATCATCGATGCTCCTGCTGCGAACATGACATTTATGAAGAAACCCATTAAATATAGTTGTAAGTACAGGAATTCCAGGCCAGTCCAGTCCCGATTACCTTCTACAGTTTAGTCATCATCAGACCCAGAGTCCGGCTCGCCGTCGTCGTCGTCTAGAGATGATAGAAAAGATGATAGAAAAATTGGTGAGTCTGAGGTGAATTGGAGGATCCGAGGCGAGGCCGTACCATCTGCAATGTCATCTCTCGAGATACTCGCCTGTGCTTGCGATTTGCGGATAAGATCTCGCGTCTTCATATCGTCAAGCGGAAGGAGATCGAGTGCGGTCTCCCCATTCTTGTCTTTTATTCTGGAGGTCCGATTTCGTCAGCTCTCACCTTACAGAAAGAATGAGCCAAACGCACGTTATATCAGCCCCGGCTTCTAGCAGGCTCTCGACAGTGTGCCGTCGAAGCTCAACATGTTGGATTTGAACGGCTAAGTGTAGTGGTGTGGCCTTTTGGAGGCGATTAACAGGGTCGACATCGCATTCTTCGTGTGATAGGATGTGCTCAAGGACATCTGTTGAGCCGTTCAACACACTGCTCGCGCACAATCAGGAGTCGAGGTAGAGGGGGTGCCAGATGAGATACATTAGGCAAGCGGTATGGTATGCCACGCACTCACGCGTTATGAAGAGCTAAAAGGATAGATATGCTTTGATTAGAAGGATATTTCCAGATGTAAGCTCCTCAGGGACTTACGAGTATTTCCAAGTCTATTGAGCGTGCCAAGCGTTAGATAGAGGGAATCAGGCCTGTATAGCAAGCCCCCGACGCACCCATCTTGACAGTTGATGTCAAAGCCTCCCTGCTCGAATACCTCGAGCAGCAGTTCTTCGTTGTCTGTTCGCGCAGCAGCCAGGAGGCGTTCATCTGGATAGGTTGATAGTCACGATCTAATCAGCCCGACGCGCGATTTAGAGCAAAAGAAACTCACTATTGGAAGCACCTTTCTGTTCCTCAGACATTCTTGTGCAACTCCGGGTTAAGGTGGTAGTAAGGGTATCGGGATTCGGTGTTCGTGGTTGTCTTGAAAGATGAGATGACCACGCCGCGAGTTACTGGCGATGCCCTGATTGCCGAGTCCTAAAACAGCAGTCGACGCCCCTGACACTGACAGCTTGGCGTTGCTGCACTGAGGCCCGAACCCCACCACCACGGACCTGCAAATGCCTCCAGGCAACCCTTCGACCGGCTAAACAAAGTCGACGCCAACAACCTACCATGAACGGCCACGCTGCGCGCGGTGGAAGGAAGACAGACGCGGAGGTGCATGATATTATGGGCAAGGTGGGTGCTCGTGTGCTGTGCGATGAATGGATGGGAGGTGGGGTGCTCATGGGCACGGGTAGCCAGGATTGCATTACGACATCATCGAGGAGGGTCCGTGCTCGACAGTCGCGCGGGCGTGGACGGCGATCGAGGATGGCAAGCCGCAGTGGGTCGTTGTGAAGTCGGCGCCGACGGTGCGCAAGTTTGCGAGAGAGCCGCACGATATCCTCAAAGAGCTGCGTCTGCTGTCGTCGTTGGCCCATCCTAATGTACGTCGCCCCCCTCCCCACCATATGGCGCACGACGAACTCAATGGGCTGCTTTGCAGATCGTGAACATCATGGGCAGCTTCGTTGACAAGCACGAGATGACACTGAGCATATATATGCCCTACCTGCCCATCTCCCTCGCGGAAATACTCGCTTCACCTCTATTCTCTCCATATCCGCTTCCTTCGCTCAGTGTGCCTGATGAAAATACCTTCAAGCTCCCGGACGAACGATTCAAAATTATCTCCAAGAGCATCATGTTCCAGACCCTATGTGCACTTGCGTTCTTGCACGACGACAAAAGGCGGATCGCACACAGGGATATCAAACCAGAGAACATCATGCTGACGAAGGAGGGCTGCGTCAAGCTGATCGATTTCGGGACAGCCTGGAAGGAGAAAGAGTCGGAAGAGGCGAGAATTGGCGACCTCTGGTCGGAATGCCCAGGAAGGCTCTACTTCGAGGTGTCTACAAGGTAAATCATAATTATTCTTACCGTTTGAGCTTGCCTGAACTCTTTCACAGAGCGTATCGAGCTCCGGAACTACTCTTCAGTTCGAGGTCGTACGACCCCATCGCGTTAGATCTCTGGTCGCTCGGGGCCACTTTTGCCGAATTCTTTACCCCTCTCCGGCTGTCCAGCGAGGAGGAGGATGAGTGTGACGACGACGACGACGAAGACAAAGAAGAGCCAGAGGACGACCAACCACGTCCTCTTGAGCCCTTTATCGTGCCCAAGTACCTCAGGATAGGATACCCCGGCGCGCAGTGGACACGCGACACACTTTTCAATGGCGAGAGAGGCGAGATCGGGCTTGCATGGAGTATCTTCAAAATTCTCGGCACGCCGACGGACGAGACTTGGCCGGTAAGACTCCTTTTCTCTGTGTTCTGAATGAAAACCAAAGAAATGTTCGATCAGGAATTCGAAGACCTCCCAGGATCAAAATCTGTCGTCTTCAATATCGTACCACCCGTTCCTCTGGCTCCACTTCTGCCTAACCTTCCGCCTTCTTCGTTGGCGCTCGATCTTCTCCAGCGATTCCTGGTGTACCCAGCTTCACAGCGCCTGAGGGCTCGGGACGCCCTCCGGCACGATTGGTTCGCTTCTACTATGGCTTGTACGACGTCAAAACTCATGAGAGATCCGGAGTCTGTCGTGTTGTTGCCGAAGGGGTACTCATTAGCGCTGGCTTTCGAGACGGCAACCTTAGGCTTGAAGAACGTCATCAGGAATGAATGGAGGAGCAAGTCACTTGCTGAGTATTTGGATTCGGCGTTGGTTGCCATTCCTCGAGGCACAGACATGTAGTGGTTATCTTACATGAATTAATTCTTGAGATGTGGGTAGTACGGTAATGATGTAGTTATTGGGAGCATGTCGAGCGTGCCCCCAGATTGTACACTATAATGACAGTTCTTATTGCATGTTGTCGACTACGGAAATATGACCGCAATGGTTTGGAGCTTGTCAAGAACTTTGTCAGAGACAACTGGGGAATGTTAAAATCCTTGAAAATGGTTGATTTTGCTTTCGATGTGTTTCCCTCAAAGCAAATATGACATTAGTGTGGAAAATGGGAACAAGATCATACTTGTACTGACATGATTTAAAGTAATAAAGCCCCTGGTCTATGGAAATGTGGACAGGTATTTACTACATGTACCAGCAACACAAAGGACTAGATCTATGATAGTAACGACTGGCCACTGTTTCCAGGAATATCGGTACAAAACAAGAGAAGCGGACAAACGGAGGTGCAAAGTCAAAGCTTTCTGAATTTCGAAGGGTGAACATACGAGCTAGTACCGTACTTGACGGCAGGCAGCTCAAGTACCTGCTGGAATTGAATGTCATAAACGTGCATTGCACCCAAGGTCGAGGTACCCTTTGGATCCTACTCGAAATCAGTGTCTTGTGACTAAGGTATAAAGAATTTCCATACATATTTTGCTGCCATCGAGGAAGGGGCCTTGCGTGTGATTTTAACTGGTGTTCCGCGGGGTGGCAGTTCTGGGATGTTGTCCCGACTGACATAGACGACGTCTCCAGTCTAAGGAACATCAGTTGCATAATCTGCCAGAACGTTAAGTCGCCCACCTCGTAGATCTCCACTGGGGTCGTTGCTTTCTTTTGAGAAGTCGACAAATGGATGTGCTGAACTGACCGAGCTTGTCGATCAATTTCAATGCGGATAGGAACCTCGAAGTCGAGACAATATAAGAATAGGTGCTCTGATGGCGGCTCTGGATCGTTCTGCCGGGAAAAGAAATAGTCAGCTTCCGTACGCCTAACTATCCAATCAAACCACAAACTGTATTCTTTGGGATGAGTCCTAGGTCTTTGGAGGAGCGAACCACCCCTTGGGCTCCTGCTGCGATCGTCTTCCTGGCGGGAAGGTATTCACTGTACGTGATGTATACGTCTTGGGTCTTGCTGACGACGACGTCCATGATATTCTCGGTAAGAACAATGCGTGTTCCATCACGAAATGCGGGTCGAGAGCCTTTAGTGGGAGGAGGGGTGCGTAGAGCTCGAGACATTGAAGAAATTGGCGGATACAGATGAGCAACCGAGAGAAAGATAGACGCCTTTTTATACAGTCTTAAGCAAGAGATGGGCCCTGCCAGAATATTTCTAGAATTCAGGATGACAAGGAGAAAGGTTTCGAATGGAATCGCGAAGATCCCCAAAATACGCTGATCTTATGTGGACATGAGGCAGTTTAATCGCTTTATCGCCGAAAGCAAGAGCGCTCGAAGCCAGATCCTGAGCAGCAAACCAAGCAAGGTCGAGGATTATAGATGAGTGACATTGAGGGGTCCTCAAGGTCTTGTGTTCGTTTCGGTATTTCTTGTCGCAGTAAATAGAGTCAACAGAAGCCCTTTTTCACCTGGGCCACCACGGGAAATTTGATGGTTCCCCACAATGGTGGATCATCCACCACGGACTCGAGTCAGTGCATACCAGCGACTTTAATCAGTGTGGGATGCTGTGGGATGGGAGCGATTCGTCGCTGTTTCAGCGACAGCTTGTCCAGAATCTGTTTACCGAGGATCGATCGATAAGGACAGCTTTTCCTTGGCAGAGACTGAAAGGAAGATCAGAGAACCCACAACCGAATGTAACGTTCTGGGGTGTCTTGTACTCGGAGTTGCGCATTCAAAAAGTTTTTTTGTCCTCCACATGCCAGTGATTTCAATATCAGCGATTTTGCTGTTATTTAACTTCCAACATGGAAAAGTCCGTCGTGTCCCTGATTGGAAGGAAAGAAGGAATTGGTGTTTGGTGTTTTGGCAACAACGCTGAAAGGCAACAACGAGGACTCCTGGCAAGATATTGGAATCCATCCAGTTCGTAGAACCCAGCAACCAACCAGCGGCTCAGTCCAAGTCCACTAGTTGACAAGGCAAGCAGGCCCTGAGGACCTCCAGCTAAAGGGGCAGCGGCCAGATCATCGAATTGCTTGCATGCGTGATGCAGCTTTAATGAGATCTCGAGAGGAGAGAATGGCAGGGCATAAGTTGTAGGACAAAACGTCACAATTAGAAATATGACAGCAATCTCCTGGCCGGTTCGGAGACTAGAAGTAAAAGCCGAATGAAGATGCCTTGTCCATTCCTTGAGAGCCCTAAGGAACGCTATATGATAGAAGCAGCCGCACACACGCACAACAATAAAATTGAGAACCCAGACACTACATATTGCTAAATCTAATCATTTCTTAATTTCTGTGAGGGCTGGCCGAAGAGGCGAGAGGCCAAGGATGACGCATATCGAAAGATCTGCCTTGTGTGCAAAACTAATGCCCAGCCCCATCGTCGACAACAAAGCCAATTAACGACATATCGCATGAAAATATTGGGTTTGGTTTCACGATATCTACCCCATCTTGCAATTTGTTGGGGGGAGAGACTGGCCCACATGTTGTAATCACGCCAGGACAATGCTAGAGCATCTGGATGGTCGCTTTTCATTGACGGTGAGGCAGAAAACTGTTCCTCGGTTAGAAACTGTTGGTTCTCGTCAAGAAAGGCAAGCGCCTCCGATGCCGTAAAACGTTGTCCCACGTCATAAGTTATCATACCACCCAATAGTGGGGCAAGTAACGGGATTTCTGCAGAAAGATGCTACAGGATTGTTAGTAAAAACCACAAACGTGGACAATATAGGGATGGAGTACCGCACCCGAAATTTGTGACAGAAGTGTATCCCGAGTGCCGCAACATCGTAAGCAAATGGATTGAAATCCAGCTGCGCGTAGTTGACCTCATAGGGCTGATCATAGATCCCATAAGCCTCCTTCCAGGAAAGCCGACAGTCTCGCGGGTTGGTGTTGGCGTCGAACATGATGGACAAGTTGAAGTCTGCTATGGCGTATTTTGCAAGGCCCTGTTTTCTGAACTCGTGTCGAGCGGGGTTGTCGTACAAACACTGGATGCAACAAAAGTGGTTAACGTAGAGATTTTGAGAGTCGAGATCCTAAAATTCCAGTTAGCTTCAGGAGACAGTGCCAGTCCGGAAGGGTATACCCGGTGGAAGATGCGGTGTTCGTGAAGAAAAGTGAGACCCTAGCGTCACCGTGAGCGGCTGTGGAAACACAGAGTATCAGGTACATTACTCGTAGATAGCACCGGATAGCATCCAAAACTTGAGAGCAAGTAGCATACCATGGAGCAGTATGATTTTCGCCCCACCTTCTGAAGAATAAGCATGTATTCGGTCTCAAGAGGAAGAAAAACAGACCTGGGCATAATAGCAAACCATTGCTCTTCGTAACGAAGGAGATCAAGAACAGGTATCACGCAGGAGAATCTTGCGGAATCAGACCAATCGAAATTTTCCAGCAAAAAGCGCAGAATCTTGTACTCTTCTGAGCCATTTGGAATAGGCTTAATGACCACATGCCGTCCTTGCAAGTCTTGGGCGAATATGGTGCGGACCTGGCTCATCTTAATGAAGATTCTGCTAGAGGTAAATCGCAGACGTACATGGAAAATTGACATGAAAGGTGGCTTAGAGGTGTGGTTGGTGGAAGGGCCGGCCACAGGGTATGCATACGGAAACTGCGTCATGCCCTCAAATTCAGACGTAGGTCGCCCATCCTGATCTTTGTCGTATTCGTACAAGATATACCCCTTCTCTTTAAACCAGTAGCGCATTGAAGCCCACCATGCTAAACTCTTCTCTCTGTCAGAAAAGGAGGAGTCGCGGAGGGCGAAGTCAAACTAATGTCTTCCAATGAGTGCTTCCATGGCAAAACTTGATGAGATTGGAGTATACCATTACTCAGAGGCACTGAATGGCTTGAAGCTTCAACCTTTAGCTAGTTCTCTTGAAGACGAGGGGAAACGAGGTTGTGGAAAGTTCGAAGCAAGTTAAATCGGAAATTCAGAATAACTTGAACCTGTCAACTGTCACGTGACGGTGACTTCTTGCTCGCTCGCGGGTCGGTTTTTCCCACATGCATGTACAGTCCGCATCATAAGTACTCGGCGCCCACAACCAACGCACAACATTCCTCAGGCTCAGAAAAATCCAAGGTAATTACCCTGGATACTTCAGTGAAAAATGTTCTGTTTTGAGATGAACTGGTGAACTAAGGTGTTCAAATTTCCCACATTAAAAGGTGTATGGAGGACATTCCTATCGCGGAGTGATCTTATGAGGCAGAGCTTTGTGATGCGTGTTGGGTCAAAATTACATGCAAGCCGAGTCTCCCGATGGCGGACTCCCGATATCGTTGATGATGAGTCGATCCTGTGGCATATACTGCGACCTCCATCAGAATCAGAACGTTTGATGACGGCGGGGGCGGAGCTCGTTCTGGGAAGCATCGTGGTCAAATATGGAGTCAGATACTGCACAGCAGAAATGCCAACTAACACCACACTCAGACTGTGAGGTACGAGGCGTCGCGAAGCAGTAGGGAAAGGCACACTGGGTGTTAGGCTCAACGTCTCTCTCAAGGAATGCTGCTGGCGTAAGTTATAGCGCTAGGGTTCTAAGAGCAACCCATGGCTACCTTGGTCAAGAAGAAATTGCATTAGATAATGGTACACATACACAGACGAATTTCATTTAGTTGCCACCACCACTAGAACATCAGAAATATCACGACTATGCTGTCGCTTTAGTGTTGGGGACGTGTGCCACGGGAATTGACGAATGCAACGAGTGATTGTCAATAGCAATGCCTATAAAGTTGGGAAGTTTGTCATGACGGACAAAGGGAAGACCAAATACACGCACTTCTCGTCGCATTAGACGTCTTGTAGATACCAATGAGTCGGTGACTTAGTTCAAACATATCGTTACTAGAATAACATCAGCAAGAACGACTGAGATGAAGACAAAAGGAAGCAGTACCGCAGAGAGATGATGATGAATTGCGCGTTCTTTGTCCGGTCTTTGATATAGTTGGCCACAATAGAAACATTCCGGAAATCTAACGCAGCGTCGATTTCGTCCATAAAATACAGAGGCGTGGGCTAATTTCGGGGTGAGTATCTGCATGCAGCCCAAAGCGGAAAACGAACTTTGAAGACGTGAAGAGCAAAGACGAGGGCCAAAGAGCTCAACGTCTGAAGGAAGCCGTTAGCAACGTTGCGAAGGGAGTCAGGAGGACAGAAAGACCTTTTCTCCGCCAGACAAGTTTGAGATGTTCTTCCAACTCTTCTTGGGAGGCATGACACTGAAAATGATTCCCTCCGAGAAAGGATCCATACTGTCGACTAGCTCGAGCTCAGCGTTTCCTCCGAGAGTGATCATCTGAAACGACATGAAAAACTGGGTTGGAGACGATTTCCGCGACGGCGCACCTGGTACATCTCCTTGAGTTTCAGAGTGATCAAGTTAAACCCAGCCATGAATTCGTCGAGGCGTTGCTTTCGGAGACCATCGTATTGGGCCTTCTGAGCATCCCTCTCGGTAGTAATGTTCTCCAAGTCTTTGGCTCGATTCATGAACTCTGCCTCGCGCTGCTTGTATTCCTTGAGGACTGTCATGTCAGGCTTAGCCCTTGATATTCTTTCTATTGTTTGGGCATGAAGTTATTTAATTGCCTCAAAGACCAGCGATGACGTACCTTCTAAGAATACAACGTCGGCCAAGAGCTCATCCTTCGTGAACCTCCTCAGCTCTTCTTCAGAGTAGACATGTAATTCATGAGAAGGCGTCCGCTCTCGTTTCGGCTTCTTTTGTGGCTTTGAACCAGGCTCGGGCTTCACTTCCACCTCTCCTTCGGTTGGTTCCTCAGGTGGATTCTCACCAACTGCTGGGATGCCTCCAGTGCTCTCGTCGTTCTGCGCTCCTTCTTCTTCATCTTCTTCGCCTTCGTCATCTTCGCTGCTGGGCTTAAGTAAAATATTACTGGACAATGGTCGCAAAACTTACTCGATCTCTATCAGTGTTAACGCATCATGCTGCTCATTAAACTGTTCAATAGCCGCACTATTCGTTTTGTACTCTTTTTCGAAGTCGCCCAATTTTTGCTTAAGTTTCAGCTGTGAAAAACGACAATAAGTGATCTTACGCAGAATCCAAAGAGAAAGTGTTTTACCTCTTTGCTTCGGAATTCGGCAACAGACTCCTCCTTTTGATCAAGTTCCGCCTTCAGGTTTTCAAGATCTTCCTTCGAGTTCTCGGCTGCAGCTTGGGCGGTCTCGAGTTTTTCTTTGAGCTCGGTCACGTGTGCTGAAACATTGGCCAACTCCTCCTCGAGTTCTTGCAACTCGGCTTCGACCTCCTCCAAGGTGGTAGTGTTGTTATTGACGCTGGTTTCGAACTTGACTGAATCTTTCTCCGCTTTGCTTTTCGCAACCTCAGCCTTGGTAATCTCATCGTTCGTCAACTTGATGTGAAGCCTGATGCCTTCGACTTTGGATTTCTGAGAGAGGAACTTCGAGCCACCGATTTCGAGGATCTTCTTTTCCAGGTCTTTAATCTCTTGCTCGATTTTGGCCGTTCGTTCCTTGAGTTTTCCTAGGCCCTTTTCGGCAGCAATTATTTCACTCTCCAGCTTCGAGATGCGAGCGAGGTCGCCTGTATTTGGCTTATTCTGAGAGCTGTGCCATGTGAAGCACTAAGTGGCAATTCTGGATGAATGAGAGATGATAAATACCTCAAATCCTTCACTCTCCTATCGGCCTCTGAAATTCTCCTCTTAACGTTCTCGATGTCCATGCCAAGCTTTTGATAGGAGAGATCAATTTCCGGATCCCTTGCTTTCAACCGTTCGAGCTCCTGTTCGGCATGCTTTAATTCTTCTGTCGCCTGGTGTAATTGTTGGGCGGCTTGCTCGCTATCTCTCTCGTACGATTGAAGAGTTTGAGGGGAGACGGAAGCGGCAGAGAATTTAGAGCTCATCGCGCCGCGAGATGGCTGCGAACCACCACCAGACATGGCACCGCTGGTTTCGATCAGCCCTCCATCCAGGGTGACAACTCTCCACCGCTTCGAACCGCCAAAAGCGATGCGGTTAGCCTGTTCCATGTCGTTGGCCACCAACGTGTTTCCAACGGCTTTGAAGAAGGCAGGAAGGTACATTTCGTGTTTGGGTTTGATGAGGTCGAACAAACGGGGCGCATTTTCCGGGGTAGCGATTTTGTCCATCCCGTGGGGGTTCAACTTCTCCAGCACCATGAACGACGCACGTCCGACGTTGTTCCTGCGCAAGTACTCGATGCAGCTCTGTGCTTGAGTGACTCTTTCGACAACCATGTTGTTGAGACCGCCTCCACCTGCAGTCGAGATTGCCACGTCATATTTGTCAGGAATAGTCCCAAGGTTGCCAAGGCGGCCCTACAAGCATTGAGAAAAGAAAGCAGGTAAAGCGGAACAACCTACATGGAACCCCTCATTATTACCAGCATCCTTCAATCTGGTCAAGGATTCCAACACGTTGTTGCGACTGCGATTCTCGGATTGGTTGGCCTTGGCTTCGTCTACCCTTTGCCGCGCACTGGAAGCCTTGCCACGCCACTCTTGGAATCGACCTTCGGCATCCTGTAATATCAAGTCAGAATGAAGCATGAGTCATCAAAAATGAGATGCGTACCCTGACACGTTTATCGGCAGCTTGGATATCTCTTCGGGCTTGACTTTTCTCAGTTTTGAGGCTATTTTGGCAATCGACCTACAACATCATTGGACCAACGACGCGACAGACGGAACAAGACCATACCTTTTCCTGCAGCTCTGCTTGAAGGGCCTGCAGAGTTGCCTCCGCCTCTTGGCACTGCGTCTTGAGTAATTCCGCCTTTTTGGCTAGAGTATCGCGTTCGCTGCTCGCGACGTCGATCTCTCTTTGCTTCGTGTTGATCTGAGCGGTCCATGGCTGGAGTTCCTTCTGCTTCTCCTCGATCTGGAGATTGAAAACCTGCGTTTTGTCTAAACAAGGGGAAGAGTAAGAAGAGTTGATGATCGAAAGTAGAGAAGACATTTACCCTTCAGGCTATCACGGATTGCTTCCAGGACCTTTTCTTCCTCCTTCAAAGAGGCCTCATGCTGCTCAGTTGCCTTTTCTCCTTTGCAACTTTGGCTGAACTATCTTCTATGATGTTAAGGGCGTTCTTGCGAGCAGTGGTGTCCTGCCCACATCATGAGTGTCTGGTCATTAGAGGACACCTGACTGCAAGTACCTCCTGGATGGATTTTTTGAGCTTCTTCTGTCGCGTCGCGGCATGTTTGCGCCTCTCTTGCACGGCGATCTCGCTTCTTTCGGTCGCTGCTAACTCTTTGGCTACATGTACTGCACTGGCTTGGAGAACCTGAAGACTGCGTTTAGCAAGACCAGGCGGCGATAGAAACATGTTGAAGACTTACGGTATATGTCTTCTCTCGATCCTCGTAGTGAACCCTCAATTGCTCAAGATGTTCAATGTCGGTCCTGTGCTTCTCGGTCTCTTCCGCGAGGTCCTTCTGCGTTTTCTCCTACAAGCAACGATTTGAGACCATGATCACTTAGAACGTTATGTCAGCCGACTCACGATTTGTACCTCGAGTTTGGTCTCTTTCTCCAAGGCCTTCCAGATGACCCACTGATAATGACGCGAGATCGCTCGCACGTGCTCGTTCTTGAGACGAAGGAAGTCTTCAGCCTCCTTTTTCTTTTCCTCCAAGGCCAATTTCTCCTTCTCAACGTGTCGAAGGCGGTTCATCTTGATCTGTCGCTCTTCCTGCAGGCGCTCCATTTCGACCATAGCGTCGTCGATAGGGGTCTTGTACTTGGAAGTTCCGATGATGTCCTCCAGATATTCAAGAAGGCCATCTTCGTGCTCCGACGGAGCCTTGGGTTTCATTTGGGCAATGGACTCTACTTCTCCCTGCACAGACGTTAGCCCCGAGGAGATGAGAAAAGCAATGTGGAATTGACCTGCAAGATTAAGAAACGGTTGTGGTCGAGATCAATCCCGCGTCCTTTCAATAGAGTTTGGACTTCACTGTAGCTGCTGTTACGGCCATTGATCGTATATTTGCTCGCGTTGTTCTTGTATGCGGTACGGGTGACAATGAGTTGAGAGCCTGGAGCGACCGTAAAAGCATCGGGTCCAGGCTGGACATCATCAGTACAAAACCTGCCATGGAAGGGCCACGAAACTACCAGATCAATAATGTCACGGAAGTGAACTTCGACACTACACTCCTCGAGGTCGGGGTGGTTTGCTGAGTTGTGGATAAGTTCAGAAATCTTGCCCTGCCGCATCTTCGAAGCGCGGTATCCAAACACGAATAAAAGCGCGTCAATTGTGTTGGATTTGCCAGATCCGTTAGGACCGACGATCGACGAGAACGACTGAAGAAAGTAATAAGTGTCCATTTATCGAGTCTATAGCACCATGGAAATACCTTGTGGAAGGGACCAATCTCCTGTCGACCAGCATAACTCTTGAAGTTAACCAGCGCCATCTTGTGAATAACAAGACGCGCTTTGGGGCCTATTGGCTCCTCTGGGATCGTTTGGGGCAAGCTCGACGGAGCCGGCATCGGAGGTGGGTCGAAAAGAGATTTCTCTTCTTCCTCTTCCTCACCTTCCGGTTCAGGAGCAGCGGCTTGCGAGGCAGGCACATCGACTGGTTTGGCAGCTGGGCGAGGTTGAGCGGAAGGTGGGGCCTCGAGGTCATCGTCTGACTCCTCAACGACTGTGGCTTTGAGAGCCGTCTTCGAGGTAGGTTTGCCTTTACGAGCCGCTGGGGCCTTCGGCTTTCGTCCTTTGCGAGCTGGTTTCGTATCTTCTTCGTAGTCGTCCTCCTCCGAGGGTGCAACCATTGCTTCGTCGTCGTCGTCCGATTGAATTGCCTTCGAAGGAGCTTTCTCGGTGCCGCGACGCCCCTTTACTGGTTTGATATCTTCTTCTTCCTCTTCTTCCTCGATTTGGCCATCGGTGCGCGCAGATCCCGACGTCTCTCCAAATTTCGCAGATCCTACACTTACCCTGCTGCCGGATGACACGGTTGCCTTCCGGCTTGAAGCGCGGCGGACTGGCTTCGAGGCAGGTTCTTCGTCGACTTCCATCTTTGCGGGGCCAGGGGTAGATTTGGCCACGCTGGCTCCACGCCTCGACCTCTTTGGTTTTTCCTCTACGACCTGTTGTTCCTCCTCCTCTACCTTCACTTGCTCCGTACCCTCCACGGATGGCCTTGCTTTCTTCGACGGGGGTGCATCGGATTGTTCTTCGTTGTCGATTCAGGAACGTCGGGCAAAGACGTCTTAGCACGCGTGGATTTGCGAGACTTAGATGGTGGTGCAGCACTGGATCGCACAGAAGAGCTCCGGCGCGTCCTTGACAGCGGTTTCGCGACATTCTCTTTCTCATCGGTGTCGGGTTCTGCGGTTTGCCCCCTCTTGCGCTTGGTCAGTGCGTATTCTGCTGGCGGCACCTCTAGTGAGGCGCTCGCCGCGCGAGATGAGCGTCGCGGCGGCATATTCTGGTCTTGAGGATAATCGGGACGTGTCACAGTCGTTGAGGTTAATGAACGGGGTTTCCAAAATCAACATCGACGCGCCTGTCACGCGTAATGTCACGCCAACTTCCGTTCCCACGGGCTGCAATTGGACAGAAATTTCAGCCAAGGTTGACCTTGATCCACCATCTGCCAGGCATGCATCTCATGTACACGCTGGATGAGAACGGCAACAGAATCTATACTCTGAAGGTGCGCTTTTGATTCTAAAACCCCCAGCAAGGGCTGACTCTTTAACCAGAAAGTCACAGACGCAGGAAAGATAACGAAGTCTGCTCATCCTGGTATACCAACCTTGGCTTAAACTTATTACTCCCTGGCGCTCACGGCGATCTGCTTAGCACGATTCTCCCCTGACGACAAGTTTTCGCGTCATCGTGTTACTATCAAGCAACGCTATGGGGTCCTCTTAACTCAACTTCCCAGTAAGCCCATGTGAAAGCCCTCAAGACCCCTGCACCTGCCCACGACCTGGACACGATGATTCCGCGATTGCTCCGATTGCATAGCTCTGTGTAGCTCAAGTCACTGTTTCTCAGTTGGGACGTGTCAGGACCAGCCAACTCTCTCTGGCAAGGGGCTTCGAGAAGGAACCATATGTAATTGCATTCCTGGGGTTCGTTACGCCTCTTTCTGTTACGTCTAACAGGTTCCAGATAGTATTTATTCAATGAGTACTCTTCGACAATATTCCTTTGTGGTGCAGCACAACCCAATATTCGATGAACTTCAATCTACCAATACTTCGCGACCTACAACGCCGTCAAAGCACCTGAGAGGAGGTTTTCCGTCTTTCCACCTGCGTTTCAAAATCAGGCAAATGTTCCGCATATAGAGATGAATATACTCACCACCAGAATCCCTCTTCTGTCACTGGTTTTGGGATAGACCACCCAGCATCTTCCCCGCGACTTCGACTCGAGAATTCTTCAATCGCCTCCTTTAACGAATAGACTCCAGATGAAGCGCCGTATCTCTCCAAGGCCGCCTTCTCCGGAAGTTTGACATGGACACGGGGGTTTGAGAGCGTCCTGTTGAGCTGCCTGTCATAAGGTGCAAGACTGCACCTCTCCTTGTTGTCGGAGAACTCTTCGATGGAGCCGAAAGGGTATCGATCGTAGGGATCAGTGTCATTAGACGGCGGAAACCCTGGCTGTACGATGATCGTAAGGTTCGGCAGTAGTTCCGGAGGTCTGGACAATGCAAGTCAGTGTTTTTGTTATGTTAATGTTAAGTAGAACAGCCAGACAAACCTGATGGTCAACGTAGAAGCTCCGCGAAAGACGCGCATCACTCGCTCCCATGCCCCTGGTCTATCCCATATTTTCTCCTCGACTCTAGTCCATGGCGCGCACGAGTCAAGCGCACGACTTCCTGTAAGCCGGATGTATGCGACGTTCGAGGGGATCCTCCAAAACCTGGACGTCTGAGTTACAGTGAGTCTGTGCATGACGCTATATGGGATGTACGAGGCGAGGTGGAGATGTGTGAGGGAGGGTAAAGCCCAGTCAGAAATGTTGAAAGTAAGGGTTGTGTCTGCACTGAGAGGGCTTCTGTGATGGGCGCTGGGTGATCGCAAGGTAAGCTCTGTCAAGAGGGGAAATTTCCGCAAAAGTGGGGAATACGGTACTCGTCCAATGCCGGTGTGTGCACCGAAATCGAAGTCCCCGTCAGTTGACCAATGGACCAAATCTCGCGAGGGAACGGGAACACCGTTGTCTCTTCCCTTCGGTGCCGACTTGGGGTTGTAAGATACCCAGGAGAGAGCCTCCAGCGTAGGAGCGATGTGTTCCAGAATGGACATAATCGCGACAACGTAATCTTGGTATGCGTCTTCCCACTTGATGTCCAGTAATCGGTTGTGGTGACGCACCATTTCGATCTCGTACGGGTCGCTGTGGTTGGACACTTGGCGGTAGTCCCCGAAGTTCTTGATGATGTCCTCATCGATTGAATCTGAAAGCAAGAGCCGCTTGACCGAGACCCCTGGACAGCCGATGTAGTTCAGGAACTCCCAGGTGCTGTTCACTCCAACCACGATGAATGTATCGGGAGGGAGATCACTGTTCGCCGAATATGAGAAGGAATGGTCTGCCGCACTGGCATTCGCGCATTTAGGACGATACAATTCGATCGACTGCGCAGGACGACAGTGGCAGCCTGTATCCTGGAGGACCTGGACTCCCTCCGATACATATAAACGGGCAAGGGCTGTAGGAACAAAGAAAAGCAGAGACGATGCCGATATCTATCGAAAGTGGATTACGGTCAATGCGACAGTACCAGCATTGCATGCGAAAAAGGAGAGGGCACCTTCATCTCTTGCTCAGGAAGCGTGTAGACGTGGGGTGAAGAGAGAAGACACGATTGTATAAGCGCTCATGTCAGAATCAGACTGAGTCAGCTCAAGTCACGGAACCGTGAATGATGGAGTCCCACGGCGAGCGCTGATTTGCGCACCTCTGAGAGTCTGGGCGCTGTTGGGCATTAGGATAAACGGAGTTGCCAGGATAGATACACCTCTTCAGATAAGACGAAAGTGCACTCGACGCCGGGAGGCCTTCGTGGTTCTCTTTCACTCCTCTTTGGACGTTCTGCCAACCGTTTCGGACTCCTCGCACTTGCGGAGTGACTTCAAGTTCGGTCGCGAAGTCAATGGAGTGCACCCTGGCCGTCTCAGTTCAGAAGAATTCGTTGGGAATCGTGAATGGATGTACATCGCCTGAGGGTGAATCTCCCGCATGCGGCATGGTCTGTTCCTCTTTCGACTCTTGCAATTCGTTTCCTCGGAGTCAATGCCGGTCCTACAAAAATAGCAGTGTTTAGGGCTGTTGCGCCATGAACGACAGAGCGCATCAGGTTCTATCAGCAACAATAAAGTTTGCTGTCAACACCGAACCCACAGTAACGAGATATATAAGGGACAGTGGGCCAGTCAGCCCTCCAGAGGAACCGCTCATCCCCCGCTCCCTATGAAATAAGCGCCCATGGCGACACCCACCAAAACAGTCCAGGTCCCTCTTCACATCTATACCTGGGGCGGCAGAACCGAGGTTGTGAAAGCATTTGCCTTCTTTCCTGATGGAAACCGCGTAGTGACCGCAGGACACGACGATACTTCAACGCGGGTATGGGACCTAGGTAACGGACAGGAAGATGGCGGGCGCCTTTTGGGAGGGCATTCTGCTCCGACGCTGAGTGTCGCCATTTCCAAGCGGAGCGAGATAACAGGTGGCCTAGACGGAAAGGTGCTTCTATGGAACACAGAAACGCGCGCGGTGTCCAGAATACTGCACCCAGGGTTGCCGGGGATCCAGATCTTGTGTGTAGCGTTCGGCCCCACTACTTCTCCCCAGCTTGTCGCATCCAGCGGTTCAGACGGCGTCATCAGGGTCTGGAAGCTTGGCCCCGACGAATACTCGGAGCCCATCAAACGATTAGTTATCCCAAACAAGCCGACGGTTTTTTCTATCGCATTTGCCCCTGGGTCACCTGGCGTCAACCACATCGCCGTCGCATCGATCGACAAGAAGGTGCGGATCTATGATGTGCACAGTGGGATAGGCGAGCTACCATTGGCCACATTTGGGGCACACACCGCGTATGCGCCGTCGCTCGCCTGGTTCCCTACAGGACAACAATTAGCGTGTGCGGGGGACAAGGCGGTGCGCATCTGGGACACGCGGATCAGGGAGCAGGAGATGAGCCCGAGGATGCTAGGGGGGCACAGCAGGCTCGTGAAGACCGTTGCAGTCTCCCCAGATGGGAGGTTCATAGCGAGCGGGTCCAATGACGGGACGCTGAGGTTGTGGAATGCGGTAACTGGAGTTCAGATCGGGTCGCCGATTGTACATCCTGCCTCTGCGGGTGTCGACGTCGTGGCTTTTTCTCCGGATGGGAGCGTACTACTTAGTATCGCCAAGAACGCAGGCTATTTGTGGGATATGGCCTACCTCGAAGTAGAAGAAGGGCTTCAGTTTGTGAAGAGAGTGACGGATGACCTCGTCGTGTCGTCAGCGGAACAGCAACGGGAGATGCGGGAGACGTTCGAGAATGAGGTATGGGATGAGCTTATGTCGTTTCTCCTGAGGCGCTGACGCAATGTATATCATCAGCTAGACGAAATTCGTCGAACGCACGAACAAGAACTCGCTGGTCTGCGACGGGAGCTGGGGCGAATCAAGACACAGGAAGAGGAAAGATTCCGCGCATTCCAAATCGCCCATAATGAAATAATGAAAACGCAGGAAGAGAAGTTCCACGCTTTGGAGAAGGTCCTGCACGACGCGAAGCATGCGCAGGAAATCCAAGTTGGCAAGGAAAGGGAAGCTTGGGAGGCCGAGTTCAAGACCGTGCGCTCCGGGCTCCGAGGAGCAGTTCAAGGGTACGAGAAAGGCTTCAAGGGGCTGGAGGAGGCGCAGAAGACCCAAGAGAAAGAGTTGAAGGAGCTGCAGGGTGCCCATAAACGCGGAGAGGACACGCAAGAGAAGCAATTCCAGGAGCTGAAGAAAGGCTTGCAAGACCTTTTTGCATTAATGTGAGCTTCGCTTTTCACCATCAAATCGGCGAAGCAGCGCGTTCTGACTGACTGGTCTTCGTATACAGGAAAAAACTCGCAACTAACGCACCGACAGGCCGTACCCACTTGTCCAATTGATCCAGGTTTTTGTGAGTGGCCACAGTCCAGAATATTCTCTCTATGCCTGACGAGTGACTATCGGCCAAGAAGAATACCTCGAGTGTGTTCTTCTTGTCCGGTCGCCATTGGTCCCAGCGGTGTCGATCCTGCTTGTTTCTTGTGTTTATTTAAGTTCGAGTTGTATTCCCAGCTTCATGAAGGGTGATTGTCATACTGCGGGGTGCGGAGATCACTCTGTAGGGATGTCTTGCCCATTGAATGGCAACCCCGGGCCCCTTGACAGTCGACTCGGAGGATCTTGCCTTTTCTCTCTTTCTCTTTATGTACTACCAATGCCTGAAACGAATGTAAATGTAATCATCAGTCATACATATCCATTGTTTTGCACTCAAATGGATATAAGTACCTTCTCGGGAGTGTTTTTGTTGTTTTTCGCTTGTCTGGGGCAGCGGAAAGATGCCTTTAAAATGATAACATTTAGCGCTGACGCGTTACGAACCGTCGGGGCCAGGAGTGGAGGGCCGTTCCAGGTGGATATAGAGACATTGATCCCCAATCTGAGGTTGTACAGAGGTTGTGGAACCACGGAGATTGGAGAATGGGTTTGTGGTACAAGTCCGAGTCCAAGTCGCGACAGAACTTGGCCGGGCCGGATACCCCGTTGACGAGTGGCATCAGAGGACCAACGGCGATCACATTCTCACTTACCTCTCGTTTCATTCTACTGTTCTACCCAGGCCGTTGGCCCTTCATTTCATGACCGACACTCGTTCACGCAAGAAGTCTCGTAAGGACCCTCAAAAGACGCAGGCTGTCGAACGAGAGGGAAACAGGTACCAATCTTCAGGGCTTCTCAGGGAGCCTATAGGCCTATTGAATATGAACACCTCTTCAGAGCGCTTCGAAACCCTCGTCTTCTTCTTTCTCAACGACATTCGTTTGGCTAGTTGGCCTTATTGCTGTAGCGACATATTGTTATCTGGTGCGACTACCAGACCGATTGACGCAGGACAACGCGACTTACAACTTCTAGAATCCTAAATTCGTCCAAGACTTGCTGGACGATTGGATAGGTTTCTCTGAGCACTATGACGGAGCACCTGTAATACAGCAGTCTTACGGCGAACGATTACCCTCAGATGTCGCAAGACGTGATGCTGTTGTAGCTGCTTTCAAGGTAAGCACCCTGTACCAAACCAGACGTGTCGATGCACTGATAGACCTTCAGCACTCATGGCATGCATACGGTCAGGGCGGCGGTCTACTTTGTTGTCCCAAGCTTAAGGCAGCCTCTTCACACAGAGCAAAACGCGATGGGCGCAGACGAATACCATCCCATAAGCCAACAGGGATCGAATTTAACCGAGACAGGAGGGATTGGCTACATGATTGTCGACGTGATCGACACCCTGCAATTGATGGGGCTGCAGGAGGAGTACTCTCGGGCCCGGAGATGGGTGGATGAGAAGCTGAGTTTCGACCGTGACGACCGGTTCAGCACGTTCGAGGTGAGCTTGCTTTGCCTCTCGACATCTCCCTGGAGTTGAATCAACGGGCACAGACTACAATCAGAGTACTCGGCGGCCTTCTCTCCGCGTACCACCTATCCGGCCAGGACCCGCTTTACCTTGAGAAGGCGATCGACCTCGCTGACAGAATGCTTCCCGCCTTCGACACGCCGTCCGGTCTGCCGCATCCCATCATCAATCTTGCACAAAGGTCTGGGCAGGAACAAGAAGAGTTTCCCGGCTTGGTGAGCGTTGCAGAGGTCGCCACTCTCCAGCTCGAGTTCCGCTACCTGAGCCATCTGACCGGGAAAGACGAGTATTGGCGAGCGGCTGAAAAGGTTATGGAAGTGGTGAAGCGTGCACGCCTTCCTCATGGGCTTGCTTCTGTTTTCATGAGGTTGGTTCAGCGCAGGATACACGAACACTGGCTAAAACTTTGTTCAGCGTCGATGAAGGCCATTATATCACCTCCGTCATTCGCCTCGGCTCACGAGGAGACTCTTTCTACGAGTACCTTCTGTAAGTCTATCTAGAATTTCGTACCCTCTCATATTCACGTTCTGTTTCAGGAAACAATATCTCCAAACTGTGAGCTTCTGTTCTTTCCCTTGCCCAGAGGCATGAGTGCTCATGTCTCGCAGAATAAATCAGAGTTTGTCTATCGTGATGTAGGTTTCCAAATACAGTACCTGTACGACGAATCCTAACTTCGTGTTCTCCTTGACAGATGTACGAAGACGCTATGGACGCAATACACCAGTATCTCATCCAAGAGAGCATGGGCACCAAAATGACCTACACCTCCGAACTCGTGCCAGAAAACGGAGAGAACGAAGAAATGTAAGCGCTCATACCCTTCTAGCCTTCGAGCTTTAACCTGTCCTTGTACACTGCTAGCTCATGGCGACTGACCCCGAAGCAAGACCATTTGGTATGCTTCTTGGGTGGCTCGTTGATGCTTGGGGCGACACGCACAGGTGCCCTCACAAGCCCAGTTTCCATCCCACCCCGCCCCGAAGAACTCTCGGACAGGGGGAAACGGGATTGGAAGACCGGCGTCGAACTCATTAGGACGTGCATGCATACACATGATACCGCGACGTAAGGCAGTCAATATTTCGCCCGAGAGAAGAACTTAAGCAGTGGATGGATGTAGCGGACTATCTCCAGAGACGATATATTTCAGAGTTCCGAGCGACGGGATGGACGTGTTGCCCAATGCACCGCCAGACTGGTATATCAAGGGAGCAGCGTACGCGTCTCCTCTCTCTCCTTGCTGCTAGTTCTGACCATTCGATGAAGCGTTGGCGAATTCCCGCCATACGACGCGCGATACATGCTCCGCCCCGAGACGGTCGAATCGCTCTTCATCGCCTACCGCCTGACAGGCGACGATGTCTACCGTGACCACGGCTGGCGCATTTTCCAAGCTATCGAGAAACATTGCCATGTAGAGAGCGGAGGGTACGCGACGGTGGTCAACGTAGACGAGAACCCAGCGCGCCTGGAGGACAAAATGGAGACATTCTTCTTGGTTTGCCTTTTTCTTCCCTCTGGAGAACCGACAGTGCTGATCGAGCGACGGTTTTAGAGCGAGACATTGAAGTACTTGTATCTGCTCTTCGATGGCTCGGATACGATCCCACTAAATCGTAGGTCCCTTCCGCAGATATTCTTAACTACCTTCTGACAGACTACTGCAGAATACGTCTTCAATACGGAGGTGCGTGGACTGCACGTTGTCTTCCAACGCGCTGAGGCTTATGAAGGTGCAGGCCCATCCTCTGCCCATCTTCCAGTCAACCATCCAGACAGGATTTACGTAGTACGCCCTCTGATGTCCGAGGCCAATGTCACCTTCATTTATACTAAATCACCAAAGGGATCTCTGATGAGTGGACGCATGCATCATAATAGCATATGAGTTGGACGGCATACGATACAAAAAAACCATAAGTGTGAGGGTGAATTACGATTAGTTTACTCCTCTTCATCGTCATCACCACCCTCCTCCTTCTTGGCAGCGGCAGCGCACGCTTGCGCTTGACGCGACCTGGGCGGCCTCCGCCGTAGGGCGAAGTGAGCGCAAAGTCAATGTGCTTTTGAGAGTCGAGACGGACGACAAAGGAAGGAACGTTGACAATCTGCTTGCCAACACTGAGCATTCAGATAGCATTAGGACAAGTAACGAATAAGGTGCAGGATGCATGAGACGCACCGAATGTGCCTTTGCCTGATCAACACACGCGCATGATGGATGCTCTTAGCGAGACCGCTCTTGAACACCTGAGTTTGCAGCCTTCGCTCCAAGAAATCCTCAATCTTCAGGGCCAGCACGTAATCGAGACGCATGCGGCTCTCGTCGAGCACACCGATACGCACGAGACGCCGGATAAGGGCGTTACCTTCAAAAAGGCGTTTGGGGTCCTTGTCGTCGAGCTTGAGCAGTTCGCGAGCGGCACGACGGATTTTGGAGAGGGTGAGGGCGATACGCCAGATCTCACGCTTGTTGCGGAGGCCGTATTCACCGGCGAGCTATTTGACGCGGAAGGAAGGGAAAGATGAAGGACATCTGCATTAAGAAAATGGGAGCTTCTAAATTTTGGATGAGGCCGCACCTTCAGCTCGGCATCGAGACGAGCAGACTCGAACGGGCGACGGGGGACCTTGTAGCTGTAGAATGTTACGAGAGTGACATGGGGAGCATTGGCTTGTCAGCACAACTGCTACACCCTCCACTCGGGGTGGATCTTGACGAAGGAAAGCCGTAATCATCGAAACTCACGTCTTGCTATGATTCCTCGGGGCCCTGGTCTCGTACTCGTTAAAGCTGACGGAGACATCGAGAAAGCGGGCAACATTACCTTGGCATTTTTCTTCAGGGGGCCGACGGCAGCGACGGGGTCTTGAGGTGGTGGAAAGGCGACGTCGAAAGTGCCTACAGTGCGAAAGGGGGCGGACCAAAGCGGGACAAACAGATTAGGCTTTCGGTGCTCAGCCACAACTGTACAGGACACCAGCAGCCACTCGGGAGTTGCCGCGAGCACCAAATTGCAGGCCCTCCTCGACATCGGATAGGATAACGACAACGACCGACGTACGTACCCCTCGCCATCGTCCATCACCACTTCGAGAAGATGCTGACCACACACTATGCACAGACTTCAAGATGCCTCACTCCTTCGGTTACCGCGCGCGCACGCGCCACATGTTCAAGCGGGGCTTCAAGGGTGCGGATTTTTGGACTTCTTGGATCGGTGGAGGACCGTTAAGATTGACGAATTGACTATTCAGAACATGGACCCGTCAAGCTCTCTACTTTCCTCATCAACTACCACGTAGGAGACATCGTCGACATCAAGGCCAATGCCGCACAACAAAAGGGTATGCCGCACAAGTACTACCATGGGTGCGTGCCGTCTGGCCCTACTGCCCGAGCCTTGCTCATTGAGCGATATTTACTTGCAGACGAACCGGCATCGTCTACAACGTCACCCCCTCATCCGTCGGTGTTATTGTCCACAAAGTTGTCGGAAACCGTTACATCGAGAAGCGGGTCAATCTCCGTGTTGAACATGTGCGTCACTCCAAGTGCCGTCAGGAGTTCCTGGACCGAGTGCAAGCAAACCACGATGCCCATGCTATCGCGAAGGAAAAGGGCGGTGAGTGCCTGGATTTGTCGGACACCGAGCAAAGATCTCATTCGGTATATTTGCTGCAGAGCGCATTAACCTTCGCCGCGTGCCTGCCCTCCCCCGTGAGGCCCGCACCGTCTCGAGTACAGATAATGCTCCTCAAACGATGGTGCCCGTACCCTATGAGACAACAATCTAGATGGGGAGACGCTATTGGTCCTTCTAGTTTGTTTTTTCCTTTCACTCTGCATGCAGTTGTATGTATGACACTCGCTATACTGCCTTATGCCCATGCAAAATCGAAACGATCCAAAAACCTGTCCAGCGTCGATGTCGTCTGGAATAGAGTTCCTGACAGCCTGCCCGTCGCAGACTGTTCTCTTTTCAACCCTTCGCTTCGACGGACGTAAATTCTAATCACAGACCGGCCTCGGCTTCGCAACATGCATTCCGCTCAGTCGATAAGACCTTCCCTAAGTCGACGTGCTTATCATGTATACAATTCAAATCGTGGAGAGGAAATTCTTGGCCTCCTGCGGTGCCGAGGTCTCTGGACTACCAGGTTTCTAATTTTCACATCGATACGGATGCGACATTGTCTGAGTGCCAGATGAGTAGGGATAATCTATGACATACGCTGCTCAAATGTTTTTCTTTTCCTGGCAGGGACATGTGCATGTGCTTGTTCCATTTAGCAGTGCCCCGATTTGGTCAGCATGTAGTATAAATAGGCTCCCTCACTTGTCTTCGGAACTTGGCACCTTGCCTCTCCTTGACACAGCTATCACAATCATGGCAATCGAACTTGCACCTTTCCCAGTCCCTGCTTCAGCCGACTCTGTAAAGCTCGCCGACTTCGGACGTGAAGTCAGGGGTATCAATGTCGCTGAATTCACCCCAGAGCAGTTCAAGGAGATCGAAGAGGCTCTTTACAAGGTATGTACGCGCTGTTCTCGCTCCAGCATAGTTTTCGTGGCCTCACAAACGTCGACAGCACGGTGCCCTCCTTTTCCGTAACACCAAGCTCTCTCCTGCCCAGCAGTACGCACTGACCAAGGTCTGTTATCGTTATCATGCACCGCGTGCCAACATTCTCCTGATGTCAGCCCAATCTCCAGGCCTTCGACCCACAGTCCGAAAGCTACGGCCACGGCAACAACAAGACCGGAGAGACCAAGAAGTCAATTCTTCACCCCGACCTTAAGACGATCCCTTCCGTACCACAGGTTCAGCTAATCGGGAATGGCGTGGTCTACAACCATGAAGGTCTGGCAGAGGCCAAGCTGAAGCACCCCAATCATACCACCTTCCACAAGACCCGTGTCTCACCCGAGGACGAGGACAAGGGCGTTACTCGCTTCTACAGGTGGCACATTGACGCCGCACTCTACGACCTCAACCCGCCGAAGGTGACCACGCTCTATGGTATTACCGTTCCGCAAGGCGAGAAGCAGATCTGCAGGTATGACGATGGTACTGGCGATGAGCTTGAGGTTCCCCTTGGCACGACTGCCTTCGTTTCTGGCAAGGTCATGTTCGATATATTACCTCCCGAGCTCAAAAGCTTCGCAGTTCGCTCCAAGGTCAAGTATGCTGCTCACCCGTACGTGTGGATGGCCCCTGCCCACGCGATGCCTACTGGCCTTGGTATCGAAACCGAAGGTCTTGAGCTCCCCCTCGAAGAGCTCCCGGCCTGGGAGGAATCCAAACTGAAAATCTTGCCTATCGTGCGTTGCGAGCCTTCTTACTCGTCCCTCTTCGAGATGCTGACCCCAGCTCTACCCTTCAGTTGTGGAAGAACCCTGTTACTGGCGACTTGCACTTCCAAGTTCATCCCTGTGGCGTCCAGGAGCTCATCGTTAGCCCTCTCCCCGAAGGCGCGAACCGCGAAGGAGCGCTCTACCCCGACGGTGGTCACATCAAGGATCTTAAAGAAGTCCGCGGCTTGCTCTACAAGATGCAGCGTCCCGGCATCGCTCCTTCGGTCAGCTCATCATACCTTGGTCCGTTCCTTCGCTGACCCTCCCCGTGTAGCTCATCTATCCGCATGACTGGAAGGAGGACGACCTCGTCATTTTCCACAACCGCGGTGTTCTCCATACCGTCGTTGGCGCCTTTAAACCCGACCAGGTCCGCGCCTTCCACCAGTGTAACCTCGCTGCGTCTGATGAGCCCGCCGGCCCGTCTGCCGAGGATGTCAAGAAGTGGGCTTAAGCACTGCAGTGTTTGGGAGTGTGACGGGCTAGTGCGGAAGGTTGGGTATGATATGGAGGAGCAAGTCGGTGAGGTGGTGAGGCTGGTGGTAGAAGGCTGATGACGGCTGGACGGACGGGCAAGGAAAGAAAAAACCAGGGCACAAGGTAGGATAACAGGGAGTGGTTCGTGGAGGGTATGGTGGTGGGCATTTTTCTCGTTTTCTTTTCTTCAATCTCTATAATCCGCTTCTTGATCTCTCAACATCTGCTTCGAGATCCAGAGAAGCGACGACAAAATATACTATGAACGACTGCACAAACGCGCCTCTTTCGGCGTCTTTTTGTTCCACCCTGTATTTCTACGCATGCCACTGGTTTTTTCTCATTCACCTCTTTATTCCCTTCCTTGTCTCTTTCCCGTCTCTGCTGCATCACATTTACTCATGGCTCTTGCTATCAACATCTCGTCTCTTATCGCTCTCGCATCTCCATGTCTCGTTCGATCATCTCTCATTAGTTTTTGTTACACCCATCGCATACGCATGCCTTGTACTTCTAATAGCAATATATTACAAGTGTCCTCCATCAGTAGATGCGATGTGGTTCCCTTTGCTGACCTTTTTGTAAGTGCCTTGTCTGGGCGGGCGCTAAAGAACTAGCGCCCCTCACGATCCTGAAGATTTGAGTACACCGATACCTCCTACGACTTCTTGGTGAACTGGCAACCTTGCGAGTGTCAGTGAATACAAATTTCGAAAAATGGCAGATTGCCAAAGTATCTGCCATTGTTTTAGATACTGCAACAGGAGAAATCCCGTGACGTTGACCCAACAGTCGGCCGGACAGTCAACGAAGGCCCGGATAATCGACGACAGGTCGCCGTCGTGTAACTCGCCCTGGAAGCAATGGATAAGAATCAAGTTTCTCGATTCCTGGAAACTCTTACTATTGTTCTACGAATAGGCGTCGAACTTGACCTATCTTTGAGACGCCGTCAGGTTCGATTTTATCACTCTGAAGCGATCTAGTGCCTGCCAGGCAGTCAAAAAATGGCCCCAACTCCGGGATGATGTTCTCCATATGCATGTAAGAAAATTGAGCACTATGATGCTGGGAAGAAAGAAGAAAGGAACGCAGTCACTCACGCGAACGTATCTTTGTAAAATAGCCCCGAGAGAGAGTATGTCAACGTGGAAAGGGTTGTAAGGTTTGTCGAGCTCAGGCAGGCCGCGTAGACGAAATGGGAAGAATCGCGTTTCCTGGACGTCTTCTAGGATAGTGTCCAAGGGGTATTGAATAGATTGCCCAAAGTCGATGAGGGCGCATCTGGTCGAGTGATCCCGAACAACGTTTGCAATTTCAGGCCGCCTGTTGTCATAGCGGACATCCGTTCCCCTGTTTTGTTGAAGGAAGTCAAAATGGACGATCTGATGCTCGTGCATGAAGTCGAATGCCTGGACAAGAGTCAGTGCTACCTTTCTTTTGTCGGCTATAGCTCACCTCGAGGAACGCGAGCGCCATGTTCATTATTTGGTCTACCGTCTCAAATTGTGGTCGGAAAGGCATATTCCACATAAGATTAATCAAATGTAGTGAGAAGTTTGAGCGAGTGAGAACGTACTACAGAGCAAACCTCGGCATGACCACGAAGGTGACATTAAATGTTAGAAATTCAATAATGGAGATGGTGTGGTTCCGTGGGTCGGCGCGCGTTTTGTTTAAATTAAAACATTGCATGATATTTAATCCGTTCGACTGCTTGTCGTCGCCCACAGACCTTGATGAGAAATGAGCTAGAAGCTTCTAAAAAGTAGGAAACAGAATTACTTTATGATGTCATCTCTTCCGAGCGAATCTCCTGCAGGCAGTACTCGCATGGCCTGACATTCGAATATCTGTTCATTTGTCTCTTGTAAACCTTTTAAAGTGTGCCTTTTTTTGAAATGTCCTAGTTCTGACGTGACCAGAGTGTGGCGCTTCTAAGAGTACAAAAATTCCATATAAGGACATTATTTGGCAGATCATCATCGGAAAGATTCCGAGGAAAGTCTCACGTTCGGCTCCCATTAGCCTCCCATTGGCATCGCACGTATGGCACATCTTTCCGAGTTGACACCACTTACTCCAGGTCCGAGTACAACCTTTCCGTCATTCCAACATTCATGTGGCCAGTGATGTTTCAATGCCATCGACCGGCTTGTCACCCGACTTCATCCGCGCCACTATATCTCTCTGGGCATTCTACCCGACACGATGAACCAAGATAGGTCGACAAGGTGCTTCTGAATACAGCCCATACGTAGTTCAATAGAGAAAGAAGGATTTCAGAAGTCACCCAGGCGCATCCGCGCCAGACCGAGGTTATCAGCGCTTCTCACATCAATCGTGCCGCACACCATGTACATCCTTCAGCTTCACTCAGCTCATGTTAGACAACGTACTCGACATGACGCTGCTTCTTACTCCGGACTGTCATCGACGAGGGTCTTGAGGACTATAAGGCGCGTCCGACATCACTTGCCCCAGGATCCCTCAAGCCCCAGAAGCCTCCAGGTCCACGAAACATGATCACGGATCTGATAGTTCTCTTCTCTCTTGTATCATTAGTACGTGGGATCACAAGTGCTCCAACGGTCAAGCTCGACTCCGCGATCGTCTATGGGACGGTGAATGATTCTCTGACCAAGTTTCTGGGGATCCCTTTCGCAAAACCACCGTCAGCATCTGATATCCTTTGACTAATTCCCGCTCTAAATACTCTTTTATCCTTTCAGTGCACGTTTCACGGCAGCAGAGCTTGTAGCACCCTACCGCGGAACCGTCGACGCACGGAAGTACGGATTCTTATGCCCTCAGCAACAGGTTTCTCCTCCAGAAACGGGCATCGACGAGATCACCGCTATAATTAATGGCACGCCGGAACTTCGTGTGGCACCTGGCGTTGAGAGCGAAGATTGTGAGTTTATCAGATCTCGCTACATCAAATCATGATTCAAGCTTATTTCTTACTCCGCGTAGGCCTCACGATTAACATCATCAGGCCCGCGTTTACCAGTGTGAAGGGCAGGCTTCCTGTCGTGGTTGTACGTACAACGTCATATGCTGTCATCAGGAATTACTTCATGATAAAGTCCTGGTTCAGTGGATTCATGGAGGTCTGTAAAGACGAGACACAGCACCAACTCTGACTTTGTCCACAGGAGCGTATCAGATCGGTGACACGGCTTCGTGGGTCTTCAACCCTTCGCTGACCTCTTTCCTCGCTGACGACTCTCTGTAGATATGACGAAATGGGATCAAAACTCGTGAAGAGATCCATTTCACTGCGAAAGCCAATGATATACGTGTCCACGAATTTCAGACTATCCGGTAAGGGCATCCGAGTTTTCAAACATCTCAATTCTGAGTCTCTTCTCCAGCATATGGATTTCTGGGTGGCCAGGAAATCTTTCAGGAAGGTAACGGTAATCTAGGACTCCGAGATCGTAAGTCGCTTTGTCGAGCGTTCAATACGTTAATCATACACCGGCTCTTCTCATAGAGCGATTGGCACTGAAGTGGGTCAACAGATACATAAATGCCTTCGGAGGAGACAAGACGAAAGTTACACTGTGTGTTTTCATTCAGTCCCAAACCCTCGTCTTTCTTTTAACCGAAGGATTCATTATTCAGCTGGGGCCAGTCATCCGGCTCCATCTCGACGGGACTGCAAATTTTCTCCAATGGCGGTGACAACGAAGGACTCTTCCGCGCTGTATTTATGATGTCCGGCTCGCCTCTTCCCATAGGCAACATCACGAAAGGCAATGGGCAGGTATGTGGGTTTTAATTTTTCTCGCGGAAGGCGAGACCAACGACTATCTCTCGACAGACTGGATACGACGGCCTGGTCGCGGACACAGGGTGCTCTGGGTCAAATGACACGCTTACTTGCCTGCGCTCGCTCCCTTTCCCCGTACTCAAGGCAGCTGTTGACAGAACTCAAAACCTCTTCTCGTACCAAGTATGAGCGCCTTTAATTCGTTACCTAATCTCGCTTGCTGAGCCAGGCATAGTCGCTTGCACTACTGTGGCACCCAAGCGTCGATGGAGTCTTCATGGAAAATAATACACAAACCCTTCTGCCCCAGGGAAAATTTGCGAACGTTCCGATCGTCTCAGGTAGGAGCAATTTCTTTGTTCCCTTGATCATCCAAATATGCTGGCATACTGTGAAATAGGAACATGCGACGACGAAGGAACGCTTTTCGGATTATCTTCTCTAAACATCACGTCAGTTTTCGAAATTGGTCTACTATTTGCGCGTACCAATTCGTCCCGTAGAACTGAGGAGCAGTTCCGGCAATACATAAGCTCAGTCTGGCTTCCGCGAATCCCCGCTTCCGAGCTGGAGCAGTTGTGGTCGCTGTATCCCTCTAATTCTGCTTCTGGATCTCCCTTCGATACAGGAGAGAAGAACGCATTGACGCCTCAGTTCAAGCGCGTGTCTGCATTTATCGGTGACTCTATCCAGCACGGTCCAAGAAGGTTTCTCCTTCAAGAGGCCTCGAAGCGGACGAAAGTCTGGTCATATCGTGAGTCAGACGCTTGCTATAAGTGCGCGAAGTGTGAAGGCCCTTTAACCTCCCACCTTTTCAGTGACTAAACGGGCCAAAAATACCACCGGCATTGGAGCAGTTTGTCCCCTCGCGTTTTCTCGAGCAGCAATTAGGCTGACCTGATCGCGCAGTACCATGGTTCTGACCTCGTCCTGGGAGTTGCTGACGACAACCTGATCCATTTTGTTAGCGACCTTGATCCTAACACGGGAGTAGGTGTGTACTGGCCTCCGTACATCTCCGAGTCGCCCCGGCTGTACACGTTCCCCGAAGTCGGCAGACCCTTGATCACTTTGGACACTTACAGGGCCTCAGAGATAAATTATCTTACGAACCTTTCTCTTGCTCACCCTTTTGTCCTTTGACGAAATCCTTCGTATCTTTACGTCCCACCATCAACATACTCTGGCTCCCTTAGAGAGTGTCAAACTTTAAATAGGGGCTCGACGCGTCTGGCGCGTAAATCGATTAGATTAGATTAGATCATCGATCACCTGTTCGATAATTTTGAATCAGACACCCTGCAGAGCCCAACTTCCCTCTCCTTCCTTCACCGCACCATTCGAACGATGTCGACCCCAAGCTACTCTCTTTTCTGCATGGGGAACCCCCTACTCGACATGCAGGTCAGGAACGGCGAAAAGCTCCTCCAGAAGTACGGTCTTAAGGCAAATGATGCCATTTTGGCCGATGAGAAGCACGCTCCCATGTGAGAAACATCGGTGGTTTATGTCTATCAAGCTTATCGGCGTGCACCCGACGTAAAACAGCTACGATGAACTCGTTACGGAACACGAAGTCACCTACGTCGCTGGAGGTGCGGCCCAAAATGCTGCTCGTGGAGCGGCTGTGAGTCGACTGTTTCATTCGACCTTTCCGCCTGTTTAGAGCCTGTTTTCCTTAGTATGTACTCCCATCTGGATCTGTTGTCTACACTGGCGCTGTTGGCGACGATGATCTTGCTGAGCAGCTCAAGGAGGCCAACAAGCGCGAGGGTCTCGATCAGGTGTATCTTGTGAAGAAGGGAGAGAAGACAGGCGCTTGCGCCGTTGTTATTACAGGACACTATCGGTAAGTTTTCTTGTATCAAGGCTAACCTTTGGACTGACTTGCGTATCAGTTCGCTCGTGACGACTCTTCGTGTCGCCGAGAAATTCGAAAAGTCGCATCTATCCTCGCCAGAAGTCGCCCCTCTCATCAAGGCCGCGAAATACTACTATATCGAGGGTTATTTCCTGACACACGGTGTCGAATCTGCCCATGAACTCAGCAGCCAGGCGTCTGCAGCTGGCAAGGTAGGTTTCCCTGCTCTGACATCATCTATTTTCGTTGTATCTTATCTTATCAACTAACGACTCACTAAACTAGACCTTCATTCTGAACTTCTCCGCGCCTTTCATCGCTCAATTCTTCAAGGCTCAACTCGAGCAAATCCTCCCTTACACCGACGTCGTCATCGGAAACGAGGCTGAGGCTGAGGCGTGGGCTAGTGCGACGGGCTACCCTGATGTCAAGGATCTCGCAGGAATCGCGCGCTCCATTGTACTCCTCCCCAAGTCCAACGCCTCACGCGGACGCGTTGTCGTCTTCACCCAAGGCGCGCAGAACACTGTCCTCGTCACCGCGGACAAGCCTGACGAACCCAAGATCTTCCCGGTCGATGCCCTCACCGATGAGGAGATCGTCGACACGAATGGAGCCGGAGACGCCTTCGCTGGTGGTTTCATTGGTGCCCTCGTTGCTGGGAAGGACCTGGACGGGGCTGTGTTGGCTGGGCACAAGCTCGCGCGTTCTTGTGTGCAGCAGGTGTGTTTTAGTCTCTATTTTGGAAATAAGTCGGTTCTCATCCCAAAATACCTTGTTAGGTCGGCCCACAATACCCGTGGCCAAAGCTCAACATCCTTTAAATCCTTTAAAATATAGATTTGATGCACTGTATACCTAGTCTTCACATTAGAGTACTATCCAAAGCCGCGACATTCAACATCTGTCGCGGTGCCAGTTCGAAAACATCAAAAGCAACAACAAAAGGAAAAACACAAAAGCGGGCATGCAAAACAGGTGGATTTGATCGACAGCATCGTGGACCGGACATGATGCAGTGACGACAAACGAGTGTGTGCCCAACAAAGACCATGAAAAACCACGAGAGCGAATAGTAACCTTATCCGACGTCTAATATAGCAAGATTAGAAATGAGGAGGTAATGTATGCGGTGATAAGTGCGCTTGGAGGACAACGGCCTCCGTTTTACAGTAGTGCGTTGTTTCATAGTCCACAGGCCCAATAAAGATACTCGAGAAAAGAAGTTGCAGCATTTGACCAGTTCAAGGGCGCAAAGTGTCATGACGGAGGTGGCGACGCGAGAGATTCCTGGACGAAGGTCTATATTAGCATGCTGCGGCGTTAGGGAAGGGTGTCGAGACGAACCTGTGTAAGCAGCTCAGCTGTTGAGACCGCAGGGTTTAAGCTCGGATCGTATCAAGTGCAACAGGCCTGGCTCACCTGGGTTTAACATAGGCTCTCCATCCTCCGTAAGCATGTGTTCCATAGGCTCAGGCCTCTCAAATGACGACCCGTAGCCAGGCATCCCATCGAGTCCGTCCTCTAGGCCGAAACTCCTATGGCTGTCTAGGTCATCCCCAATGACCCCGTCCATTGAGGGATCCGTATTCTGCGTCTGCCGTTCGCGTTCTAGTTTCTCCTGCTCTTCACGTTCCTTCTTCTTCGCAGCCTCCAAATCTGCCTGCCGCAGCACGGCCTCGACCGCGTTAACGATGTCCTCCGCGGTTATCTCGGGATCAATGCCTGGTATCATGGAGGGTGCTGAAGGAGGTCTGCTCGATGATTCTGGTGGTTGCGGTGGGTTTCGGGAAGCCGGGGTTACTTGGGAAGACGCGTTCGGTACAGACAGCGATCCGTTCCCTTGCGTCTGGAGCGGTTGAAGGGGCTTAGACGGTGGGTTGGTGGTAGGATATGAACTAGTGTGTGGTCGATAGTGCGGAGAGGGGTAGTACGTCGATTGAGGTATATAGCTTATCGGACCCATGTTCGGAGGTAGGGAGCCGTTCGTCCAGTTCGTGGGATAGGTCGGCCAGGGAGGTCCAGTTCGTGTCGACGAGACTGGTAGGGTTGTTTGTGTAGCTTGCAGGTGAACGGGGATGAAAGCTTTCATCCAGGAATTTCAGACCGCGGTAAGCCATAGAGAAGAGCGAGGTAACGCACGACTGATGGTAGCAGTATGTGAACGGTAGTAGCTCGAAGGACCGGTAGGGATTGGCGTTCCCTGGTGTGTTTGTACAGGGATGTTCGTTGCCCTCTCCTTGCCCTTCGACGATGGTGTTCCGCTCCGACTTCGGGTGTCGGCGTTCTCGTCGCCTGTCTGTTCCACCGGTTCGATGATGACTCCATCATGCCTGCCCGTATGTTAGCGATTGAGTGTATTCCAGGTCAAGGATCGCATACCGCGATTTCTGGTGTCTCCGCAGAGCATCCGTCTAACAGGAAGTGAGCAAGAACCACTGCAAGACAAAGTGGCTAGCCTTACCCTCGTGAACGTGTTATCGCATTGCGGACATGCACTGAGGGTATATCAGCACGAGAAATATACAAAGAGCAAGCCACGCACAAGCTTGGCATTGAATGCAACTTGGTCGTCCTTTGGTGCCTCTTCAGATCCGCTTCCCGCGCGAACTGCTTGTTGCATCCATTGATTTTGCATGGCCACGATCCAGCAGCAAGGGTTTTCTTGCGCGACCTCTTCTTGAGGCTCGCATCCCTCCTGTCGTCTGGCTGGCCGGCTATTCGAGGCGATTGAGGCTCGTCGCTGTCGGCTGGAGCTGGAGACGCCGCCGCCGGCTTCCAGACACTCACAGTGGCGGGTGTGGGGTTTGCTCTTACCATTGTAATTGGTCCGAGCCTTAATCCTGGGGAAGCGAGGAAATGTTTGCGATAGTATTGTGAAAGTAGCTCCTTCTCTGGGCGTCTGGCGGGGGCAGAGCTTGGAAAGCCGGATGTTCTGAGAGCGATGGCGGTATGAGTGAGGGCAATTGTGGTGGTGTTTGGATCCAAGGTGCTTTGACCCAATATGGAAATGCCCCTATCCTGACCACCTTCTCGACCTTTCGACGGTAGCGGTGATCAATCAGTGCGGCCTCGTGTATATTCAGAGGAAAAAGATTCGTAGAAATCAGAGGTGAGACAATATTGTGTTAATTAGGCGAATTGGAATGGGATGATGTTGGCAAACGGACGGTGAGGTGGTCACCCAACGTCCTCTGAATCAAAGGCAAGATCGCCTCGCTACGTAGTTATTATCCTGGAGAAAAAGTTCCGTAGATAATGGAGGAAAAGTGACTACTACGCCATTCCTGAGGTTATTGAATTTCGGAGTTTGTGGGAAATATCAGTAAAATTTCTATCAGAGATGTGCCTCTTAATGCCCGTAAATCGCACTTCTGATGCCAATTATTCGAGAAACTGGGAAAAGAGATTTCGACACCGATGGACCCATGGTTTATATTTAGCAAAAGGTTCAAGAATCCACTCCCGTTTTGCTGCATTTCAGACCAAATCCAGGCTGTTTTCGTTACAGGGTATGTTCGTCTTTGATCCAATGAAAACTGTTGTCGTCTCTGTTCTGACTTCAGATAACTATCAAAATGGCATCTAACAAGGAAGGTATACGGGAAAATAATTACTTAATGGCCATGCGGTGACTCTTGGGGCTCGTTGCATGTCTGTAGTAGTGGAGGACCAACAAGTCTGAGAGGCCTCAAGGGTGGGATGGAGTCTTTATAGCATCAAAAGGCACGAATATAAATCCTCGAGTCTGAGCAAAAACGTTCGTGCCAGGTGCCGGTGAATGTTGAGCCAGAAGCGGAATGTACTGTGGCGTAAAGTTCAAACCAGGCAATATTACCTGATTGGGGATCGGGCATGGGACAAAAGAAACCCGTTCTGGCGCTCGATCAAATATCGTTCAACCTCCCTTCTCAGAATCGCGACAGCAATCGATGAACAGACTTCAAGAATTTGCTTGCACGCTCCCATTACTTCCTCCCAAACATGAAGGACTTGTGAGATAGCAGCGAAAGGAGACCACTAGAACTGAAGCAAAAAGCAGGTGCGTAGAACAGTCGCAGGCAAGTTTATACACAGGATATCTATGAAGAATAACGCAGAGAGAGAGAACATAGGGAGACTGCATTGCAAGAGAAGACGGACTAGAAGAAGATAGAATTACAATTAGAGATTATATCTATGCTGGGGAAAGCACATTTCATGTTCACGTTGACGCGAGTTTACAGCCCATAACTCTCACTGGAAAGGCGAAGTAAGTGCCGTGCAAGTTCAGAAGAGGATAATAACGCACCTGTCCCATCAGGTGCACCCAGAGCATACACCATTTCTGTTGGATGGAAGACAAGAGAAGTTGTTCTGGGTATGAAGGGTGATGGAAGACCTCGTATCGGAGGGGTGTTCAACCCCGTAGAAATATTGTAAGCGGGAAGAGGAGTCGTCAGATTTTGTATGGAGACCCGCTGTGCTCTCCAGTAGATGGGAGTGACCGCCGAAGTGCTATAAACTAGTTCAAAGAATGCTCCAGGCACTAGGTTGGAATAGGAACTTACGCAGCGAAGACGCCAGCAAGAGGGTGGACATCAAAGGCAGAAAGACCATTAGGATGAACATTCCATGTAGTAATGGCGCGATCAGAGCCGCGGATGTCGAACAACTTCACTTGACCATCGAGGCTGGGTGGAAAATAAGGTTAGACAGCTTGGTCGGAATTATTACCAAGCACATACCTTGCGGAGATGAATTGCCCGTGAGTCTTGGGATGCCAACGAACATTCTGCACCCATGACGTATGGTCGTTATATACTCTAACAATGGCATCCTCGTCGTCCAATCTGCGGTCAAACACTTTCACTCCGCCATCGCCAAAGCTTGCAACGAAGGTTTGCGACGAGCCATAATCTGTCATTATAGATGTCACAGGGCTCTTCGAATTGGTGTCCAGGTCCTAAGTAAACATAAGCATCGATAGAGCATGGCAAGGGTAATGCATACCAGTCCAGCTGTTTCAGTCTGAGCATCCCAGACTTTGATGGCATGCGCGTCGCCTCCAACCAAAAGCGTGCCGGCGGATTGCTTCCAGTCTATGACTAGACCACTGCCTTGTCGTACTTGAACCATCTCGTTAAGACCTCGGAAAGCGCTGACCATCTGAAGAGGGCCTTGCTCCAATGAAGGATCGTAATTGCGGTACAGTCGAATGATGCCATCGGCTATGGACAGAGCGGTAAATCGTATCATAGCACATAATACCAAAGCAAAACTGACCTGCAGCAGTCAAAATTATGCCACCGACATCCTGGTTAATGATCTCAAGAGCAGTGATGCTAGACCCCTTTGCATTGCCGTTGCAGAAGTAATTCAGCCTCTTCCGGTGGTGCCAATCCCAAACACTAGCTATCTGTGAGCAGGCCGGATCGACTCCTTTACAGTAGGGCATACCTAATCATGTCGCTCTCGTTGGCCACGATGAGATGTTGATCATACGAATGGAATGCCAAAGTCAACGGATGTCCTTGAATCGACACACTCGCAACAGGAAGGTCCCATCGGCAGGACTCTAAAACATCAATAAGAAGGGCCGAATGCGGAAGTCGTTAACAAATGCCCACCTGAGACAAGAGACTGGGCTTGGGTCTCCTTGATAACCTGTTCATTGCGCATCTGTCTCCAAACTTGGTAGTTATATTGTACACTTCCAGGTTCGTCCGCCTCCGTTTGCTAGATCCGCCGTAAACAAAAGGAACTACAAATCAATAGTTAGGACGTACCCTCATCTGTGGCTCCTTGAAGTACTCTGCACACCAATCATAGAAATTGCTTTTCAGCGGGAGGACATCACGGATGCCAGCGCCCGTTCCCAACCCGAGGATGACACTGCTAGCCGAAGAGTCCATCGAGAACGTGCTGTTGCTTGGGCTGGGGAGCGAGTCGCCGCCGTGACCATACTGATAGTGGTGCTGCCGACGGGGGTGGCCAGCGACCTTCCTGCGAGCTCTCAGTCTCTCCATGTCCTCCTCAAAGAGAGCCTCCATCACGTGGCAAGGCAGGAAGTCGAGCTGGGGTGGCTCTGACTGCGACGACCGAGGCGAAGGCGGACCGCCACGGTCAGACCCGCTGTCCTTCGCCGCGGGGTAGGGTGAAGCGTACTGTGCGACGTTCATATTAGGAGAGGGAGGTCGTGAGACGTCAAGCGCCTCCTCCCTCTTCTCTGAGGCACGGCCTGCGAGGAAGGCACTCGCGAGGCTTGGCGAAGAGCGACCGTCGTTGTCTGAAGTTGGGAAGGCGATACCGCCCGTAAGCACCTTCAATGCATTCGCAAACGAGGAGGTGCGCTTGACGGTGTTGGCTGCTGCGCCAGATAGTGTTGTCTCGCTACGGGGGAAGGATGGCCGGTCGCCGCCAGGTGATGGGGGAGGGAGGAAGCTCATTGAAGGCGAAGATTGAAGTGACTGGACTCGTGTACGCGAACCTCCCGAGTGAGGCGAACCGCGTCGATCGATCGGTGCTGTTGGTGGTATATCGAGAGAGGTTGATTCGAGTCGGGTGAATGGGGACTCGAGGAGGAGGGCCATGATGTAGTCCACTATTGTCTGCGCATTTGTCGCGACCTCTTGGTACGGGTCCACGGAGAGGTCGAGCAGGACGACGAAGATGGTGAAGAACGAAGACAGTAGAACACGATTCTCCTCTCTAAGCTGCTCGTCGTCGCCGAACCCATCGAGCCACTCAGCCACGGCGGCACTCGTGATGTCCTCGTCGTGATAGTGTGCCGATGCGGTGTGATGGTGGTGGCCCATTGTCCCAGAACGCCATCTCCTGTCCTCCTCCCAGTAAATCCATGCGCAAACTACGAAATATCCCCTCCACTCCTTAACTAAGCAACTAATCACCACCAACAGCTCCTTTCTGCACATCGGGCTCGCATCGTCCTTGATAGACAACGTCGCACCAGTTGCCACGGCTACTTCCATCCTGAAATGCACACGCTCCTCGAGTTGATACATCGTCCCTGTCCCTCCACCTCCAAGCTTGTTTGGATCAGCCGACCCACTGGCGCCCATGAATGTCCCAAGAGCGTAGAGAGCTGCACACCGGACCTCTGCAGAGTCGTCCGAGAGCATTGCGATAAGTTTGTCTTGCGTCCCGCGATCTACGCCATACACCTTAATCTCATCATTTGCGTCCCACATCTGGGCAATGCACAGTGCCGTCCACTGCCTTAACAAGAAGTCGTGCTCTTCAAGCCTATCATAACAGTTATCAAACACCCGCTCCGACCAACACGCGGATTGCCCGTGCGGGAAGTCCCGCGAGATTGACGCAAGAATGAACGAGCACATCGCTTTGTGCTCCGAGACGTTCGGCAAGGAATCTTCGTTCTTCAGCCCGAGGACGTTCGAGAAGTATTTGTAACCTTGCGTGTTGTACAAATCGGTTTGGACGGACGAGTCGACGGCGAGGATACGAGCCCAAATGAAGATGAGGACGGGACGTAGATCTTGGCCAGCTGCTTGTAGGAGTTTGGAGATGTACGGGAAGATGCCGATAGTCAGCACTAGGTGGACTGCCCATGGTCCGAGATCGACGAATTGAGAAAGGAGGATAAGGGCACGGAGGCGATGGGGTTGGGAGAGCAAAACTTGCAACACGATTGGAAGTTGGTCCGGGGGTTTTCTTGGTACCAGGTGCCTGTCTGCGTGGATATCTATTTCAGGCATCTCGGGACTAGCGTCAGCCTTTCCGAGAGCATGTTGAGGTAGCGATAATGGGCCGCGTTTCGTCAGTGCTGAACCTCCTCTCGATATCCACACCTCGAATGCTAATAGCTGATCTGCAAAGAACCGACTAGGCACATAGACATAAGGTTTGTCTCCAGCATTCTTCGCGGAGGAGTTAGGATCCTCTCGGTTGGTGGATCCAATACGGCCAGGAGTCGTCCCGATGTTGACCATCGTTGGGCCATTTGCGCCATGTGTCGACGATTTTTTGAGGAGCTGAGGTAATTGGCGAAGGCAGGTGTCGACAGCTAAATCCCATGTCGCCCACAATGGGTGCGTATTCGTAGGTGGCAGAGGCGGCCATGTGTGAGGCGTACAGTGATAGTTCTTCATGATTCGTTCTGCGAGGAGGAAGTTGCGGAAAAGCGAAGCAATGAGTAGATCGCAGCGATAGAGGCGTGTGAACGTTTCGCGAGAGAATGTTGTCCAAGCAATGGTGTCAGTAATCGCAGTGAAAATCCAATTGAGTTCTCCGAGCGGAGTTCGTCTATCTTTGAGGTCCCCAGGCAGTTGCATGATCATGTCGGTCGTGATGTTGTTTGGTAGGTGATGGTTCATGATAAAGTATCGGAGGGCGATGTCGATAGGCGATGTGAGACACGAAGTGAATAGGTCAGCAGGAAGTTCGGGACATGAAGGGAGCGTTTCGTTCGCTCCGCAAGCTGCCAGCTGAAGGGAGTTTAACAACGGTTGAGTGCCTTCGGGATAACCGCCATATGCAACCCTAACTTCATGGTCGCGCCTCTCTGCATAGATGTTGAAGTTTGTAAGGAGATTTCCGGCAGCTGAGCAATCCCAAATATAAACACCAGGCGATCCCAGCCATGACTGAAGCTCCTGCAGAGAGACTGGGATGTACTGCGTGTAGCCCTTGTTGAAACACCATAATTCACCACTTGAAGTGGGCTTGGGGACGCCGTGGCCGTTGTAGTAGAACAGAACAGCGTCGTCTTTCGCTTGCTTACGCAGAGTTGTGCAGAACTTGCGGAGCTCGTCGAGGGCAGGATCGAGTAATGGCTTATACGCAATCTTGAGACTAAGGCCTTCGAACTGATGTTGAAGATTGGACCCTATCGCTTCCAGCGCCTTCTGTGAGGGCATTGTGTGCGGATCTACCCAACATTCGAGGACGGCGCATGGATTGGTCTTCACGATGTCTGGTGGATCAACGTCGATATTGAGACAGACGACGAGGACAGCGTTGGCTGTCTTTAGCTTTCCGGGTGCAGACCCTCGCCAGGCTATATTTTTTGAAGACCATGGGGGACCGGGAGTGGGATTGCCACAAGTAAGGTGTCGTTTGGCGGACCAATAAGGTATAGGCGGTGCGGGGTCGGGTGAAGTCTCTGCTGATGCGCTGACTCGACCTGGGCTGCGGTAGCCATTCTGTCCTTGAGAACGTGTCTGCGATTGGGAGGAAGGGTCTGAACGGGACGTTGAACGGCAATCTCTTTCGGTATCCGAGTCTGAACTTTGTGTTCGTCCTCCAGCACCCTTCACGCGAGGCCAATTGCCACCTCCTTGTGCCAACAGTCAAACGCGAAGGCAATTGACATGAAGATGGCAGCGACGCACCTGCTGCAAACTTGGGACCATTGCTCCGAGGGGCCGGCTTCCCTTGACTCGCACTCATGTTTAACACTGCAACTTAGATTCAAATGGTCCGACGCGGGAGTGTTCGAAGAGCCGAAGTTGATTCAGTTGGCGGCCGAAGGACTTGCCGTTAGAACGAGGTGATAGAATAGAAGAATAGAAGAGAGATGGCTGTTGGAAGGGCATGGATGGCGTCAAGAGGAGACGTCCACAAACGGGGCAGGAACTTGAGCGGCCCTGTCTTCCGTAATCCACAAAGTCACGCCTCCGAGGTCAACAACGCGGCCCATGGCCCCTCTAATATCTATAGTCTTCAACTCCTAACCCTTTATCGCGTCTGGATTGTCAGCGCATCGGTAAATCATGGCTACTGTAGACCCGCCCTTGGGTACCATCGTCACCATACCCCAAGGGCGCGGCGTCGTTCGCTTCAAAGGTCCTACCTCGTTTATGACGACAGGCAAATGGGTCGGCATCGAACTGTTTGAGAAGACTGGCAAAAATGACGGCTCGGTGGATGGTATCTCGTACTTCAGCTGTGATATGGGCTTTGGAGTTTTCGTACGACCAAGTCAAATCAAGTCTATACATGGCTCCGAGCTCGATGCAGCTCCCTCAGTGCGTACCACTCGAATTTCCAGTTGACAGTTGAACTTATTAGCCCTGAGTACAGAGACCTGCACCTACAACGCGGCCGGCTGCTGGCCACCAACGGACACCGAGCACATCTGGACTACTACGTGCAAACTCTTTCAAGAGCCCTCCGTCATCAAACCCTTCTCCTCGCTCCGCAAGCCCCGCTAAACCCATATTACCATCATCTGCTAGTTCATCTAATCTTTCGCGTCGAGCATCTCTCACAACGAAAGCCCCTTCTTCCTCATCACCAACGAAAACCAGCCCAAATTTAGCGCTCCAACCCCGGAAAACCCTAGTAACGCGTCAATCTCCTCAGGATTCACCCCCTCACTTATCGAGGAATGGCACAAATTCGCCGGTCAAGACAGCCGTGCAAAGTGCACCAGCACACCCCTTCACCACGCGGACGTCTTCCCCTTTGACTCTCCCTCCAGTCCAATTTTCTCCTCGTCCATCCGATCCCCCATCTCCTCGTGTGCCATCTCCACCCCTAGTAGGTCAATTCTTCTCTATCTTTCTCCCGACCTTGTTCCAATCAGTCTTCTACAGCCACCGACGGCCCAAATTCCACACGACGATGCCGAACTTCAAGAGCTTCGCGCCAAAATCCGTGTCTTAGAAGCTAAACGCGCAGATGACTCTCAACGAATCCGCGAACTCGAAAGCCGCCTCTCCGAAGCCGAGGCCTTCGTCGCCCTTCGTCCTAAATTTCAAGCCAAACTCTCACAGCTCCAAACTGATCTCACTGCGACTAGGCGCGAGCTCGCAGACGCACAGCAGTTGAGCCAACTGTCGGAAAGCAGACTCATCGATGCGCAAGAGCAGCTGGAGATGGTCATGTTGGACAAGGAGGTCGCTGAGGAGAGGGCAGAGTTGGCAGAGGCAGAACTGGAGGACACCAAAGAGAGACTGGCCATTTTGGAGGTCGAAGTGGATGTTTTGCGTGAAGGTGGGTCGTCCCCGCCTTCTGACCCTTATATATGACCAACTAAATTTTGGCAGATGGCAAAGAAACAGGAGACAGTCCTGCGAAGGATTCCCTCGCGTACATTCAACTTGAGAAGCAAAATGAACGCCTCAAGGAAGCCCTTATCAAGCTGCGCGACATGACCCAGGAAACTGAGCAAGACCAACGCCGTCGGATTTCCGAGATGGAGAAGGACATGGCCGGCGTCGATGATCTGCAAGGTGTGTCCCTACCCAGCTCTGGAAGAGCCATCTCGTAGATTAATACAACGACAGTTTCTTACGATGAAACCCTCATCAAACTGGCCAATGCCGAAACACAGATCGAAGACCTGAAACTCCAGCTCGACGATGCTCTTGCAGCCGAAGACATGCTTGTGCAATTAACGGAACGCAATCTCATGCTTGGAGAGGTAAGACATCATTCGCTGCAGGTTAACTTGTCTCTCTCCTAACCCTTATCGTCCATAGAAAATCGAGGAAATGCGAATCACCATCGAAGACCTGGAGGCTCTCAAAGAACTCTCGGATGAGCTGGAGGAGAACCACGTCGAGACTGAGAAGCAACTGCATGAGGACCTTGGTATGTCCAAAGCCTACTATAGCCTCACCTGAATTGATCCCTTTTCTCACCAAATCAGAGGCCAAGGAATCACAGATCCAGGAAAACCTTCGCAAAATCGATGCTCTTGACGAGACATGCGCGGATTACGAGAACACAATTCAGCAATTCAGAGAATTGGTGTTGCAACTTCAAACGTGTGTGCTCTTCCTTCTTGATTTTCGCTACGGTGAATGATTCTCTGTTCCTAGTGAACTCGAGCAACTACGTACTCAAACTCAAACCGCGCAATCCGAGTCTGCGACAGCGGCATCACAAGCGGCCAACGTCATGTCTTTGAACATGAGGCTCCAATCGTCTGCCCAGAAGCACCAGGCACGAACCATCGATCTGGAGGTCAAGAGCCTGGAGGCGAAAGAGGCGAGAGAGTTACTCAGCATCATCCAGCCCTACCTCCCTCAACTCTACGTCGAGTCCGACAGCGATGCTACCAGCTGTTACCTCTTCTTCCGTCGTCTCGGGTACAAGCTCGACCTTGTTAACAACGTCGTAGCCCATATCCACAACCTCCCCGAGGCTCTCAATGGGGACGTCTCCGAGGTGCTTGTTGGCGTGTGCGAGATGCGCAGTCGCATCTCCGGCCTGTCGACGCTCTGCAAGCGTTTCGCGGCGGTCCTCCGCCGGTGCGACGTTGAGACGTTCTTGAACATGGGCCGGTTGTACCCCGAGATTGCTCCCCTTGAGAAGAGGGTTGACATGCATATTGATTTATTGAGGAGGGATGAGTTCAGGGATATGGAGTGCGTTAGTGATATCGTCAAGTATGTCTTACAATTTGTCGTTCTTCCAGCCCCATTAACCTTGGCATTTTGCATAGGATCCAGGCCCAGTTCGACCACCTTGCAGAGGCCTACTTCGACGGGTTTGAAACAGACCTCGCAGAGAGAGAGTTGGGCTACGTTACTGCGTTTGACCATGATCTCGACATGTTTGCTGCGTCGATCGCTCTGACGCGGACGTCAGTTTCTTCCTTGATAAAGGAAGAAGGTGCGCCTACCTTTTCTGTCCTCTAGAACTGAACAACTTACTTTTACCTCAAGACATCGTCCTAGAAATGGGTGGCTACGATATCGATCAAGAACTCTTTAACCCACTTATCGCTCTGCTCAACCGCTGCAAGAGTGCAAAGACAGTGTCGAAGTGCGTGCCACAAAGTCATTTGTTTTTACGGGTCCTGACGGTCTGTTTGCAGGAAAATGATCAAGAGGCTCGAAGACCTTGCCCAAGACTCTGCTGCCGTCAAACCACACCTTATTCCTCAAATGCAGAATCTGAGCAATTACGTTGAAGAACTCGTCAACTTTGGTATTGCGGTATGCCGATATTAACTCCTTTGCCGGCCTTCAAGACTCACTTTTCGATGCAGGTCGCGCAACAAATCATGCCTCACCTCCGAGATGTCCGCTCATCCAAGACCGCGTTCCAACTGACCACCGTCCTTGCAGTTGTAAAACAGTCTGCTACATCGACAGTGGCAAAGGACATGAAGCCAGGAGCGTCACCATGGGATGCTATTGGAGACTCGATCGGTCATCTCATTGAAGAAAGCACCAAACTTGTACAGCCCATCCTGGGACCAGAGAACGTGCAGAAGAGTAAGCATCGCTATCCACATCTTCATTGCTGCAACTAAGGACGCGATCTAGTCACTGGCACAGCCCCTTGGGTTTCTCGTATCGCTGAGATCAAAGCTGCTCTCGCCGTCAACGTCGAAGCTGAACGCAAAGTCGCCTCTCTCAACGATGAGATGCAAGCGCTCGCTCGATCCGTCAGGACAAAGGACCAGACTATCCAAGAGTCGACTGTCAAGATCGAGCTCATGGAGCGCAGGCTTGAGGCTGTCAAGAAACAAGCTGATGCTATTGTCGAACTCGAGAACGAACTCATGAAGGCAAGGAAGCAGGAGCGAGCATACGAGGAGGCCATGGAGCAGCTCCAGGCCGACTTAGATACCCTAGAGCAGGATAATGCTAAGTTGAAGACATTAACTGCTGGGCAGGAGAGGCAAGGTACGCCTTCCTATCTTGTCCTTGAGAACTACTTGAAACTGATTATGACATTCTGCCAGCTGCTGGACCACAAGTCCCTGAGCCCGAGAACGTGCCGATTGAGGGTAGCCTGGAGACCTCACACCTTCTTGAACAAATTGAGGCCCTTCGAGGAACAGTACGATTCCTCCGGAATGAGAACTCGTACCTCAAAGGGCATGACCTGCTCCGCGAGATCGAGGCCCTTCCCCCTCTTCCCCCTCCCGTGCCCCGCACGCCAACTCCTCCGCTCGATGCGTCAGGAACCTCAGATTCGGACGAGCCTGCCACACCCCCGACCCTGTTCGCTCTGGAGACAGAGACGAAGAGGCTCTATCGGGATATTATGAAGTACTCTTCCTCGCCCCGTGTCGTAGACCTCTCCGAGCTCAACGCGAAGCGAGCAGAGGCCAAGGGGGGCAAAGTATGGATGCCGAGGAAGAAGACGCCTGCTCACCGAATTCTGGAAAGGAAGATGAATGGCGAACGCCTCACGAGGAGGGTGCACGGGCTGTTGGAGAGAGCGAGTGCATTGACTGCGAGTTTATGATAGCGCTTATGTCGAGAGTAGGCAATCATCGATATGTTTCATGTTATACCTTACTCCCCTTCGTATATCATATAGATTCTAATTTTAGTGAAGCCTAGATTGGTGAGGGCCGAGGCTGATCGTGCTTCACTATTAGATGCCCTCAGCAACCAAGTAGGTGCCACCCTTCCATGGCTCCAACAACTGAACAACATCGTTGCGATACAGCGGGGGCTGGAAACGTTACTAGAGGGTGTGAGAAGGTTTCAGACAAGCCCCAGATAAGTGCGGACAACCATGTAGGGAGTAAGATTTGAATGTTGAGGGTTCGAACCTAAAGAGCCCGTGACCTTCGTTATAGGCTTATAGGTTCAGGCACTTATCGTTATTATGAGGTGCAGGTGTGGTGGTTGCTGGTTGGGGCCATTCTAAGCCACTTTCGTCTCCCTTCCTATCCTCAACGACTTCGCTGCCGCTATGATGTGAAATGGTTTGGACAGTAACATGAAATACATTCCGAATCGTGCCAACGTAGCATTGGTTAAGAGAACAAAGTCCAAGAAAAGTTCTGGGTTATTTACTCCTGCTCCTCCACTGTCGTCAGTTTGTGGTCGCAGTGGTAAAAGGTGTGGTGGCGAAACCAACACGGTTGTTAGCGGTATCGAAAACGGAATAGAAGCGCTCGAGGAAGGTATAGCCATTGATAAAGTCGAGGCCTTCTCCAGAGATCGATCCGAGATCGGCGACGATGATGTATACAGAGTTCGCTGTCCCACCAATGGCAGTGTTGAGAGAACGGGGCCAAATTTGAGCGTTTGCAGTTAGCTCGAAGGACCTCTGTCATGATCAAAAAGGGAAATATCCATAAGGGGATGGACTAGGCGAGATAGGGGCGAGTGGTACGTACGCCACCAGTCGTAAAGAACAGACTCTGGAGATTGGCAAATTGGGCGGTTGTAATGCGGAGAAGGCCAACTGTGTTATCTACGACAGCACCAGTTGCTGTTCTATACTTGTTGAATGCATCGGTCGCAAGAAGGATAAGCGTCGTTCCTATTTTGTTGAAAGATGTTAGTTCAGCTCAGTTTTTCATCCTATGAAACGGATAATACACCTGTATCGACGATGCCAGCGGTGGTAGAAAGAATGTTTGTGGAGGTTCCGTAGCGAATAGATTGATTGATACCCCAGAAGAAACTTGCAGGTTCAGTGTTGGTGACCGGACTGATTATGTAATATAGCATATAGCACTACTTAATAAGTAGTCAAAAAGTGAGAAATATGTGCGGCCACGCACATGAAGGTGATAGAACCGGTGAACTTGGAGCTGTCGGTTCCACCTGTTCAAACTCGGTTGGGCGAGAGGCTTTGGCCATGTCACAGAAATAAAGCGCACCCCAGGTTAGCTCTCCGTTCAACGCCTCCAGAGTCGTAGTCGGCTCGAAGGAAATCCCTATCTCGTTGTTGGTGATGGTACCCTGAGAGAATAGATTGTCGGTGACCGTAGGGACGATGGAATTTGTCGCAGGCGACAGAGTTCCTATGCCGCAACGTCAGGATATTATGCTGTGGATCCGATGGAATAGCACACCCTCCGTGAGGTCAACTGGGCCAATCCTACATAAATCACATTATCAGAGTCGTTATCGAAGTCCTCTTTGACGTGTTCGTACCCTAGAATGCCATCGACACTGTCGAATCCTGAAGACTGTTTTTGCACGGTCAACCTAAGCCCGCCCCAGAAAATGGCTGTCGATGCGACTTACTCTTGAAGCAACACCGATTGACTGCTGGGGAATGACAAGCCCAGCGGCGAGAGTGACCCGGTCAGTGAATTCGGTGCCTGTTACGATCGTTTACACCCGAAACGATGTTTGATTATCGTTGAGAGGACTATACCGGAAAAAGAACCGGACCCGTAGGTAACGGACTGGCGAGGTCATTCATCAGAGCAAAGGCACGTACTAGGTATATGACACATACCACGCGGTTTCTAGTCTGAGTGCTGGTGCTTGTCCGAACGTAAGCCTTGCCGGCTCCAACCCATGTATTCGAGCTGCCCAAAGGGAAAGGTGTGAATACTAGTCGTCTCCAGCGTGGCAAAACATCCACCTTCCGGTATCGATGAGCAGAGAGTCTAATTTTAGAACTGACTTCAGCGAATGTCAGTGTAAAGGCGACCCCAAACGCACAAGTAGTAGCAGGGCTTCCAACGCCAACAGACGCGACGTATGTGACGGCCTGGTTATCGACCTGCTCGTTGATGATGGCGCGGGTGTCGAGAGGGACTCCGGCTGCCTTGGCAGCGCCTTTTGCCTTGAGGGCTTTGGCACGAACCTGATCATGGCGAAGGAGGTTGTGAATGCTTGTCACATTCACCCGACGAGATAGATGCAAGGTAACAGGAGACCTGTCGATGACGACGGGGTTCGCTGCGACGGAGAAGGCAAGGAGAAGAGTGGTCAACAAGGTTGTGGGGAACATGATGAAGGTTCGAGTGAATTCTGGTGCGACAGCCGACGAAGACAGCAGGCATAAATGGCCATCCTTTTATACCTGGCCTGCTTGAGGATCCACGAGAAGCATCTGCCCTCAAGCCAGCTGAATCATTCGCAAGTCTGAAATATCGGGCGAGTTAATTGCGAGTTTCCAGGATCTGTATGGACGGACCTGTCCCCTGAGAATGAATCGCTAAAGATATCACCATAAGTGCGCAACTTGACCCGCTGAACCATGTGGTCGAGAGAGCGCTGGAAATACTTAATATTCAGTTTACATCTTCGTTTAACAAGGAATAGAACGGACTATAATGGATACGGCGATGCCGGACTAGCAGGCTCTCACGGGAGCGCCGTAGTGGTGATAACAAAGATAGGCTAATTAGGTGACTGCGTTTCTGGTCCTCGGCTTGTTGAGTTGTTGGCGTGGGGCGATTCTTTAGATGTACGCAAGAATCCAGCCTGAGAAATGGATCAGATGAAATGGATGCGAGCGCCATGCATCTTTGATGCCGGAAGAGAATGGTATTGAGTCGTTCAGAAATTGCCTGCAAAGCGGATGATTTGTCGACGCTGCTGGCTCACTAGTTTCGAAATACGTTTATCACCTCAAGGAGGTACCACCACGGTGAAGTCAAAACGCGCTGATGACTCCCAGGGCAAGATGGTCTTCTAATGCCGCACTGCGGTCGACATTAGGACCAGTAACCTGTTGCACGTAGCCTAGATCAGTATGTTGGAAGTTGCAATTGACAAGGGGAGCGAACAAACACTAGCGGTCATTATGGGATCTTCGCACCTTGCAAGCTTCACGCCGCCAGTGGCAAAGTCTCACCTAAATTTACCTCATTTAGGTCTATTTTCGCCTTGAGAATCACCTTGGGAATCATGTGCCCACCTCAATCTCCCTCAGCAGCAACGCTCGCTCACTTACAGCACACCTTGTCGTCTTGTCAGCATATTCGAGCTTCACTGGTGCCTCGGGAGTACACTGTATTCGGTGTTCCTATAGTCAGAAGCGACATCAACCAGTCCGCTTGAAAAAGTCAATGATCTGTAACCAATGCATCTACTGCAGGTCTGATATCCCAGTGATCACGCCCTCATTTTCATTCTTTTGGCTGTTTTTCCTGCTAGTTTCGTCAAGTTGTCATCGCTCTTGACTTTGAGCAAGACGGCTCAGATGGCCATCGACGGCTGCATAATTGCTGACTAGTTGACTCGTTGACGGATCTAGCAAGAAAGGACGTACTAAATAAGCGACAAGAAATTCATGACAATCGTGTTTCCCCCTAGCCTACCCACGAAGTGCTCTTTCATCAGAGCTCCCTACAACGTTCCCTACAACGAAGTCATACACCGCGGATCTTTCGTGTGCAGGGTTCAACCCGTGGTACTTAGCGGAATGTCTGCCAGTTGGAAGTAAATAGACGTCATTGACTGAAGCTAGGTAAAGAGGGAAATCGACACCAACTAGTCTCTTTCCAAATAACGGAAGGCGGTCCAGGAAGAGAATCAGCACTATAGATCAAAGACTGCGAGTCGACGACGCCTTCCGCGCGTTGATTAGGAGGCAGAGGCGAGAGCCTGTCGAGTGTCCTTTATCAATGCGGCACTACTAAGTCCTCCACCAACAAAATTTCTAGCTTGGTCTGCGCCACATTGATGGGGTTTCACCATTTTTGGGCACTAGTACTAAACTCTTGGCATATAGCAGACCCATCTTCATTTGGGTGCCTTCGTATTGATCACATATAAGCGTGGCAGATGGATGTGCTGCCATCGTGTACCTGTAGATAGGAAATCGAACAGTATGCCATCAAGATCATTTGACCCTTTCACTGAGCACCGGCCGTGTCAAGGCCATTGAGCTTCAAACTTCCTCTCGTCCAGTGTTCATTGCCCGCAATGAAGTCCCCTCGAACGACTTTTCCTCTCATCTTAACGCCACTACCGGTCCCCCGCCCCTCAACCTTCACGTAAATCCCCTCCACACGCCCTTCATAAAACTTGGACTTCTGCTGGATCATTCCCAACAGCTCGTCCCGACTGGGCATCGTCGTCCCCTCATACAACATAGGCACTGTCCGGATGTCCGTGCCATCCAACACCGCCTTGAGCTTCTCGCTATTCGCCCACGCGCCCGTGCTTCTATCGTATAGATCAAACGCCACGAAGAGGTCGGGGAGGCTCGTGTATGCGATTGAATGGGTCGCAAACATCCACTCGCCATACAAAATGTAGCGTTCAGCGAAGTAAGGGTCTCTGTCGAGGACGTGTCGGAGGCCGACATCGTGTGTGTCGACCCACGCGCCGAGCTTCTTGAACTGCTCGTGCATCGCGGGATTGACATAATGCGAGCGATTCTGCACGAGAATCCGCGTGCGGTCTGAAGAAAGCGAGAAGCCCATGTTCGCGCCGTCGATCTTCTCTGTAATTACCACTACCTGATCTGATTCGTCTGATGGTACCCCAGTCCCGGCCCAACCGCCTCGGGCACCAAACGTACTCAAGTCGACATGCACGTCGTCGTCCGTCGCTGCACCTACGTCAAGCAAATGTGGCGTCCTAGGGAACTTGATTATGCCCATCTTTACCCTCGAGAACCTCTCTACCGCCTCCAGCGCAGCAGCGAACGACTGCATTCTGACAATCGCACCAAAACCCTCCTTCAATGTCGGCTGTTTGAAAGCCTTCTGCATCGACTGCACGGCAGTCCGGACCCTCCCTCCGGGCCGCAAGGTAGGGTGATTAGCTCGCATCTGCGCTCGCGAGATGCATAGTGCGGGGTCATAGTCGAACCAAATGCATATAGGTGGTGATTGTAGCCAATTGGAAGCGAGTTTGATCCATACTTTCCTGTCTTCTGGGGACATATTGCACCGATCAAGCAGGACACGTTTGCCTTTGGGTGGTGCACGCCCAATCTCCGTCTCGCACGTTGCCCTACTCCCAGAATCATCCTGGGAGATGCGGGCCCACCCATTAGGGTCCCGTGCAAGTAGAGCATTTGAGAACCATGATTTACCGGAGCCAGGCAGGCCGACGAGGATGTAGAGATCCACATTATCCGCCAACTTGCCTTCCACTTCCATTGGCGAAGGTGGTGGTTCGGATGGTAGTTCGGGGTAGACAGACTGCCGTTTCCATATCGCGCTGCACCACGTCGAGACAAACGCTTCCTGCTGTTGCGTCTCTAAGCTTCCAGGCCGCAATGCTCGGAGGGTGGCGATGGCCTCAGAAGCCGTGAGTTCTGGATGGTCTTGGGCATAATTGGGCTTGTTGAAGCCATACGCGGCCAGATAGCACGCTGCCACCGTTCCTGCCCGACCTTTTCCTCCACCGCAATGGACGAGAAGCGGAAGGTTCTTCTCGTCATCGAATAGCCGCATGATGAGGTCCGTTTGCTCGATTGAAGGTGGGTGGAAGTTTGGGACAGGGAGGAAGGTGTTTGCTATCCTCTTGTTCTCGAACCACGCCTCTGGCAGTGGCGTTTCTTCCGTCAGGGTCAAAACGTGGTTGATGCCTAGAGGAGGGGATGCGAGTGCTGCGATATCGTCTTCGTTGCGCGGGGTGGACATGATGGCGAGATGGTATGGAATGAGCCAACGGAAGAACCGAGGAAGCTTGTAGAAGTTCGGAAAATGAGACGAGGGCTTGGTGGGCGAATGAATGAACAGCGACTGTCTTGGCTCCAGAAGGAGGGTTGGATTCAGTTTTCGTTCGCTGAGTGTGTCTCGAAAGTCTCGAGGCCATGATTCGAGGAGAAGTTGTGAGATGTCTTTACAGGCGTCCAGTTGACCAATTTCGTACTCCTGGAAGACATGGCCCCACTCCGTGTCCTTCGAACAGTCGACAAGCTTCTTCATACAGTACGCTTCAACTTTGTCCTCACTTGAACGTTGATGGGCACAGGCATAAGCTAGCATAGCCAGCTTCATTTGCTTGTCAGCAAAAGCTGCGTCTGCAAGCCTGAGAAAACCTTTGTGCGATACTGAATTCTGCAATACGATTCTCGTTGAATACTCTATCGCGGCGTGGTATTGACCAAAGGCGTGAAAGGTAAATGCGACATGATCCAATAGCTCTACACTTGGCTCTTGAGGAAATTGGCTAGGGAAGAGGGTCGTGACGCCTTTGTCGATGTCGTGAACGTCGTTGGCCGAAAGGGTGATATGGAAGTGTTTTGGTGGTAGACCAAGTCGCTTTCGAATCCGCTGGCCTGCAGCCCAAATGATCGCAACCCAATACACACCAGCCTTAGGCTTGCCTCCCAGTCCAATCGAGAAGAGATGCCGTGTGTCAAGCTCGATGGTTGAAATCTTCTCTGGTGAGATGCTTCGCAATTCGTCCTTCGTCACGAGGGTGATATGAAATGCGGAATTCAGAGGCTCGAATTTCTCTTCTATCGCTCTGGACGTCAGAGCGTCGTTGCCCAAGTTATCGATGTATGGCCCAACGAGAGCGAGAGCGCCACGATGCTTTTGAAGCGTTGTCGCCATAAGCTATACTTGAGGGTGGATGAGGTATGGGCAGAGGTCGGAAGGCAGATTATGAAGCTTGAACACCCACAGCTTTCTGCTCATCAAGCTTCAACCAACCGGCGCCGCAACGAGGAATCGAGTCAGAACGACCAGAATTCTGACGTCCGCAACGGGTCTTCGTGATCTTGGAGGAGAAAGGATGCGACATTATCGCGCCCAAGAAAGAGGCGGCGGCTCTGCAAGTCTCAACCAACTTACGAGATGATCAAGCCAAGAAGGTGGAACAAGTCAAGGAGAGCCTGAGGGGAGCAAAGTTGCGGTAGGCTTCTAGCACTGGTGACTGGAGGTTGAGCGTTGCTCTCACGTGTCCTTGACGCGCGGTGATTGGTTACTGCGAGGTCGACCTAGGTCCTACACCGTACACGTTGAGCCAACACTTGAGTACCGCCATCCACGACAATTACGCACGACTCCAACACGATTCTCTGACGCCCACGACCTCCTGATTCCGATTTAATTCTCTAGGGCTCCACAACCCATAGTGGACTTACCTAGTCCGAATATGCCTCCAATCCCAACCCGACTTCCAGAAGAGACACGTTCACGCATATCAGATGCTGAACGGCGGTATAAACATCTTTCAGAGGTGCAAGTACCCACACTACGAACGTGCACCGGTCCTCTGTCGCTGCAACAGTCTCTTGCGGATGACCTGCGAGAGAGCACGGCCCTACTCGCAAAACAGATCGAGGTGTGTAGGGCATTTTGTTACAATTCAATTGTTCGTAGTGACGTTGTTCTGACAGGAACTCAATATTTCAGTGGATGACCACCCCGGTATGAGGACGAGGGCTGAATTGAGGGAGATTGTAAATAACCTGCTGGATAAACTTGAGAGGTGTGTCGACGCCGAATTATCCATTCTCACAGGGCCTCACAAGCAATACAGTCTACGGCAAGATACACGTGTTGCGCTCCTTGAATCAAAACGAGCGATCGACTTGCGGAGTAAATCTAACAAAGAGGAGCTCCTAGTTCGTTCACCAGGTCTCCAAGATCGACAGACTTCAAGCGAGAAAACGACGTACGTGGTCGTTTCTCGATGCACCTTACTCACGCCACACTTATCACATCCCCTTGACATTTCTTGACATTCCTTCACACACGCAGTGAGGACGCACTCATGAAAGCCAATTCCGATGTAACTGACGCCCTCCGACGCACCATCGGGCTTATGCAAAGCGAGCTCGAGCGCTCCGTCTTAACAACCCAAATGCTCGACGAGTCCACCTCGACTCTGCGTGCCGCCTCTCTCCAGCACGATACCCTCTCAGGCATCATGTCTACCTCCAAGCAGCTCATCATTGCCTTGGAGAAGAGCGACTGGTTGGACCGCGTGCTCATCATCTCGGCTTTCGTGTTCTTCCTCTTGGTCGTGCTATTCATCGTCAAGCAGCGAATCGTGGACCGGAGTATTAGTATCGCGTTTTGGTGGACTAGGTTCATCCCAAGCATTGGCTCCGGTAGGGGAAGCGTGAAGGTGTTGAAAGATGTTGAGAAGGGTGTGGGTGGGGTTGTATCGACGAGCGTGGTTAGTGTTGCAACGTCTTTGACATCATCAATAGCCACCCCACTGGCGAGCATTATATCCTCCTCGCTATCAAGCTCTTCTTCATCCACGATTGCAAGCCCTGAGCCGAGCTCAGAGGTGCTGGACACCCTGTCATCGGTTGCGGAATCCTCGCTCGTTCCAGAAGAGCAATCTGCCTCTGCTTCTCCGACCGAGGCTGCTATGCCTACACCTGAAGAGCTGGTTCATGTAGAACTATGACATGTGCATGAATACATGGGCATATTTTTTCTCAGTATTCTCCCCAACGTCGACCTTTTCCCGCAATGCGGGCAAGGACGGTAGCAGCTGATCGCTTCAGAACGAGTTCAATTGGAAATGAAGACAGCAGCATATCAACAACTAATAATACAAAAAATGGTACAGATACAGTTCTTTCCAGCATTCAATCAGTCATTCAGACTCTTATAACGGATGGGCCAAAGACAAGTTCATCAGATACTGCATAGGCGCCTCCCTATATGTATCGTTCGAGATGTCTGGCCTGTCTCCGAGAATCGGGAACGTGTAGAGGCGTGGTGCCTCCGTAGTGTATTCCGGCCATCTTGGTTGGCCAGGCAGCAAGGACCCAAGGCCGAAGGGCAGCGTTATGTTGGAGGTCGAGTCGGTGGCATCTGGTAGGTTAGGATCCAGATTGTACGTGAAGTAGATTATGTAGTCGTCCAGGAGGCCGATGTCCAAGTCTGAGATGTGGAACTATACGAACAAAACAATCAGAAAACCAGCTTTTCTCACTTGTGACAAGAGAGGGCGCACCGATCCGATGATAGGCGTAAACTTCAACTTCTTGCTCAAATACCCCCACATCTTTTGTGTCTCCCCCGAGCTCGTGCTATTTGCTAGTAGGTGCTGCATGAAGAATCGCCTCGGCGCTTGGAATGTCACGTCGCCCTGGAAAGCGGCTATCCGCTTGTACTGCGGTGTAACTGCGTTGCGGTCCGAGGTGTTGAACGGAGACCCGTAAGGCTCTTCTGGGGGGTAATAAGACCACAGAGGCTCGAGTGTACTCTCGTCTGCGCCAGGAACGAAGGTGGTGCTGATGTAAGCTTCAAATTGCTCGTCGGTTGTCACGTTCAGCGAGGACAGGGAGAAGAGTGTGCCTTCATCGTCGACATTGCCTATACGGAAGAAAGGTTAACAATGAGTTCTTGAGGGTAAGGAGGCTTGATTACCAGTGACGAAAGGCACGTTGGTGACTTTTCCTTGCTGAACCAACCGTTGCGGGTTGTCCTGCAAGAAGACACCATCTGCTCTTGGTGACCAGGCCAAAGCCAGAGCCTATAAGGAGAATTAAAATAAGGGTATTTGGAGCGTTTGAACCAACCAACCTGATAAGAGAAATAATTAGGAGTGTTATTAACAGCTGCCTGAAGGGTGTCGAGTGGAACTTGTTGTAAGCAGGTAAACGTGTTGTTTGAGTCGCTACAATTCGTCTGATTGACGAGCGAGTCATAGTAGACCTGGATGGGTGATGTTAACAACCACGGTTCCGGATGAAAATGAAAGGTAACCGTACCTGACCTCCAGTTATATTCCCGACAGGAATCGGTGCACCGGACTGCATGAATGCGCCGCGGAAGAGGTTGGAGGAGTTGCCTCCGTAGGCGAGCATTTGCAACGAGACAGATATCGCCCCTGCAGATTGGCCCCAGCTATCGAGTGCAGTCTGAGTATCAGGTAATGTAGCCAAATGAGCGGTGCTCTACGTACATTGTGACTTTGGAAGGATCGCCACCGAAGTTGCCAATATACTTTTGAACCCACTCAAGGGCAACACGCTCTAAATGGACGAATTCTGAGCGAACACGAGGAAAGAGTAGCCTGAAAAGTCGCGTACGATCGACAAGCCCTGCATTCCCAGCGTCCACTTCCTGAACTTCCTTGCTCGCTAAGAATCCCCAGGCAGAGACCCTAATGCCCAAGGGCTGTCAATCAACGTTGAAGACAGCGGCACTGACACACACCGATAGTTCATGGCGGCATAGATGACGGGTTCGCCTAACTCCATCGAACGATTGACAATTCGCGTAGCCGTCCTGTCGTAGCTAAAAAGAAAGGCTACATTAGGAGTTGGGCAGAGGACGAGACAGATAGATGCAGACCCAAATGCGCTTCCTCTTTGGAATCCTCCGCCAAATATCCACTAGAGATAACTGTCAGAAGGCAAAAATTCAAGACGCAAAACATACGCACCACAAGAACCGGGAGCTTCGCATCAGCAGAGACGTTGGTGGGTTTGATCACATTTATCGTCAGACCTTCGCTTTGACGTTAACAACTGAATCGAAGCTACAAGAAAGGTGCAGCCTCACAATCCTCGCTTTCCGGGGTCGGCACAGTGCTATTTGTCCTATTCGGAAAGAAGTCGCCAAAACTGAACGGAAGAGAGAAGTTGAAAAAGTCTCTGATGGAAACTGGGAATGGCGCTGCCTGCTGAGGACAGATGGGTCCGTAGTCTGTTGCGTTTATGGACCCATTGTAAAATGTTATGGCTTGTGGTAGTTGGAAGCGAAGAGATCCCGTCCTAGAAGAGATTAATATTTTCAACGGGAATGAGAACATTCGAGTGACTTACGGAGGCTGGGCGAATGGAATCCCTAGAAACTTCGTCAAATTCCCTTGGTGGATACCAGTCACTGTGGCTGAATCAAGCGTCACAGTCGGCGGATCCGACGAGAGGTCTCTTTCGAGAGGAAAGGCGAACACTGCAGAGAGGTGTAGTGCCAACAACAAAAAGAGCATCATGACTGTTTTGAAGTTGAGATGGAGGGTGAGAGGACGGACGTCAGAATGTCGTCTTTCATATGTCGAGGATATAAACCTCCGCTGCTACCCGCTTCATTCCGATGACGGAGGCCGAACGGGTGTGTTAGAAAACTCGGAGGTGCAGCAACAAGGCCGCGTGCGATCGGTCTTAGACAGCGCAGTCGTTCGCCTATCGGCATCGGTGCAGCAGGTTAAGCAGGGTCTATTCTTGGTCACCTTTCCGAGGAGAAGGATGGCGATATTGTGGGATTGTGTCTTTGGGCGGACAGCTCGAGGAGCTGTCAATACTTCAGGGTAATTGTAGGTGGGGCATGAAGGGGTGTTGGAAGATAGAGGGAGTGAGACGGGAGGAAAATAACACAGCCACCGATCGACCTCCTTGGCTGGTCCCGTAAGCGTGCTGCAAAGTCGAGATCCCTCAACTGTTAACGCTATTAGCGTGCTTGCCCGTTGAGTTGATTTTTCCTTCGTCAGGACTTCACAACGTACCTTTCAGCCAATGGATCGTGAACGGATCGTCGAAGCTAGTGTAGACACCACGCCATCCATAGTTCGTCTGCGTTCCACGCTCGACGTACGTCCAATCCATCAACGAGTTTCTCCAGAGGCTTGATAGAACCACGATGCCAACGTTCGTACGCCGTGTGTTCGACATATATATCAACATATTGAAGAACTTTGTTCAGAGCGAATAGGTGTTGAACAGTATCTTCGTGCATGCCAACTTCTGGGGTTGGCTTATTCCAAGAGCTCAGGATAAGATGCTCCAGTCTCGGAATCTGAGGAAGCCATCGGAGCTCCTACGAGGGGAAATCGCAATTAGAGGAATTCTTAAAAGGGCTTCCGTGGAAAGAATGGTACAACTTACTTCAGCGTAAGGAGGCTCCCAGAACTCCAGGATTTGCAGAGAAGCCAAGTGGCCCTTGACGGTCCCAAGAACTTTTCCCGCATAAGAACCTCTCAATGATAAAGCGTGCAACCGATTCAATTCGAGAGCAAGGTGATCAACTGGATATACCTCAAGGTCTGCTTGCCAGAGCAGACACTCGATATGGTTTCCAGGAAGAAAATGCCGGATAACCGTATACCTGCCTCCAAGTACTTTCAAAGTAGGCACAAGAACAGGATTCTCATTGAAAAGCATCCAGTTCTCGGTGAAGAAATGGGTTAAAGATCGTTGAAGTGGTAGGAGGCGTCGTAGGGTAAGTTCGTCGTACGTACACTCCCATCGGAGGACTTCAAGCTGAAATGTGCACCCTTCTAGAAACTCTGCAGACGGACGACCCGAGCCGAACGACAGGAATTTGAGGTTTTTCATGGCCTTCAAAGCTACACACAGAAGTGACCGAAATAGTGCATTTCGCCGAGTAAAGGCAGTACCTCGAAGGGAAAACGCGCGAACGTACAGGGCGAGATGCTCCCTTCCAGGTGTCACGATCGTGGCGAAGAACTTCGTATTGAGTTCTTGTTGAAGTATCGTGCTGTCATAGAATCGTTGAGGTTTGTAACCTAGGTCAGTGACCACTCGGTAGAGAATTCGCTCTCCTTCAGCTTGAAGCATTTTGGACGTAAGGAGCACACATAAGAGTGACTGACGGTCACCGACCAGATTTTCGAGAATGGATCGGTATAGTTCTCGTGGCAGAGTTGCGTGAGAGGACATTCTTGGTTACTTGAAGTCAAAATCGAAGAAGAAAAGCTTATGCAGGGGCAAAGGAAAATGAAGGTTGTTGTGTGGTATTTGATTTGAAAGGCGCCGCCGAATGGCAGCATCTGCCAGAATCCTGGAAGGACGAGTTCAACTGGGACAACGGCGACGACGAACGAGCGTCTTATTCTTGCAATCGCTTTTCGATTCTTGCACTCTCCGAGCTGTGCTTACTATGTCTACATCCGACCTCAAAGCAAGGAAGCGGTCTGATTACGACTACTTCCTGACATACCGTACGCGATGGTCAGTAATCCTCCGCCTGAAAAGACATGCAAAACAATAGAGAGTGAACAAGAAAGGCATTAGGAGCGACAACGACCAATACTCGCACGTGAACAACTCGATATACTACCACCTCTTCGACTCCGTTGTCAATACATATCTCATTGAACACTGCGGTCAAGATCCAGCGACCTCCCCGCTTATTGGGCTTGTCGTGTCCTCCCACTGCCAAGTGAGTATTCGTCGCCTTCGCCCTTGATGAGTGGGCCGGTTGATAGAGGAATGTCCAGTTCTTCGCCCCGCTTGCATTTCCACAGGTTCTCGATCTTGGCCTTCGAGTCAACAAGCTAGGGAGCAGCTCCGTGTCGTACGAAGTTGGAGTGTTCGCGCAAGGGGAAGGCTCGGTTGCGGCTGTCGGCGGATACACACATGTCTTCGTGGACAGCAAATCGCGGAAGAGCACCCCGATGGCAGAGACAGTGAAGGTTGGTTTGGCAAAGTTGTTGAAGCCTTCAGACAAGAATGAAGTCAAGCTGTGATGGTATCTGTTGGGCACCTTATGTGTTGCAGAATACGATATGAGAAGGGGGGAAGCATCGCTGGGGACGCAGAGTGAAGTCTTAGATGCGGACAGGATGACGGCCCGCCGGACTAAACTAGAGTCTGTTGTTTGTCCTTGCTGTCCAGAAGCCAGCTGTACAGCTGTTTCAGCCACCGAACCGATTTGGATTCTCTGTCCTCGTTGTGCTGCCCGATCCTCACGCAACTCCAACAAAATGTCGAACGACCTCCAGTGGCTCCTCCTCCGCGTACGTCGCCTATTCGCCGTTCATAAGATCTCTAATGCTAATGTATTTCTCTAGAAAAACAACTCCTTCATAGTGAAGCGAGTTGTTGAGGGCCCAGTCTTCTCCAGGGAGCCCGTACGTTCTCCCGTTGGGTCGATAAACGTCACTTTCTGAATCGTATCTCGCAGGGAAACCTCCTGAACCTCCATTCCCACAAGTATTCTGGGTTGTCCAACTCCAAGGTGTATTCCAACCGTCTCGAGAATTGGACACGGGAGTTAACGTCTCAATGTCCGTTTAGACCATCGACATCTCTGAGAAGGGCGGCAATATCACCGTTACCACACGCAAGGTCAAGGCTAGCCCTCATCAAGTCAAGTCCGCCTTTGCCAAACACCCCGTCCGCCCCCGGTCTGGTGCCCGTCGCGCACTCGGAGTTGCTGCTGCACCCGCCAAGCGAGGCTACAGGCCTGACCTTCGCAGGGTGCGTGTTCTCATTTTCGGCACACGTTCTTCGTGTTCTCCTTCTCTATTGGAAACACTCCGACAATCGGAAGACGCATTCTCGTTAGAACCCACTGGAACTGTCGAAAGGCAATTGAAGGATGGGCGTGGACATGTTTGCAAGATAGACCCAGTCCATTGGAGCCGATCAAACCCCAATGGATAACTCGCCATGTCGCTATCGGGCACCGTTCGTTGTTCACCGCGGCTGAACCGACTCTATGGCGATAACATATTTCTTCTTCGCTTTTTCGTTTTCATCTCTCCGGTGTGTTTGCATTCTCGTTGCTGACACTCTTATTTCAGGCTGCTCTCGCCCGCATCTCCGCTCTCGTTACTTCGCAAACAGCAGGTTCGAAGCCCGACCTGCCAAAGAAAGTTCGGGGAAAGAAGGCTACTCACTTCCTTGGATGAATGTATTTCGTGCTGTCGTTTCCGTTGCCCTTCTCCATACGTATGGTTCATGCACATGCAATACACTATGCATTTATGGCCACGTCGTGTTAATCACAGTCCGACTATTCCGACAATGAGCAGCAGTTACGATTTCAAAGCCTAGGGCAAGCATTACAGTTGTACATGAAAAAGGATGATGACGCTTCGAGGAGAAATGGTAAAATACACTATGTTACATTGACTGACCGAAGACAGGACCAACGCTCAAAGCCCAAAGTTCTTTCCAGCAGGCTGCGCAATTCGCATTCCCGTCCCCTGGTTCCTACTTCCAACATCCGGCTCTTTGGTTGGACGTGTGGACTCGCTTTTCCAGTGGGCGTATTCCTGCATCTTCTTCTCGCTGTCATGAACGTGCTTCCTCTCCTTCTTAGGAGGCAGGTCCTCTTGATGAGTGTGGTGGTGTGGGGCGTCGCTATTAGGAGGCGCGGGGCGGGGGTAGTCAGACACCGCCGGCTCTTCCTCTTTGTTCGCAGCTTCGGGGCTCAAGGTTTCTCGACTGATCTTCTTTTGTGAGTTCCTATTCCTCTTCGAAAGAACATCACCACTCACGCAGGAAGATGGACCTTGTGCTTGGTGATCGACAGGCGTCTACCGCCGACCTTCACTGTATAGCGCACGGACCTGGTCAATCCCGCACTCCCGGGTTGTCAAGCTGCGCGCTTACCAGCCGGTGGATGTTGGACAGGGCCACTTTCAGTCATCGTTGTGGTGTTCCCTTGTGATAGATGGCGAGAGGAGATGGGTTGTCTGTGGGTAGGCAGTCGAACGGTCGAGTTGATGTTGATGTTGTGGGGTAACGTCAATGACGCCGATGCGACATTCTTATATGGTCAAGAGGGCACGTGGATGGACCCCTGATCGCCCAGAACGTTGTCGCGACAGGTTTGGCTCTGTCCAACAGCGAGACAGGTATTCCCGACGAGACTGAATGCAAGTATACGTTGATGTCGCAGCTCTTGATGAGAACAACAGCCTCGACGGGGCTCGACGGACCGGGCCGGGGTCCGCGGTCGAGCTCGGTTGTGTGGCGCATTTCCTCCAAACGCGTAGGCAATTTTCATCAAAGCAATGTTACTGAGGTGACGAACTCAACCCTTTGTGAACAACGGCAAATTTATCGATGCGTAAACCTGACGACCCTTAGTTCAGCATAAAGTATAAAAAGACAGGCGCGCCGCCTTTGATCCCTTCACGGTGGACAAAGAAACCTGTTGGTACCGCCTTCTACACGAGGTAGACGACGTGCCTCTCTTCGACGGAAGGAATAGATACTGGACTGTGGCATGGATGAGGAGTATTTAAGGGGAGCAAACATGATTCATTAGATCCTAGACTCTAACCACCATCCACTCTCCCACCTCCCCCATCTCGCAGGACTCGTCTACGCCTATCCCATATCTGAGATTCATGACTCCTGACTATTATTGCCACAGTCCAGGTCCTGTATCTCAAGCTGCTCAGCTGTTCGGGGAGTCATTCTCAAGCGACAGAGTATTCCTAGATATTCTGGAAGAACGGGAATTGAGATACCTTCGTTTCATTAAGGATTGCACTCTCTATGACAATGTCCAAAAGAGATGGATCCACCTTCCAGAGAACCCTTCAGATCCTTGTGTCCTATTCACTCCTCTTCGGTCAATCTTCGAAAACATCATCGAGTATTTTATTTGCCCAACCCACGTGGATATCACCCTCCGCATGCGCGTTTGCACTGGTACCAGCCTTTCATTCAAGACGTGGAATGGACATGAGGACATATGGGACGTCGGGATAGATGTTCGCCTTTCAAAGTCAGTCTGGATGTACTTCATTTTCTAAGAACAGTTTAACCTTGTGTAGGAACATTCCGACTTCGGCGTCAAAACCGAACTCTCGATTCCTTGTGACTGAGAAAGAAGTTTCTCCAAACAGCAATGGTTTCGGAACACGTATCGACATACACGCGGATCCCAAAGCATTCGTAAGCCTCTTCGTGGAGTATATCTATTTCTGCTCCTTGCAAGGTGTTCCGGCGCCATCTTGGGAAGATCCCGAACTCGAATCGGACAGTGCTCTCGATTACCTTGACTCCCCATTATACACGGGATATGCGTAAATAATGATGACTTAAAGTCGTTGTGACTTGAATCCGTCTACTTTATCCTATAAATTACTTCAACTTTGGCTTACAGCTCATTGAGTGTGGCGCAAACCGTCCGGTCCGGAACAGGAAGATCAGAATACTCCGAACACTCTGACGGGCGATGGGCGTTTGGTGCTTGTTTGGTGCCTTGGGCACTGTCAGCCAGCCGATGCAGGCCATCAGCACAGGAGAGAAGCGGGAAACCGAGATTTGGGTACTCAACGCAACCCCCGCGAGACTGTAATAGGGCATGAAAGTGTTGTGTTCGCTGAACTATGTTGGGCTTGTGCACTGCTTTCTTGGCTTTCACCGTCTTTAGTGTTATTCGTAATATTTATTGTAGAACAGCATTGTAATAGGCTTGAAAGTGTCGATTTGTTTATGGTCCCGAACTCGAAGCGAGAAACAATAAATCATGGCCCAGGGTCGTATTCGTGTGTTGACCGTGGAAAACGCACGGGCATACCCATTAGCATGCCCAGGAGCCCTACAAGAGCATCTATGAGGAGGTAGGTCTATGGAGTTGTACAATGATATGCTCACATCAGGAGTTCCTGGAGTGGTGAAACTCTGGTACGCAGGTTGTCCAACGCACTCTGCGAGAGTCACAAGCCTGTAGCCGGCGCTCTGCAACCTCTGGATAGCATATGGGAGAACATCACGGCTATACAGAAGCAACCACTTCAGAGCGTTGCAGAAATTTAGTAACACGATATGACTTACGCGGTGGATTCTGCGAAGGGGCAAAATATGTTACGCTGATGTGCAATGAAGCCAAGTAAAACGCGTACCTCGTGTTTCGTGGTTCAGCGTGAGGATCGTGCTGGGACGTTGGTTGGCAATGTCGTCATAGAGATCCTTCGATTCCTGAGCAGTGGCGCCTGCAGTATCACGGGAGCTACGAAAGTGTTAGATGAATTTAATATGGGAACCACAAAGTAGGCGTCTGCTTACTCGAAGTCCCAGATGGCGATGGATTGTCTACGGGCCCCTGAGGCTTCGAGGACGAGGACGTTGTAGCTCCCAAAAGCTATGATATAAATAGCTCAATCCATGGCTCGTCGGCAGAGAGAAGGTATACACACGAGGGCGCATGAAAGCGGCGGAGGCACCAACGATCCTCAAGAGCGCCTCTGTATCCGCAGAACTTGAATAAATCTTCTAGGCGACTCAAGCTCACACCAGACTTGCCTTCGACACGCCACATCTCGTCATTAACTAATTTTGGGAGATTCAACTTCAATAGAGCTTTCCAATGCAAAAAAGGTCAAAGACTTACTTTCATCCCAAGTAAGCGTTGCGAGGTCCTTGTGTGCCCAGGTGTGGGAGGCGACTTGATGGCCACGATCGTAGGCGTTCTTGATGCGAGGGATATTTTCAGTAGCGTAGATGCATCCAACTGTGAGGAATACAGGACTAAATGTCGAACTGTTGGCGTTGTGGGAGATTCGAACGTACAGTTATTTCCATCTGAAAAAAAGCGTCAATACGAGGGCGTATCATGAAGAAGGGAAGCTTACTGAAGAAGAAAGTACCCTTTGCGCCTGCTGCGTCAAGGGTGTTGACGATCTCATCCCTGTTACAAAAAAGTGTCAGATGACGAAAACATCGGGAGAGCCCGCGTACAAGTAGATGTGTGGTCCATCATCCTTTTTGAGAGATCGTCGGTCACTAGTGACGTAGATATCGAAAGGAATCTAGTCTTACGAAGGTCACTGCAACGGTGTCGGGGGTCGTGCACGCCGCATAAATCGTTGCGGGGGCTCTCCGTTCCAGCGAGAAGTCTAAAGGCGTGGCAAGCGCTCCGATGCACGCAATGGAGAGAGTGGAAAGAACCAAAGGGAGCATCGTCAAGCTTGAGAAGTGGTTGCTCTCAAGAGGAGGAAATTAAGGCTGAGTCGACATCGAGCTCCTTTTATACCTCAGAAGAAAAGCTGTCGAGCACGAACACCAGGCTGTACAAAGCCGCTTTGTTGTCGAAAGCTTCTCCCAAGCGCTCCGATTGGACTAATGACTAGTTTATGACATCACTGACAGAGCGAGCGTGTCGTCTGGTCGACGCTGCTTTCGCTCGATGTCAAGCAGACTTTTTTGTTGTGGTGACTCGTTAACGCCATCAATCTGTGCGATGAAGATTCTCGTAAGAATTAGCGTCACTATTTTCAGAGCAGTCGACAAGCGCTGGACCTACTTTAGTCTTTTGGGCGCTCGGCGGTCATTGTTACACGAAAAAGAGTTGGTATAGCCTGTAGGATGGATCATTGGCAACGCATTCCGACGACATCGCTTTCTTGCATTGACACGGTTTGGTAAACGGGTGGCGCTCGATTCGCAGAAACCCGTAACCGACCGCATGCATCGGGAGGAGAAAAGTGTGTTGCAATACGAGACTTGTGCAACCGACCCGGAATTGCAATGCCCGTCGTGGACACAGGGCAAATCCTGCATGGCATAAGATGTGCGGTCAACATCTGGTCGCGGGCTTGGAATCGGATCCAACTGGCAACACGCAGATCGGCCATTGTGCGCATCGTGGATTTGTTGTTGATTTAGGAACCGGACTGAGAACAGGACTGAGACCGGGAGAAACAGCGGAAGGGCAATACCAAAGCAATGCGCCCAGAATGCGCCAGGTAACAAGTGGAGTTGTTTCAGAACGGCAATAGATGATCCGATTTGTCTCCTAACAGCAGAGATGGTCAGAGTTGACGTAGTCCACCACCGAGAAGAGTTAAACAGTCTTCTTTCACCAGAAAACAAGGTCTTGCACGCATTAGTCGTTGCTTATCTGCGATGGGCCGGCCCGTAACAACCGTCATTGCCAGCCTCGCTGACTGCCTCGACAGCTGCATCGAGGATCTATCACCCTGATGTACCCAGGAACAATGAACATCTCGCGCCTACATTTCTAGTATCACCAGTCCTCATGAATTCATTCTGCATTCATTCCGAATTTTCCAACAAAAATCACCAAGTCTCTCAACCTCAACCAGACCTCAACTGACACGCCAGGCCTGAAGCGTTCAAGAACTATTAGTCGAGTCTATTCTAATTACTACAAACGAGCGGCGTAGCACTAAATATATGATCCAAAGTCGAAGTCATTAGATCCAATTTAGTCCCAAGTCCAATGCACGGAACGATAAGCGTTCCACGCGAAAGCATGCGCAAGGACGATTTGACGGAATTTAAGGGAGAAGGGGCTGAGGAGGTATACGGTAAGAAGGAAGGTCTAGGGGATGCGTATGCAGAGGAAGGAAGCATGCAAGACTATCCACAAGAAAAAGAGCGACGTGTGGCCATGGTTGGCGGGTCATGAAACGGGCGCCAATCATAAAATTAGCGCCCGAAGCATTATGCGTATGTACAATCCAAAAAAAATCCAGATGATTAAAGATAAGAGTGTCAGAGTCAAGGTACTGTTCTAAAAAAAAAGCAAAAAAGAGAATTTTGAAGAAGAGAATAAATGAGATGAATGGGTGTGCATATAAAAAAGAAACGAGGTTGATCTTAACCTAGTCCCAGAGTCTATGAAGCGTCAATTTTAAGTTCCAAGTGCAGAAAGATAGAGCTCGATCCTGGGAGACGGACAGGAGCCGAAGAGACCGGGTTCCGGATTCCAGGTGAAAGGCGCCGTCCAGCTCGTGTCGCTGTCAATTTGAATTTCGACCCTCCGGTCGTGTCAAGGTCACGTGCCGACATATTCTTGTCCGCGCCAAGTTGCCCAGTGTTCCCATTCCACTTCGTTCCTGTCCCATGTCGCCGTTCTTCGTTTTCATTTCGTGCTGCTTCCCAACCAACCGTCGAGCGTTGACGTTCGCACACTCCCACGCGCGCACTCTCTTCCCAACCACCACGTCCTCACCTCACCTCAATTCCTTGTTCCTTCTTCTCACTGCTCGCTCAATGCACGACTCTCATAGCCTCGCCAAAACCCCAAACGTACCCACAACCGCGCCAATCAGGCCAATCAACATCGCTGGCCACGCGCCAGCAGGTAAGAGGGACGGGGGCGCTGCGCCATTAAAGGGGATGTACGACGACTGCACGGCAGACCCAGAGGGCTGGAACGCGCCGCCGATACCGCCGCCCGTCAGGTTAGCGCCGTTCGGGCCGACGGGACGCGAGTTGTCTGCGAAGGTGCATGTGTTCGACTGGCAGAGGCATTTGCCCTCGATGGGGTCCCAGAAGGGGGTCGAGCAGTTGGCGGGAACTGGGAAGAAGCGGATAGGTGACGTCAGTTTCTTACATGGAATATTGTTGGTGAGGTACTCACGACGGAAGCGAGCGGGTTGATTCGAGTCTTGGGGGGGGTTGGGGTTCGCAGGGGTTGGGTGCTCAGAGGGGCATCCGTACTATCCAACACCCACATTCTCGTAAGTATTGATTTCATATCCGAAATCAAGCTTCACTTACGCATGTGTAGAAGGGGAAATCAGAGAAAGCGCAATGCGAAAGCAAACCCGCTTGGTTCCTCGGGATGCCATTGCAGATCTGAGCGTTCTCGTCAACTTGAGGAGTGGTGCACTTGAGCGAGGCGACACTGTCGAGCTGGGAAACGGGGACGGGGTGTTGCACCCAGTCGAGAAGTTGCTCGGTTGACACGATCCAGACTAAATGCCAAAGACAAGGGTAAAAGCATATGTGAGTAATGTGTCAGACGTCAATCACACGATGCAAGCTTAAAAGCTTGTTTGGCCGTTATCGGATGGGGGCGACTACTCACCGTTCTGCTGCTCTTGTGCCCAGTCCAGGAAGGCGTTAATCATGTCGATGGTCGATGTGCGGACGCTGACGCCAGGGTACGTCCTCTGAAACGTAAACGAGGTCTAACGAGGTCCAAAGAGTATATGAAGGGTGGAGACCTACGGAAACGTGGATGGGGTGAGTGTAGAGTCCAATCGGTTGCCTGTTCCCTCGGTAATGGTCCGTGAAGGTGTTCTGCATGTATTCAAGCGTGGCGCTATCGTTGACACTGTTGGCACCGTTCGCGTTATCGCTAACAAGACAAAGTCCAGCTTCAGTAACCCTTTCGGCGATAACATCTAACCGACTCACAGCCAAGGGTCCATCAGATGTGGGCCAGCGGCCCCATTTCTGTCGAAGAAAGCATACATGGGCACCTCCCAGAAACCAGGTAACTTCGGCTCGCCCTTGCACGTCCCAGGGATAGTCAAGCAGTTGTTAGCCATACCGTTATCGAGCGTATAGGGCCAGTAGGCGTCGGTGTTGGGGTCAGTGACCGGCACGGAGGCGGTCGAGGACGAGTCGTATGTGAACTCGGACTCGTAGAGCTGCTTGAGGGTGTCGGCAGTGTAGTTGAGGTAAGGGGCCCGGAAACCCTTGATGGCGGACATGGGGATGCCTGCGAGGGCGTTGAGCGTGATGAGGTTGCCGTTGATCTCGTCGGCAGGTGGTGAGCCCACGTGGGTCATTCTGGGGTTGTGAAGGTGAGTGGGTTGAACGTCGTCACAGAAGATCGTCCTCGACTTACGTATGATCCGCGATTTCGTTTCCTGCGACATACCAGTCTACGTGAAGAAAGATTTTGGACAGTGTGAGAACATCTTCACGGCGAAGCGCCTGTGGAGCTACGCACCAGTGACGAGGGTGTAGTTGGTGTAGGTGAGGGATGTGTAGTAGGTCATCTTGATTGGGCAGCCGTTGGGGTTTCTACGGTGCGCAAGGAACTGATTCACAGCATCGAGGGTGTAGGACTGGATCGCATCGTCGGCCGTGAACACGACGAACATTGGAACTTCCGACTAGCTCGGCGCAAACAGAAAGTGATGATCAGCACCCAGAAAATCGACCCGATCGCGCAGATTTTCCGGCCACGACGGGTCAATCAGGTTGAAAACTCACGGGGTCGAGGCCGCCTGGTGGGCTGGTGCTCGCACAGTGGCAGTTGGGGAGTTGGCACCTAGAGGGGTCGCACGAGTAGCCGGCGGCGTCGGGGCTCGTTGTTGGCCCAGTTATACCACCATCCTGGGCCAGGGCTAGCAGCGGTAGGAGGGTGGAGAGGACAGCGTATGGCAGCATTGTTGGCGGCTGCTGAGGGTGGCGTTCAGGAGGAGGGTCGTAAGGTCAGCCTCTGTGTCGTTGTCGTGTGCGTCGGGTTATATTGGATGCCTTTGGGGCCTAGGCGAGGCAGGGGGAGATGGTGGAGGAAAGCAAAGGAAGGAATTGGAAAGAAGGAAGAGGTTGACTTGAAACCGGGTGACAAGCTCGGCTTCGCCTGGCTGTTATTCGCATCATCACATTGGTGCATAACCGCGCTTAGTCAGAAATCCAATTCCTGCCATTCCGCTGCCCAGAACAACTCGCCCAGCTCCCCCTTCGAGATCTCTACCAGCTCCAAGAGCCCATGAAGCTCGTCTCCCTTGTCATTGCCTTCCGCGTTCACTTTACGAGACTGCTCCTCGACGCCCATTTTATGCCCGCATTACTCTTTTAGGAAGGTCTATTTGTGGATAGCTCTGGATTTTTGCTGGCGCCTGACACAACAACGCCAAAAGAACTGCCCAAAACGCCTTTTTGCCGCCACGGCCTGACAGATTCTCGAAAATGGACCGAGGCTGCACCACAAGCATGTGTGAACGGTGTTGCGCGGGGTACACTCTCCGCTCCAGGCGTCTTCCATGTGTGCTGACCACGGCTTGGCGTGTCTGAATTGGCAGTCCATTTATTTCCCGCGAGAGGTGATCAGCGAATGCCGGCACTCTCCCAGCGCTTGCGCTATTCTCATCTTCGTCTATGCGAAAGAAAAGACAAGTAAAGCTCGACTCCTCGCACGATACTGAAGAGTTGTGGCGTTGAAGGAGATTGAAGAGTGCGGTGGCAAAGGCGTGGACTGCTATTTTTACATTCTCCAGCTGCCGCCCAACGCCCTCATCTCATACTAGTGGAACAGGCGACTGAGGCTACTGCCTTGCCGTAAATTTGGACGGAGATAATGACCTTAAACTTCACGAACATGGTTCTCCGCAACTGCCGGCCGGCCGTGTCGCTCAGAGCGCGTTCCGAGAAATCGAAGTTGACCTTAACTGTCTTAACACAACCGTTTATGCGTGAAATTCGTATGCAAGGTCATTAATCAAAGCTAATGAAAGGGAAGTACCGTAAACATGACGTGGTCTACTAGACGTAAGTAGCAATACACTATAACCATTAGAAAGACATGTCATATAATCGTGAACATTCGTATCCTCGTCAAACATCTAATGAAAGCCGGTGTCCGTGTCAGGCTCATCGATATCCACCTCATTCCCATTGAGCTCCACGCTCGACATCGCCGCCAACCCACCCTCCCTCCAAACACAATTAAGAAGACCCATCGCCTGCTCCTCACTAATCGCCTTCGGCGGCACCGTTCTAACGCCCAAATGCCTTACGCCATAGAAAAGCGCCAGCCACCGTGACAGCACGCTCTCCAGCTTGACGTCGCCGCTCTTCAGCTTCTCGTCGAACACTAGCGTCAAGCTCACCACATTCGACACGTCCGGGCGCTCTGCCTCGCACTCCACTCGCCCTACGCCACCGCCTCCATGCCGGAGCGCGCGGGTGGCGTCCGCCGTCGGGCACTCCACGTCCTCGCGCATGCGCCACCCGGGGTTCCCGCCGAGGTACACCTCCAGCGACACCGTCAGCGGCCGGTCCTGCTCCTTCAGCAAGATCGGGATCGTCGGCGTGCCCGAGCTCTTCCTCAGCCAATGCGAAAAGCCCTCGTTCCGCAGATTATACACGATCGCGAGGCTCTCGAGGCGCGCGAGCCCCGTGCGCTGAGCGCCCAGGAGCTTGATGACCCACCGCGCGGGTGCGTACAGCGAGATGAGCTCGGGGAAGTCGGGGAACGGGCCTAGGTCGTACGCGTCGATGCAGTCGACGTCGCGCCCGATGTGTAGGCTGGTGAGCCGGGGGAAGCTGCTGATGAATTTGAGTAGGTCGCCTGGGACGATCTGGCGCAGGGAGGAGAGATGCAGCTCAGAGAGAGTAGGGATGGCGCCGGCGAGGACGGTGAACATCATCTTCCAGCACTTGCGGTTGATTTGGAGGTTCTTGAGCGTAAGTGATTGTACACTGGGAAGTCGGAGGGTTTGGGCAGTCCAGTGGAGGAGAGGGGGCATGAGCACCATCATCGACTGGATTGTAAGGTGCTTGAGTTGTGAGTTTTCTTTCTCTTCATTACCCAGCATCAACGGGGTCAGAACGACGGACGTTCCCGTCCCCTTTGCACGGCAGAATGCCCAGGACTCGCCGTTGAGGATATTGATCTCGTCCGGCGCTAATCGCACGTCTTCATTCGACCCTCTCTTGCCAAACAAGTTCTTGAACGCAGACGAGAACGGCTGATCGCGGGTACTCTTCCCCTTCGTCTTCGCCGCCCTCTTTGACTTCTTCGACTTTGCGTTTCCAGTGCGGAAGGCGTACGTATGGTCCATGTAGCGCCCGCCCGCCAGCGACATCGCCGTGCACCCACGCTCTATCATCTTGCTCAGCGTGCGCCCCATGACCCTCGACCACTCCTCCAATATCTCATCAAGGGTCTCGCCGATGTCCAGCCCGGAGCAGCAGCAGCATATCTCGCTCCCGTAGAATATCGACACGTTTTCGATGGATGACAGCGATGACACGAGCCCGTACAGGCGCTTCATGTGCCGGATCACGACCTCGAGGTCGCCTTCCTCTCCGGGGAGCTGGAAGCGGCAGACGAGGTGCTTGATGTGGTGTATGTAGAGCCCGACGCGCAGCCCGTCGAGTGCGTCGAGCGCCGTGCCGCCGAAATTGTCGTGGAAGATGATCTCTGCATACTCGCTCGGATCGGAGATGTCGAATCGGGCTAGGAAAAGGGGGAGGCAGAAGTAATGTAGTCTCTTCGAGACGAGAGAGGCGTTGTAGAGAGTTTCGAGCGGGACGTCGGGCTGGTCGAAGATGAGAACGAAGATTTCGTCCGGAATGTGGTGGATCCCAGCAAGCCCGTCCGCCATTGGAGTAGATGTCACTCCCCAGATGGAATGATGCGAGATGTCAAGCAAGGTGTTTATGCTTCCTGGAGCTGCTCCAATCGCTCCCTCTTCGTGCCTTTATGTCGTAGATCGCGTGGCCTTTTGATCCTTCACAGACGTCAAACGCTGCATAGCTTTTCCAGCGACAACCAAAAGGTGTGTAGGCGTATTAGGTGATATCATATCAGTGACACGAACAGGAGCGATAGACAGCATACCACTTACACACCAATTCCCCGGCCGTCGCAGCTTTCGCGGTGAAAGTCGGGAAGAAAGAAAGGAAGAGAGAGGCTGATGGCTGCCTCGAGGAGGTGAGGCGGTGATATGATCACACCATTTTATCGTGTTGATAATATTTACCCCACGAGAGGGCGAGAGGTTTGCCTCCGGGTTGATCAGCAGCCCAACAGGCACAAGGTCGCCAAGGGCCGTCAGTGGACCCCCGAGGCGCACCGTCCAATCAGATCACGAAAACAGGCGTCGACGGGTTGACGATTAGAGAGTTCGGCGTCGTTCCTCGTTACGGGTCCGGCACCACGCACCCGTCATGCCCATCCCTGGCCATCGAAGCTGCCCCGTCACTTCCACGCGACCGCCACGAGCGCGCCAGACAGGCTTCTTTCCTGGCTTCTAAATCGATCATGCGCCACCCCTGAGCGTCGGAAGAGTCGATACACTGCTACGCTGCAACTGGTGTGCATCGCATAGCACACCTGCTGGCCCGCCTACCATGGTATGAAGCGAAGGGATGGATAACGCAAACGCTATGGAGATATCCATGGAAATGTGCGTCTTAGTGGTGCAATTGGTGAAAAAGCGACAGGCTCCGGGGACCGGCGGGTTGGAACACATACAAGGGATGTGCTTCGATGTGCAGGAGGAAGGAAGAATAAGGCGGTAGTGGAGTTTGGCAGCAGTTTCCCGTCGTCTGTATCAACATGCGGTGATGATTCTCGTCCTCGGTCCGACGCAAGAACACTTCGAAATACTTTGCCGTTTCACGGAAAGACAGCGAACAGCTCCGAGTCGGACTTGTATGACGAAGAAAATGTAGGATTATGACAATTTTTTTCGGCAACGAAGACAAGATGTGCAGCTTAAAACAAGAAGTCTTAGGTGAGTCTTATATAGCGTAGGGCGACAACAAAACAAATTCTAATTATACAAGCCGCAGCGCGAAAGACAGTCAAATCAATAAATTATGGGCATACAAGTCCTTAAAGTTCCCAAGGTCGATGGGCTTGCTTCACTCTCCTCGTCCTAGGCCCATTGTTCTCATCATCTCCATCCCCTATCTCTCGGTTTCGCCTAATCCCATGTGGCCTGTTCAGCGAAATAGGCGCCAACGGCGCTTCCTGTCGGGCCTCGGCTTCGGGGCCGACGCCATGACTTGCCGGGACCGATACCTCCGCCGCTACCTCGGACCCACGCCGCGTCTCCTTCTCCAGGTCTGCAGTCGCCCGGTCTACGATCGCCAAAAATTCTTCGTAGTGGTCCTCGGAGATGTTGTAGAGACAACCCTTCCTGATATCCCCTGTTGGCCCAGCCAGGCCGGGGTCGGCGAGGCTGGACTCTGCGAGCAAGAGGAAATCTTGCAGCGCGAGGATTAACCTCCGGAATACGTCGCCGAAGAAGGGCGTCACGAATGTGTCGAGGGCCTTTATCCCGTCGATAAATAGCCATTCTTTGGCCCGAATCGCCAACGCCGCGTCTGTAGCGTCGAAGTCCTTGAGAATTTGCGGGAGGGGAGTTACGATTTCGTGTGGTGCCCTGAACGAGAAGCAAATCCAATACATGACGTATAGAAATGCCCATAGATCGTCAACGTATGTATGGGTCTTGGGTGGATCCCAGGGCGACCCTGGGGTTTGACAATGCAAGATCTTTGTTGACAGGAAGGCCGGCGTGCCCTATCAATCGACGAAATATTGAGTATGCTTCAGACGTGTAAGTAGAACCAGCTTACCGTCTTATCGGACGCACGCGGCAGAATGTCATGATATCGCAACCTGACCGCAAATTCTAGGTCGATCAATACCCCCCTCCATCCTTCAGGTGCGTGGTGATTTCCGAGGAGAATGTTGTTGGCGCTGATGTCTCGGTGTAGAGCTCCGGCCCTCCAAAGATTCCTGTGACCTGGAGGTTATGATAGGTCAGTTTTATTTTCCTATCGAAGAAGACGCGACGGAACGTACCTGCCACAGCGTCACGGAAAGCGTAGAGCAACTGCTTTCTACTCTCGAAGTTGTCTATTGACTTTCCGTATCCCTTCAGCGTTATACGAAGCTGGACCAGATCGCGAACTTCGTGGGTGAATGGCTCCCTAATATTTCTTAACCCCCATCCGACCTCAGACCCGACCATTTCTCCGACGCCCTGCACTTTTGCGTCCTTCGTGAAACCTAGCATTTCTTTCTCCAGTGGCGAGCCGCGGTCCTTCCAGGCGTCCTTGAGTACACATATGTCTCCGTTGGGTCCTTCGGCCTGATAGCAGGTCGTTCCCTTGCATCTGATGTTTTCGTGTTGAAAGATTGGATAAGGCTTCAAGAGTCTGTAGTAGATGGCCTTCCCCTCTGCGTCCCGCGTCCGGATGTAACGACAGTCCTGGTGCCAGTGAACACTAGCATCGAATCCTAGGAGCTGGGTTTCCCGAGAACAAAGGAGAAGGATGCACCGGACCAGCTCCTTCGCCCCGGAGGCATCGTTATTCTGGAATGATCGTGACATCAAACAGCCTTCACGGTCGAAGAGTAGCATTTTAGCCTTCCGTCCGGCGATGACAAGAATGTGGATAAAGACGCGATTGCTGGACGCAATAAACGCTTGGCTAAGGGAAAGGCATCTGTCAGCTCTGAAGCAGGAATTACGAGTCGTTTGGGGTACTCACCGCGCGAAGTACGCCGCCTCGAGTATGATTTTATCGAGGCACAATTCTAACTCATCCTCCCACTTGATCATACAAATACCCGCCGCGTTTGATCGGATGAAGTCCCAGTCTACCCTTTCGACTTCTGGGTCGATGTTCCTTGGAGGGAAGTTAGCGTCGGTACCGGCGACGACAATTTGAGGCGCGGTCGACAATACGATGGGAAGCTTCGGCGCCTCAGCAATCGTTTGCAGGTGTACCTGAACGAGCTCATCGTGCACCCTATGCACCTGCCGTTCAGTGCATCCGAAGTACTTGATTACCGCATCAAAAATACTTTGGAAGACTTGAATGGCGCTCCTGGGTACGAGGTGTCCGCCGTGCCACAATTCTAGCTGCTTGCAGTACACCCCCGCGCTGTCCAGGAAGCCAGTGATTTCGGCGTCGGAAGGGAGGTACGGGCCAAAGGTCTGTTCGGCGTAGTGGCCATTGTCAACTTCCTTGAAGAATTTATGGTCAAAGAGCTCCTCGCAAGTGTCCTGGAGGGCTTGTTGGATTTTATAGAGGGCTTGCTCAGGTGTGTAACTGTTGTATGCTGCCATGATGTTAGGCTGCTGATAGTGGGGCGGGTCGAGGTTGGCAGGGGGGTGGTTTACGGTGGCGGTTATGGTTGAAACGAAGGTCCTTGAAAATGGGACGGACTATAGCCACATTTCGGTTATCTAATCTTTCGTGCAGGACGGCCACAGTGCCAAGCGCAGGGGCCAACGCGTCGGCTAATTATAGCACGCGCTCTTTGTCTGTGGCACGTGAGCGCGTCGCGGCACCGAAGGCGTATGGCTGGGAGTCGCGAAGAAATAGAGTGGATTGAAAGTTGCAGCGCTCAGCGCATGCCTACTTAACGATAACAATGAGCGTATACATAAAGCACAATAATCACAATACACATACCCAGCTTCAAGTTACGCTGGAATAAATGTCCATCTCGTCCATCAAAGTCCTCACTTATACAACAATTGAAAAGAGCGAAATCTCTCGAGAGTTCATCAGCGTACCACCAACCCCCGTCAAAACCTATTTCCTTCCCCAAACCCTCCCCAACGCCTGCTTCACACCCAACCCCCGTTCTTCATCATAGATCTGGGGCATAAAGCTCTTCTCTGCTTGTCCGGTTTGGAGCGACATGGGACTCCAGGTGGAAGTCAAGTGCCCTTTCTCGTATGGAGTCATAGGGCTCTCAGAAACCAGTGCCACCGGGACGCCTTTGGGGTACGTTATGAAGAGCGGCTTCAGAGTTGTTGCAGTCATCGGCGTTGGCGTCGGCAGCCACTCGAAATCAGACCCCACGTCGATCGTGATGGCACGGAGGCTGAACATGATGCGGGTGGTAGCAAGGGACGTGCAGGTGACGATGACGCTGTTGAAGTTGGGGGAACCAGAAAGATGAGATAAGGGTTGGATGGTGAGTAAGGGCGGAGATTGAGGGAAGATTATAATAAATTCAAATAGGTTACTTACGGAGAGAAGATAGATGGGATATTTAACTGATGGAGAGTGTCATGTCAGCACCAGTGCAACCATGGAGGAGAAACACCGCGACAACCCTAACACCTTAACTGAAAGGTTGGAAACCCGACTCACCTGGGGAACATCTGTTAAAAAGGACCCAACCGAGCTAAAACCGACAGAGACTACGAAGTATCATTGTTGGATGTCAAGGATTCACGATCTGTAAAAAGCACAAGACATACGTAGAACAATCAAGCAGAAAACTCCACCGCTAAAAATACAGTCAATCAGCACACAAGTCCGGTTGCTCGAGATGCGAAAAGCTTACTCTTCGAGCAATCGCTTCCTGAGATTTTTCTGCTTCTTGAAGTCGTCATTTGTAAGAGCCTGGTGTATGGTCAGGCTGTAAAGAAGAAGCTAGGAGGGCAAACTTAGTGTCTGAATAGGCCGAAAATGGACAAGCAACGTACATGTAAAACCAACGACGGAAGATAAACCCTCCAAAACTGGGGTGGAATCGAAGCCACACATCCTGGGATGAATACGTTTGGGTTTTGTCTTGGAGGGAAGACTGGGATCTGCTTGACCGAGATGTATAGAAAGGCGAACGACGTGCCGGTCGCGACGACAAACCCCATGGTAAGGACTGAGCGAACCAATGCATCGCCAGGGAATAAGAACCAGATGCGAGTAATCAGGATCACTTTTTATGGCGGAGTTGGGGGACTGAGCGAAATGTTGCGAGGTCGGGAAGAGTAGAACATACCTTGGATGACGCCGATTGCCAATAAACCAAAAAGAAAGTTAAGTTGAATGGTCGTCTTGCAGCTGAAACGCGAGCTGTTCGTGAAAATGCACCCGGAAGCAATTGAAAGGTAGTCACAACTGGACGAATAAATTGTCAGGGGAGGAGGAAAGTAGCTCCAGGGGGCTAACTCACTTCAACAGAAGGTTTGACCACCATGAAACCTAGTAAACTGCGTCAAGAACGCGTCGAGTACTGCATAGAGTTGTGCATACAAACAACCGCTAGGCTGGTGCACGGATTAGTCAGACGGAGAGAGGCGAGAGGGGCGAGAGACGCACATGACGACCACAGGAGGGAAGTACCGGTTCTTCACGCTTTATTCAACGTTCCGCGAGTATAAACCGTCAGTGAAAGACTCACGAAGAAAAAGAGTGAATGCGAAACGGAATAAGGCCCTTTCCAGAAGTACTTCTTCTGTAAAGTAGCACGCTCAGTTGGAAACGTCGTGTGAGCAGCAAATGAACGGACTTCGTCGTCCAGCGTGATTGCATATTCATAAACTAGGAGGATATCAGCTCTACTCTTCCCTAGTCTTCGAGAATCAACTCACCTGTTAAAGCCAACAGAGCAATAGATAGAATTCGCGCGTTCTCCCCACCCTGGACCCTCTCAAGGAAGGTGGACATCTTGGACTTTGGGCGGGTCGCGTGCTTGTAGCTTGAGGGAGGAGAACGCCCGCACCGCAGTCGCGTGCCGCGCGGATGAACGTAGAAGGTGAAGGAAGAGGAACAAGGAACAAGCACAAGTAAAGACAGAAGGTAAAGACCGTATTGATCGCCCCAACGGCGTCTGGCAGTTCTGTTGCACACCGCCTCCTCTCAGTTGATGATGGGCGGAGCAAGTGCGAGAGAAAGATAAATTTGCACGCGAGACAAGTTTATGACCTATCGCACTTGACATGAGTTGCGCCGGAGAGTTATTGGCTGGCCTGACGACAGTGCAGGGACTTGCTCGATTTCCGCGAGGAGTTTTGGCTTGCCCTTAGAGACGACCCATGGTACTCATACGGATGGTCCCTTGACGTCGGAGTAAGTGCCGATCAGTGCGGTCCAACCTCGGAACGCGGCAGAGCGCTCTGAGTCTGTGAATCTCGAGGTGGGGCGAAATGAGGTATGTTGTTCAGGCAATATTTCAGGTTTGGAGGTAGCCAGCCAAGCCCGATAGACTCTTGGTGGGCTCCTCGCCCATGTGAGTCTCTAGTTTACTGACAGTTCCGCTGTCGCCGAGGTGAGACACCGGTGGTTGAACGGAGGTTCGGGGTCAAAGGTCGAGGAAAATGAAGGGGAAGGAAACAACTTGGAAATACATAACCCCATCTGCCAATGCGGAGAACGACAAGCGCCGGGCCGGGCCGGAGCCACCAACCCTCCACCCACAACCCAACCACAACCTCATTAAACTCTCCTAGGAAGACTTCTACTCCTCTGAAGCCCGAGGAACGGTCAAACTCCAAATATGTAACGATGTATCGAAGCTAGCGCGTCAATTCTTACACCATTGTCTTCATAACCGGTGACGGAGGTTTGACATCATCGGCGCCATGGTCCTCTTGAAACCTTTCGTGTCTCTCGGCGGGATCCATACTCAATGCCAGCGCACTCGATCCTTAAATCGAGACCTTTCTCTTTCGGACGCCTGCTCAGACAATTGCCAACCATCCTTGGGAGACCGCCCCAGTGTTACTTTCGCTTTTCGCAACTCAGAACAATGTCCTCAGCTCAGGAAATTATAGCCGCATATCCCGTTGCTGTGCCGGAACGGCAGACACAGACCCTACCTGGCCTTGACAAGCGTATGAATCCCCACTTGGAGTACACAAAACTCGAGGTGTGGGACGACAACGGCAAACCTAGCCTTGTCGAGTACACAGGCAGCGGAAAGTAAGCACGTATTTTCGTTTCCTGACCACTTGCTAATGTCTCTATTTTCCCGTTTAGACTGCTGGGAAAGACGGCTATAATCACCGGAGGCGACAACGGGATCGGACGTGCAGCTGCAATCATGTTCGCCCGAGAGGGTGCGTCTGGTATCACCATCGCCCACCTTCCAGAAGAGTTAGAGGACGCGAAAGATGCGAAGAAAATGATCGAGGACTCCGGTGCTATGTGCGACGCCGTCTTGGCCAACCTCATGGATGACTTTACCTGCCAGAAGCTTGTCGAGAACCACATTCTATCATTTGGAAAGCTGGACATCCTCGTCAACAATGCGTCGAAGCAAATGTGTGTCGTCCAGTCCTTCCTCTGTTGCATCACTGACCACGTATCGCACCTCTTGTCCTGTGCTCAGCATGAACAAACAAAACTTCGCCGAAATCGATCTCAGAATAGTCGAAAGCACATTCCGCTCGAATATCCTCCAGATGTTTGCAATTACGAAGTACGCGCTGCCTCATCTCAAGCGCGGCTCGAGCATCATCAATACCACCTCCGCGACGGCGTACAGAGGATCAGCCAGGCTCGTCGACTATAAGGGTGCCATCCTGACCTTCACTCGGAGCCTTGCTTTGCAGCTCATGCCCAAAGGTATCCGCGTTAACGCGGTCGCCCCTGGTCCCATTGTCACGGCCCTCCAAGCTGGCTCACGCTCTGAAGAGAACATGGAGGGATGGGGCGTCGGGACACCTCTGCACGGACGTGCAGGCCAACCGGCTGAAGTAGGACCCTCTTACGTATTCTTGGCTTCGAGGGACTCGAACATCATGACTGGACAGGTCATACATGTCAATAGTAAGTATCTTTGATATGTTCTGTGGGTAGTGCATTGCTGAATTGAACTGTTAGGTGGCGAGCATATCGGAGGGTCATAAAATGTTGATGATCCTAGGCCCTTATAAATTGCGGGAGATTGTGACGTCAATAACTTAGTAGTCTTGAGTAGTTTTTCTGCATACAACTGCCGAATTTTTCTGAGTGTCTCGTCGCGAGGGTAGCGCTCAATAGGCGCTATGTCCGGGTGCAAGCCGTTGTATTCATGAATGTGAAGCAGGAAGAACGAGCCGACTGTCATTTCCGGATTTACTGAATCTACCTGCATATTTTACTTCCTGAGCTTCTCAGTGAGCTCTGGTACGACGTCGTAAAGGTCAGCGACCAGCCCGACATCAGCAACCTGGAAGATAGGAGCATCGGCGTCCTAGACAAACTAAGTTAGCCAACGGGACGAACATAAGGGAGAAAATAACAAACTTTATTGATCGCAACAATGAGCTTCGAGTCCTTCATGCCAGCCAAATGTTGGATAGCTCCAGAAATACCAATCGCCATGTAAAGCTCCGGAGCAACGACCTTTCCCGTCTGCCCGACCTGCAGCGAGTTGTCTGCATAACCAGCATCCACAGCCGCACGAGACGCGCCAACCGCAGCTCCCAAAGCATCGGCAAGGGGGTACAGCGTCTTCTCGAAGGTCTCTGCATTTTTCAATGCCCTTCCACCCGAAACGACACGAGAGGCCACACCAAGGTCGGGTCTGTCCGACTTGGCGATAGTGGTCTTCACATGCTCCGTTGTCGCATCGTTAACTTCAACAGGCTCAGCAGAAGTAGCCTCTGCACCAGCACCGTCCGCCGAGGCCGGCGCGAACGCCGTCGAGCGGACAGTGAAGAACTTGATTGGGATGGTGCCGGGTGCCCGGACGGTGGAGATAGCGTTGCCTGCGTATATAGGGCGCGTGAAGGTCGTGCTTCCTGAGGTGGCGTCGTGCGAGAGGGAGGTAACGTCGGAGACAGTTGGGGCGTCGAGGCGCGCGGAAACACGCGGAAGGAGGGACTTGGCACCTGAGGAGGTCGCAGAAACGACGTGCGTGAACCCTGATGAAGAGTCTGAGAGGATTTTCTCAACGAGAGGGGACACTGTCTCTGGCAGAGGTTCGGCGTATTGCGCTGAAGTCGAGTGCAGAATTGAAGAGACGCCCTTCAATCTGAAAGGCAAAGATTAGAATAAAATGCACCGAACTGATGTTGAAGAACTCACTTCTTCACCTGTTCGACGACGCCCGGAACATGTTCTGAGCTTCCAACAACCAAAGCAGATACCTTTCCCCCTAGCTGCTCAGCTGCCGTCAATGCCGACAGCGACCCCGAATCAATAACACCTCCACGGTGCTCAAGGAACACCAGGGCATGAGGGCTGGTAGCCGTTGCATATGAACGAGTCAATGCTCTCCGGCATAGTTTCGAGTTCGTTCGGAGCATGTCTTTGAAGATTTGGGATCCGACACTGGTCTAGGACGCTGGTCACTGTGGCTTACACGAGAAGAGACTTCGCAAGTCGCGAGATGGGGTTCCGAGCAGCGTCAATCATGTGCCTCAGCAAGATTTTCCCACGATGGCAATAATCTCCCTTCGGCCGACTTGCTGCTTCATCTTTGTAACTATCTCCTCTATTCGCCGAATCGCTTTTTGGAGTCCTTGCATTATAAAGTAAGCTGGCTTCTATCGACGGCATTTCTCCTGCAACAGGCCACGAAGCAAATTACTGCTCGGTTCAATCTCGTTGGCCGCCCTTCCGTGTTTACAAAGGCTGGATGCTGAATATCGGATGTCTCTGGATAGGTTATATCCCCTCCCTTTAAATCACTAGATGAACATCCGTCAACAGGTAAGGCTGAATGGAACAGTGTACGTCGGCGCCATCATTTTGTTCTAAGTATAACCTGAATGCAGAAACTCTTAGGTCCGGATGGTCGAGTTCGCCAGAATTTCATCCGACCCTGGCTGTATTTCCCATTCAAAATGAGGTCAATCAGTACCCACCTATCTGTCTTTATCGACTCTCGGAGATTCTGGGCGCCTCGGTAGGAAGTGTTTTGACACGTCGCGGCGAAACAAACAAGAAATGAGAAACTTTGGAGAAACCCTCGCAAGATTTCTGAAGGTTTCTCATCGCGCCATCGATATGCCCACCGTTCTCTCATCTCTGCACCTTCATGGTCGACGTTGCTCTTGCATACTGTCAGTGATTCTGTGGCGCGTACTCATGTAGGAACCCCACTATCTTGACATGTTGACACGTGATCTGGTTCCTCGACGCGTTTGTCAGGGACGCTGAAATCGGATGACGGAGCTGACATTTCAACACCGAGGTCCATTACGTTCGGGTGTGGTCCTTATCGTGTTTTCTGTACCAGAGATCTCTAGTGGGCCGTCAAATCAGACCACACTCGACTTCTTGGAATTTCAAAATCCGCGCTTGGTCATATATCCCTCGGGCGTCGACGCGAAGAGATCATGGCGTCGAACAAACTTCTTCCTCGGGTTCTCAAGGTCATGATTGACGATAGCCTCCATGTGCACGTCTAGGTCGCGGGTGAGTCCGACAGAAAGCCATACCGGGACTTTATGCTTTACGAAGATGATCGGTGTGCGGGCAGTGCCCAAGGGCTGTAATACCGTCCTCCCACCCAAATATCACGTAGCCCCTTCGAAGTCTACTGTACCACCCTGCGCTGAACCTTCTATTTAGAGAACCCAGCACATACACCGAGCATGGGAGCGGCGTCTTCAGTTTGGTGACCAGCGTGTTTGTAACAAATTTCTGATCTCTTTGTAGGCAATCTTGTCCTATCGGAAGGTCCACGACGCCGTAATTCACCGTCTTCTCTGCCAGCTGCTTTGCCTTGTTGACGTGCTTCCAGAAAACCGTGAATTGTAGCCACTACTCCATGTACACTCCTCTGGGAGGTTCTGTGGCCTCTACTTCTTGTTATTCGCTCGCGGGTTGCTTCTGTTGCGGATGCGTATGGCCTTACTTCCCATGTGATGAGCTTCATGGCGAGCAAAAATACGCAGAGGACCCTTGATTGTACCCCAGTTATCCGTCTAATCCTCATCTGTCACGTCCAAAGGTCCTTTGCTCGGTGCTTTTGGCGCCGCCACGCCTTCCTGCGTGCCCTTGACCCGAAGCTTTACGTTTCGCAGCCCACCAAGTCGGCTTTCTTGGGCGACTAGCCCGCTCTAGATCAGCTAATTACACGGAGCTCCGTACCATCGTTCACCTCGCTGCCTTAACGTGGATGCCGTCCCATCTTGGCACTCGTTCTGGCAAGGCTATCACACACCTTTCTAACCGACCTTTGTCCTCTATTTTAGACGACCCAAGTAACTGGCCTCATTTCTCGGTATGTTTCTCATGATGGCCGAATAGTGGACTCGTGAATTGACTCGTGTTGTGTACCATTCGTTCTCTATCGACAGCTCTTCCCTTCGGTCGTTTTCTCGAGTTCGATCCAAAGCCTCCTGCACCCTCTTCATCATGTTTGCATTCTCGTACTAATGGCCATTCAAACTCCATAGAGAATTGATGCGGCATATGTTCATTCGCCACTGACCTTGTCGTTGGAATGAATCCTGTCAGGATCCTCATTCCTGCTTGGAGAAATCAAGACAAAGGCGGCCTGTTCCTGGTGTTACTAGCGGACCTAAATCTGTAAGTCGCTCATATAATTTTTCAAGTGAAGCTTTTCATGAAAAACGGCGTCAGAATGATTAGACTTTGATACGGCACAAATGGTGGTGCGTGTACGGAGGTGACTGATAGATTAGCGTACTGATTCGCTATTCCTCCCAGATCCTACCGTGCTTGCTGTCTTTTAGATTCGGTTGAGCGCACGAATCAACGCTTCTCGGACAGAATGAACTATCCTGACCGTCTACATCTATTCACCTTCCCATAAGGTATCTCCCTGGTCCCTGGTCTCGCGGTCTTTCATCAAGTCCCCACGATCGCCGAAAGTACCCCGCGAGCCAAAACTGGGGTTCTTTACTGTGCTTGCTGAGACATCCATGCTCCTCAGTTCCGAAAACAATTTCGGATGTTTTTAGTTCGTGTCCGTTTTCTTCCAGATTGTCGTGTGTGGTCTCCCCTTTGCTCTCCTTCCCACAACGAGCGGCGTTCCTTCGCTGCGGAACTCAAGAGAAGAGGGATAATTTTGCCCTTTTGAACGAGAATTCTCGGTTCTATCTTCCCCCAGACTTTCACAGCATGGTGACCCCATTTCTCAGAATGTTTGCTAACGACTGCTCCGCATGACCTGCGTCCACACGGAGAAAGAACGACATGGTTTCCGCCTTTCCCTCGTTTGTCGTTGAGATTTATCTGTTTCAATAGTCGACGAATGCTACCTGCAGCTGACTCCATAAATCTGCTCCCTGTGCGAAGCCCAACCAGCATCATGCCGCCCTGTATGACAGAATTCAAGCCTGCAGACGAAGGCGAGGGTTCCTGTCTCAACGCCATTGCACCGCTAATGGTCTCCGACACCGTGAGTGCCTTTCCGACTTTCGCTTCAATGTGGACCTGCGTTTATCGAAGATGTTATTTTAGTTTAACCTCAGAAATATACTCAATGAGAAGATCAGAACCTGTCCGTTAGAGAAGGTGCGATATAAATAACCCCTTTCTCGAGAGGGTATAGTGTTTGGACAAAACGAAAGCTCAACAGTATTGGCGCATCTTGCTTTGATAGGGTTGCATGACTTTGAATGCAACGTTTTCCACCTAAACGGCACCTGAAAGCGGGGCCGCTATCAGCCGTTGTAGCCGCCTTCAATGAGTTCTCGAGAAGGTCGTCCAAGACCACTGTTCGAGGCTCCGCTCCCTCTAGGTTTCAGAAGAGATTCGTTTTCGAGGAATGCTTTACCTGGCAGCTAACCATTTGGGACTACATGCATTATTTTATAAGATCCGTCCAAGGTGCGGACCTACTTAATGACGAAGTACAGAGTGGTCATTAGCTGAACATTCGGATAGCCAGGTCAAGTGTTCGTGCAACGGCCCTTAATGTCTCAACCTACACGCATACCAGACTTTTCCACGCCATCGCCTCCATTACTTTGGTTCTTGATAACAATATGGTCGACCGAGGGACGGACGCCCGCCTCTTTGACTTTCTCACTCCCTGGGGTGGATTTCTCCGCTGCGTTCTTCCTCGCTTTGCTCACATCCCCAGTCTCTCAAACTCTATCCGCCTTCCTCTCTGGGTGTTGTGGTGTCAGTTGAATGCACCAGATCTGGACGAGCTTCTTGATATCGCCAGTTTGTGAAGCTTTCTTTTTGGTACCTGGGACATCACCTGCCGAATGGCAAAATCTCGTAGGTACTTCGCAAGCTCAACGTCAGGAATGTCGTCCTGAGATTTCCTGCCTCAAAACAGCCGGCGAAGATGGAAGTGTCAGGTATTCCTCGGTGAATCTCACGTCCTTATGTTCTCCACTCATCACTCGTTTTGGAAGGGTGACAAGGGAGGAATCCGGCCCCGCCTTCAATTTCAGCAAAATGACCTCCTACGCTCATCGGTATTATTTGATGGGTTCGGGTCTCAGTGCATACAACGTCTCGGACGTAAGGAAGAAAAAGAAAAAGCCGTTCTCTAGCGTGATGTCCTTACCAGACCTGCGGCAGAAGGAGACTGATTTAGCTATCCTCCGTTTTCGTAGTCATTGCCGAGCATATACACCATAGCCGGTACACTTCCAGAAGAGACCCAAATAGACACTAAACCAGCAAGATGGCGATTTCTAAGATATGGTCCCGTCTTAGACCAATGCAGTATGCAGACTTTGTTTGTATACCCTCTAGCTGGTGCCTTTGCTCCTCTCTCAATTAAAGTAGTGCATGTGGGGCACGTTTCTAATCCTGGAAGAACTTCCGATGAAGGTAAGTCCTTTTATCACCGGTAGAAGCTGTTGGCGAGTCATGAGGTCGCGGTGTTAACTCTAAAGGCGTCCGAAACACATCGTCTCTCGGTCATGCTCTTTAACCCACCAACCGGTATACAACCGGCGAGCGTGCGTTTTGCATAGATCAGTGTGTCTACTAGCTTAACTTCTCCTCTCGTTGTCTATCCTCAGTTTGTCGTGGACTCTCTGTATTGCTCTCAAGCTTCAGTATTACTAGTAAATGGTTGACTCGAAACACACATTGTACTATACTCAAACGCCTTCAGCAGGGTGTCGTCATCTGATACCGAAGCAAACCTAGAAATCACGCCAGCGCACTTCCACGTTACTGAAGCTTCTTTCTATTGAATGTATGTCGGTACCGGAAACTTTTTCTAATCCAAACGAGGACATTTGAGCTCGACCCGGATCATCAGATTGGCTGTAGAGACTTTTTAAGTGAAAACCCTCTCGATCCCATCTTCTCGGTACATTAGTATCTACCTCATGCAGTCAGCTAGTGGAGGCTTCATGCA